TACCGTTCGGATTTACCCCGGTTTTCCAATTTTCCGGGGTAAATACGAACACGGTCTGATATTATTAATAAAATTTTACAGAAGGCAAAAATAAAAAATAGTTTCTGTTCTAGTATTCATAACAAACAATTATAAATAATAAAAAGAATTTTTAGCTTCTTTTTCTTCAAATACGAGACAAAATACTGAAAGAGTGTCATCTTTGATTTTCAATCTTTTTTGCAATACTCGTTATATTTGTTTATGCTGTTGCTAATTAACAAACGAAAAATGGGATAATACTTAAAATCTCTTGAAGAGGATCTGAGGTAAAAATTCTCATGTCTAACTTATTTTTTAAAATTTTAATTAAGCTGCAATAATTAGCGTTCGGATTTACTCTGGCTGACCCTAATACGTTATTCACCAATTTTCTTTTTGGATATATTTATTTATAATAGAAAAAAAATATTATATAATAATTTTATTTTTAAAAAAATGTGCCTATTGGAAAGCAATACTAATTCCTTATTAAAATGGGAAAAAAATCTCTTGATGAAATATTATAATCCCTCATTATACTATAATATATACCTATATATATATACTTATATCTGTAAATATAAGGGCGATTCCACGTTAAATTTACCTATGACATTTTAAATTCGGAAAAATATTTTTTTTCACTTTTTGCAGAATAAAATTATATACGTATTTTTTTATAACTTCTTAAATTTTCGAGTTGTGAACTGAAACTTTTTTTTGTGGCAAAAATTTCTAAATTAAATACTTTTAGAGTTAAATATCAGTAAAATTAGGTCTACTTTTAAAAAACCTTGAAAAATCAAGATTTTAAAAAATTCATAACTCGAAAATTTGAGCACTTATAAAAATTAAAATTTTTCTGCAAAAAGTGAAAAAAAAATATTTATCTGAATTTAAAATGTCATAGGTAAATTTTACGTGCGGTATAAACAAAGAAATGTGAAAAATAGAAAACATTTCCTGTCTTTTCAATACACGATCAAGTTACAAATTTATAAAGTAGACAATAAAATTGATCTGTTGGCCTCGGATTAATAACATCCCCGTATTCATTGCATTAAGAGAGAAGAGAAGAGATTACTGTATTACGGTCTCGATGTGCGTCACAAATTTATCCGGTGCTATATAACCATCGTATATAGAATATTATGCATGCGATCGACAAATGTCTCATCTGGAATCTGATTTTCCCTAACGACTTTGCTTTTAATCTCTTTCATATGTATATACATATATATATACGTTCTTTGTGTCATATGCAAATATATATAGGTCAATTTAAGCCATCAAAAATAGAAGTATACGTGCCTCTCGTCTACCTCGCGAGAAAAAACAAGAACAATAATTTTCATGTTGCTTTTAGAATTTTTAAATACGAAAAATTATTATGTTTAATTTTCTTTTCACAGTTTTCCTAAAAGTATCAAATTGAGACCAAAAATTGCATCAAATCTTTGCAACGTTTTGATGCACATAAGTTATATCAAGAAGAGATCGTTTTGTGTATCATTTTTAGAAATGATACACGAAACGGTCTAATTTTTTGATGCAAAAAATTTAATCAATTTATATCAATCATGGCCGAATTGAATCGACTCAAAATTAAACGAATTTTTTTCAGATATTTTGGTAATAGTACAATTGCGGAGACCATTTCACTATTTAATTTGAAAATGAAAATAACAGAAAATCAAAGACAATGTGCAATTCGATAATTAAAAAGTGACAGCTTATAAACATAACCTAAAATGCATGACAAAAAATTTGTCGATAAAATCAATATAGCCGAGCTTTTTAGGAGGTAGATGGCAGCACTCATCTATTTTCTTTCTTTAAATTTTTTCTGAATCGTTTTTATAAAAAGCAAAACTGCCATCTACCTTCTAAAAAGCTCGGCTATATTGATTTTGTCGACAAATTTTTTCTCATTCATTTTAGGTTATGTTTATAAGCTGTCACTTTTTAATTATCGAATTGCACATTGTCTTTGATTTTCTGTTATTTTCATTTTCAAATTAAATAGTGAAATGGTCTCCGCAATTGTACTATTACCAAAATATCTGAAAAAAATTCGTTTAATTTTGAGTCGATTCAATTCGGCCATGATTGATATAAATTGATTAAATTTTTTGCATCAAAAAATGAGACCGTTTCGTGTATCATTTCTAAACATGATACACAAAACGATCTCTTTTTGATATAACTTATGTGCATCAAAACGTTGCAATAGAAAATAAGATACAACCAAGTTTACTGTGTTTTTAATGACATTCTCTCCGAATTTACATGGAGTATTTTATTGTGACGTCATCTTGCCTATACCAGGTGATAATTTTGGGACGCATGAATATGTTCTAAAAATTATTAGTTAGAATTTCATTTGTCATAATTATTTTGACTCACGCGAAATTCTGTTTAATAAAAATTCTGATAAATAAAAATTCGTGATAAGAAAAATTCTTTTGAATAAAAAGTGAGCTAAATGGAAATTATGTTGAAAGAATATTCTCTTAAATAAAAATTTGATTACATAGAAATTCTGTTAAGTATAAATTCTGGTTAATTTAAATTCTATTAAACATTAATTCGAAAAAAAAATTCAAATAAAGTAAAATTCTGTCTTATAAAATTCTATTAAATAAAATTTCTAAATGATTCACATTATGGAATAATCATGCCCCCCGAATTTTTATTTGCTCGAATTTCCATTTAAAATAATAGGCATTTTAAAGAATTTTTATTGGGTAGAATTTTTATTTTATTCTTTCAGATGAATTTTCATTTGTTCGCATTATTATTTGATATAATTGCCATATAACTGATTTTTCATACTACCGAATTTTTACTTAATCAAAAAATAATTCAATAGAATTTCTAATTGATAGAATTTTCATTTGTCCGATATTGCAAATGGCCGAACAAACAATCGACAGAAAGATTTCAGCACGATTTTTAAAATCACCCAATCACAGTTTTATTGATTATTTTTGATTGGTTGATTTTAAAAATCGCGCCAAAATCAATTGTTTGTTCGGCCATTTGCAATTTCGGACAAATGAAATTTCTATCAATTAGAAATTCGGTTAAATAAAAATTCTGTAGTATGAAAAATCGGTTATATATGGAAATTATATGAAATACTAATTCGAAGAAATAAAAATTGGGCTCAAAAATAATTATGACAAATGAAATTCCATAAAATGAAAATTCTAATTAATGATTTTTAGAACATATTCACATGGTAGTTTTTTTCATTATACACATCGGGGAACTTAAATTCCAGTTGAAATTTACATGCGCCCATTCTAAACTAACCCTTATGTTTAAATCAAATACATTATAATTTTCATTTAAACAAATAATATTTTAAAATAAAAGTTTAAAATTAAATTTAAAAACTGTGTTAAAATTAAACAAAATCGTTCAAATTTAAATTCAGAATTCTTTCTTCTAATAAGTATACGTATATTATATTATAAAATTAATTTTTCTTTTTTTTAAGGTTTCAAGATACCTGTGGAGTGGAGTATTTTATAAATAAAAAGGAAGAGTGATTTGTCACCACGCGTCACGCGGGGGTGGTGGGTCTATGGGGGGCACCGCCCCAAAGGCCCCCCGGTTCCAATCCATCAGGAAATTGTCGGAACGGTGCTATTTTAGCCCGTTCGAAAGCTTCAACGCTTCCGGTACCACCGGTCAAGCAAATGAAGAGTCCATCAAGTATCATGAGGCAATCAAGCCTTACAAAACTTGGGTCCATGATCAATACTGCCGTAAATAAGAGGGGTAAGTGAAAACAAGTTGACACTTTAAAAGACTGCTTATGTCTTTTTATATACATATACGTAAAGCGGAAAATCCCGATCTTGGTTTGTTTTTTCTATATTACTTTTAAATATTACAATAATTTTATTCAAAATTCAATAAACGAAGAAAAATTGATGTGGATTTTATTGTAACTTTAATGTATTTTGACATCATGTATGGAGAAAAGTAGAAAAACGAATAAAGTAACTTTTACTATACTTTAAAAGTAAAACCTGAACTGTCCGGAGTTTCTGGGCATTTCTGATAATTTTTACTACTCCGAAAATAGTAAAATTTACTCCTGAAATAGTAAAAATTATTTCGGAAATAGTATATTTTATTATTTTCGGAGCAAAAATCACCAGAAATGCGTAGAAACTCCAGACAGTTTAGGTTTTAATTTTAAAGTATATAGTAAAAGTTACTTTATTCGTTTTTCCATTTTTCTCCGTGTGGTATTAATTTTGAAGATTAGATTAATTTTCGCTTCAAATAATTGAAAAATAAATTTTAAATCAATTTTTCATATATTACTTTGACTATTTTTAAAATATTTTTAAATATTGTTAAAGATAGCTTAAATTTTGTAGATTCTGTATATACCTATACCAAATTGCAGAATATGGCATCCACAATAATTTAAAAGTATCAAATTGATACCAAATTAATCCAAATTTTTATATCAATATGATATTTTTGGTATCAATTTGATACAATTAAATTAGTGTATCTTTAATAGTTTAAAAGTTATTTAATGTTCAAAAAAAAATACAAGTCGAATTAGGGTAAGAAGTTTAGGTCGCTAACTCCAATTCAACCTCCCACTATTTTTTTTTAAATTAAATAACTTTTAAATCAATAAAGATGCCATTTTACAATTTGATATTCAAAATCTTATTTAAGCTATCGTTAAAGATATTTTTAAATATTTTAAACGAAGCTGAAGTACGCAACGTTTATGATAAACGATTTTTAAAGAAATAATTTTTTAAAATGAAAAATTCTATAATTTTTTGCCTAAAAAATATTTCTGGTAGTTTTCATTAATCAACAAATTATAAAAAAATATTTTTTAGGCAAAAAATTATAAAATTATTTCTTTAAAAATCGTTTATATAAACGTTGCGTACTTCAGCTTCGTTATTTTAAAACACTTGTCAAAATCTATATGAAAAATTGATTTAAAATTTCTTTCAATTTTTGAAGTTAAAATTATAATATAATCTAAAATATATAATATATATTATATATATTATATATATATATTATAAATATATTATATATAGGGGAATAGTGTCAGGGTTGGACACTTGTCAGGGTTGGACACTTGGCTTTTTTTAAATAAGAACACTAGCGCCACCTGTGTGCGTACGTGACGAATCTTCTAGTAGTATAACCTAACTTTTTGTGGCATTACATTTTTGGAGAATCAAAAGTAGCGTCTCTTGTGACTTCGGTGCAATCGAAGAGACAAAAAAAGTTTTGTTTGACTTGTGAATAAACCTAAAAAATGTGTAAAAAAAGCAAGAATTCGGCAAGATAAGCTTATTGAATGTATTGTGGGGTACATAATTTAAGAAGAAAAAAAGTGAAAAATCGAATCGCGACACATGTCTAGTTATGGTTAGCACAATTCGAAAATGATGCTTCTAGTTAGGGTTGGACACTTTATACAGTTAGGGTTGGACACCCATATTAATTATGAATTTGACACAATTTATAAATAAATTTTATTTTATTGATATTTCAGTGCAAAATTGTGCCAAAGATATTAGAAAAATAATACTTAAATTGTATAAATTTTGTTCATCATTTCATTGAGTTATTTGGAACAATAAAGCGTTATTTTTTATAATTTGAGTTCATTCCTTTTTTAAACCCATGAAGCTTTACAATTTGTAAACAATTGGGAACGGCGAAAAGTCGATACGCTATCTGGTGGCGAAAATGTGAATGAGAAGGAATGAGTCGCTGGCAATCAAAATACATGTGACACATGTAAACAATTGATATTTTATCTTTTATTTTCTAAAAAAGTCAAGTGATAAAAGTATAAAAATGGATTTTGGAGTAACATTTACTCCTACTCAATCAAAAAGTAAAATTTTTTGCTCAGTTTTCGGGTGTTCTAGCAAAAAGTGCAGGGAAACAAGTCTTAGTTTTCATAAGTTTCCGAGAGCTGGAGAATTGAAAGTTGATTTCGAAAATAAATTTGGAATTAAGGAACAAATTGACAGGAGAGTATTATGGGAAAAACAATTAAAAATGGGTAAAAAGGTTACAAATTATATGACGGTTTGTTCGCTCCATTTTACGAAAGATGATTATTCTCTTTATACTGGACCAGGTAAGTTATTCAAGATTGTATTAAATGTGTATGTGTATTTAAAATTTTAAATTTAATTAAAAAATAATTAGTTATCTATGAATTTATTTAAAACATACTATTAATTTTTAATTATTTATATTAAAATATAGGGTAAGAAGTAAAGTGAACAACACCCTGACAGTGAACGACACCTGCTATTAAAAATGATAATAAGAATGAAAATAAAAACAATTGAATAAATTTTCAAGTTCAAATAAATAATATATAATATTTAGAAACTAGTACAGTTTACATGTAATTCTCATTTGTTTTTATTTTCCTCAGAATATTACTTTTAAAAAACCTAGCCTCAAAATTTTTGCTTTTCATGTTATTATATTTTATTCATTTTTTTATCTCCAATTAATTATATAAATTTTTGTAGATCAAGCAGCTAAAGCTCGATACCTGAAAAAAACTGCTGTACCTTCGGTTAATTTACCAAAGTCGACTGTGGAAATAAATCAAAGTGATAAGAAAAAACAATGCGATGAGAAGAGAAAACTTCGAATGGAAGAGCGAGAAAAAAGACTTTTGAACGAAAACGATTCTACTTGTGACTGCCTTTTTAACAATAATGAAAATAATGAGGAAAGCGAAATTTTCTCTGCTGAAGGAAACATTGAAAATACCCCTTCTGTTGCAAACCCTGAAATTCAAGAGCCTATCGAAGAAATCAAAGAAAATTTTATGAAAGATGCTCAAACACAAGTGACAAGTGGAGATTTTATCACTACTTTTTTTATCTTTCTCAAAAACGACCAGCAGTTGAGCACGGCCACTGGGATTCCGAATTTAAAATTGTTTGATAATATTGTGAAGTCTTTTGAAATAGCCGCTCCTCAGTTAAAAAATCACACTCGTGTTTTGACCGCAAAAGATAGGGTTTTGTTAACACTTTTGAAATTGAAACAAAATTTATCTTATGCGTTTCTCTCACTTTTATTCCCGACCGTAGCTCCGAGATATTGTTCAGAGATAATTTGCAATTCGATAGATATTTTGTATGAAGTTTTAACACCATATATTCACTTTGCATCGAAAGATGAAATTCTTAGAAATATTCCTCACTGTTTCGACGATTACTCCGACACCAGAATAATTTTGGATTGCACCGAAATTGAAATTCAAAAGCCAAAAAATGTGTGCTGCCAAATTTCTACATATTCTCATTACAAAGGAAGACACACAGTTAAGTTCTTGACAGGAGTAACACCTGGTGGAATTATATCTTTTTGCTCCAAAGCCTACGGTGGTCGAGTTTCTGATAAATCCATTTTTGAACAAAGCGGTTTAATTGAAATTCTAGAGGAAAATTCCGCAATTATGGTGGACAAAGGCTTTTTAATTGACGAAGTGTGTGCCGATAACAACATAAAATTAATAAGGCCCTCGTTTTTCAATAAAAATCAAAGCCAGTTTTCTGAAAATGATGCTGTGGAATCTTCAAATATAGCAAGTGCAAGAGTACACGTTGAAAGACTTAACCAAAGAATAAAAGTTTTCGACATTTTGGGCGGCAAAATGTCTTCATGCTTGGTACCAAAAAGTGAAAAAATTATGTTTATTTGCTGTGCTCTTGCGAATTTAACCTCCCCGGTTTTCAAAGATAATAAATTTAATGAGTGATAAATAATACAGGGGTCAAATATTTTCTTAAGAAATAAAACAGAAAATTACATAAAATGTTATTTTTATTAATAAAACTGTACAAATTTGTTTTTGAACTTTGTAAAATTATAATTTATTCGTTGACATTGCGAGTACATATATTGTGTAACATTTTGTTATAATAAACATTCTTTAATGTCGATAACAATTTCGTTGTGTATTCCAAGTCAAAATCAACTTCGATTAAAAAAAAAGAATCATCGAAGGATGCATAAATAATAAAATCTGTTTTTGGAATATTCAAAATTGCCATTCCTATCTGAACCTGAGCATAGTAACTATGTTTTTCTTTGAGAGTAGAATTTTCAGTTAAATATTTAATCGACGGAACAACGTCTCGGATGGTTTTCGTTTCTCCAAGTAATGGGCATTTAATTTCAATTAATTTAGTTATGCCATTTTCATCTACAGTCACCCCGTCAGGACTATAAGCTAACCACGGATTTTCTCGCGAAATAACTAATCCCAATTGAACAACATTTAAGCCGACGTACGATTCATAAGCTTTTCTCGCAAGTGGCTCAGTTATAATTCCATAATTCATGGCCTTTGTTTTGAGTGGCTTTGCGAAAAAATATTTTTCCGATTTTGCTTTCCAATTTGCACTTTGATTTTTCGCGTAAGTAAATAATGGGTAGCACCTTGACCCTGTTATTCGAAATTGTCTTTCTCTCTTCCACGAGGCTTTATTGTTCAAAGTTTTCTTACAAATTTTGACGGTATCTTCAAGTCGAATATTATCGGATAATGAATTTAACAAATCAACACAACAGTCTCTTTCCGGTCTCAGTGGTTCTAAATTTGCTAGGTTTAACATACATTTCGAAGTCTGAATCTTTAATATTTTCTCTATTTCTTCATAATTATCGACCTCTACGGCATTGTTATTCTCTTCTGCAATTACAGGCTCATGTCTCCCTAACCTGATAAATTAGATTCAGCAATACATAATAATATAATTTTAACATTAGTAATATATCGTAAGTTATTGAATATCGCAATATGGTAAAAAGTAAAGATCATTTTTTCAAAAATAAAGTCAATTGTAAATAAATGTACAAAATTTGTAAATTAATTGTAAATATCGCTGCACAATAATTTTTTTAAAAAAACATTAAATCAGTTGCAAATATTAATATAAAAATTAAGTAAAATAAATGCTTCTCAAATAAAATCAATTGTAAATAATTGTATGAGAATTGAAGATTACTTGTAAATATGGCTGTATAATGTGTAAAAATTATATAAAATAAGTTGGAAGTACAACTATAAAAAGTTAAGTCTTCTCTAAATTCTTCAAGTTATTAGAATTAATTTTATGCTTCAAAATTGATCGATAAAAAGGTGTTATAACATAAATAAAACGTAATTCTAATTATCCATACATGTGCTTATACAAAGCTGATTCTGGATTCTGGATGACTAGAAGTTCGTCAATTTTTTTCCTGTCTTCTTGGGATATCGTCACAGGATATTTCTTCATGAACTTCTCTTGAAAGCATTTGTGCTCACTAAGCGGACGAGGAACATATTTTTGTAATGATTTTAAATGCGGTACTTTCCATAAACATTGTTTATCAGTAGATGATACCATGTCGAGTTCATTAACATCTATTCTACAACATAAAAAAGAGGAAAATATAAAAAACGTAATTGGAAGATAAAGTTATTCAATTTATAAAAATGATATTTATATTTCTCCACTGTAAAAAACTTCAGTTTTTTTTACATAATTAATTAATTGAAAACAAAATATAACAGACTGTTATAATTAATAAAATATCTTACAAATTTTGATTATTGAATTTTCTAACCTCAAAATCTTTAATCCCTATTGAATATAGTAAATATAGTAAAATCACATAATTTTTTAATAAAATTTGTTACAGAATCAAATAACGAATTAATTTAACGGAATTAGTTTAATTAACAACAAGTTTATATTTTTTTACAGTGGATCATTTTCTCTAATTAACCTAAAAACAACTTACTAACCTGCTTAGATAGAGAAATACTGCAACACTGTGCTTACAAGTTTTGCTATTTCCTGCTTTGCAGGAACAATGCACGTCTTCGATTTTACCACTCGATGACACTATTCCATTTATTTCGTGGGGATTATCTTTCATATTCGACGTTTGTATACAAAACGCGATGAAATTTGTTGACTTAGAACTTTCACTTATTTTGCCACAGAAAATAACATGCTCAGCGTTTAAAAGTTTTTCTCCTTCAATAAAATTTCGACTTACGGGTGTCGAATTTGTAAAACCACATATTTCGGACATAGGGAGCCGCATTTTCGAATAATTTTGCTTCAAACTTGTTATTTTCTATCTATTTGCCATGAGCTGTCACTGAAACGACCCATTCTCTCCGGCCATTTTGTTTTGATGACGTCACGACCACCGTTCCCAATAAGTAAAGATAAACATGAAAAAATAAGAATAAAAAACATTACAAATGTTATTTTACGTTTTTACCAATAATGCGTTTCGATTTTCAAAAAGTGTCCAACCCTGACTGAAAAGTCCAACCCTGACTAGATTTTTTTTTTTTTTAAATGTTTATAACTTTTTTAATTTTGGACCAATCAATTTACGGTCCACAGCAAAAGTGTTCCTCTTTTGTAGATCTTTGCACCCATATACCACAATTGACTGAATTTATCTAAACAAAATATTTATAAACAAAAAACCAAAACTGTGTCCAACCCTGACACTATTCCCCTAATAATATAAAACGACATAAAAATTTTCTATACAAAATCCGCAACTATTTTCCCTTGTTTAATCGATTTTTAATAAAATTGTAATATTTAAAAGTAATATTTAAAAAACAAACTAACATCGGAGTTGTACGCTTCACGTAGAATGACCCATACGTGAGGTATTCTTTGAGAAAAAGCCACCTAAAATTTAAAGTTATTAAACTGATGGCTTAATAATTTTGTAAATTGTTGTTTTATTTATAAAAGTAACAAATCTTTAATAGTTTATGGATTTTAATTTCATATAGTTTTCAATGCCAAAAAAAGTTTTTTCAACAAAAAAATGGTTAACCCTATTTTTTTATAATTTTCACTTATTTTTCATTTTTTATCATAATTTAATTAATTTATTATATATAAAAATTTAGATAAGTATTAATTAAAAGATTTATTTTTTCATATAAGTTAATTAATTTATTGCATACAAATTTAGATAAATAATAATTAAAAAGTTTTTTTAATTGTCTGAGTTAGAAAATATTTTTTCCTTTATTTAGGTATTGAAACAAAAATTAACTGATATTATAAGATTAAGAAACATTTTTTCAATTCAAAATTTATTTTTTGATTAACATAAATTATTATTTACTCCAAAAAAAAAAACTAATAAAAATTTCAAGTCTACTATTTTTAATGCAGCCTACATAAAAATATATAATTATATACAATCTAGTATTAGAATGATATAATTTGTTATCTCTAAACTAGATTGTATAATAAATGCGCGTAAATGCAACGAAAATCGTCAACAATTAATAAGCATAATTGTGTAATTTATTCATGTAAATTATGATACTTTAAACTGATACAATATAAATAATTCAAAGACCTCTCTTTAATTTAAAGAAGATAATAATACAAATTTATCGCACGTTTCTAATTTTTTTTTCAGAGAAAGCAAAAATATATGTATACCTAAATATGAAAAAAAAAATTTGTGCGTCATATTTTTTTGTATATTATAATTAAATTTTAGTGAACTATAAATTTTTGGTAACACTTCGTATATTATATAGTTTGTGACGTGAGCACATAAAATAATAATATTCAAGAGTTGCGTGTATATACACTGATGTATGGCGGGTTGACGTTACACTGGCGACAAGTAAAATTATACGCTTTTTGAATTAAACGTTATACAAGAAATTATTATTATTATTATTGCACCATTTTACTAAACAAAATTCATAATAATAATAATAATAATAATAATTATTATTATTATTATTATTATTATTGTATTATTATTAATTAATATTATTATTCTGATTATTTATTCATTTCTTATAAATTATTATTTTTATTATTATTATTATTATAAAAAGTTGGTAATAAAAATGCTTATTGTTTATAAAAAATATTCTGTATATATTTTCGCAAAAATAAAATTTCTTCGATCATATTTTGGTTTTATTTATTTATTTTCTTTATTTAAACATAATTATTATTATAGTGAAAAATAAAATTCAAATAATTGAATTTACAAAAAACTGCTGAATAAAAAAAATTTTCATTTAAAAATTTTTTGAAATGAAAAACATGCGACTTTCAAGAATTAATTTTATTGTGCAAAAAGAAATTATATAATTTACAAAATAATTGAATTTAAAAAATGTAAGTTTTTTTTTTTTTTTTGTTAAAATTATGTTTTTAATTTAAAATATAAATAATTATATAAATATTCAAACTAAGCTTATGCTAAATTTACACTAAAAAAATTTTTTTTTTTCAAATTATCAATAAAAAAAATAATTCTATATCAAATAAATTCTATACTTGAATGAAATAATTTTTATTTGAATTATATAAATAAATGAAGATTTAATTTTTCCCGCCCTTTTGTAGTAAAATACGTAATTTTAGAGAATATATATGTTTAGAATCATATTCACAATCAAAATATTTGGACTCATTCTTGATATCAAGTTTTGGAATAAACATATTTTAAATTTCTTCAGTCTAATCGGTTCGTTGATTGTAAGATGAGTACAAGGGGTCGAGCACGTTATAAAGTTACACGACGAAGCTCAACTAGAATTCGCAATAATTCTATTCTTAATAATAGCAAACTTTTGGAAAGTGAAAATAGTGATGAATTTAGTGACGATCAAAGTACGTATATATTACTATAAAAGCAAAAAGAAAAAAAAAAAAAAAAACTTTATAATAAATTTTCAAGTGAAAATATAAATTTTTGTATTATTACTTTTTTTTCAATTTTTTAACGAATATATTTTACACCTAATTATAAATTCTAAAATTTTGCTTTCAATTCTAAAAATTATAATAATTACTATATAAAAAATAAATTAATTATACAAAAATATATTAACTTCTTTAAACAGAATTCTAATTACAATAATATTTTGAGAAATAGAAAATCAAATTTTCATTTGAATTTATCAAATATTAAAATTTTATTCATCTTTAAAATTGTCATAAATTTATAGAATCTAAAAAGTATTTGAATTTTTGTCAAATAAATAATTTTTTTTTTTCACTGTATATCAATAAAAATGCATTTTCAATTTGTAATTTTTTTTATTACTTTAAAAAAAAAAATTAATTTTTATTTGAAAAACCAAATTTTTATGTCACTGAAAAATTCTAAAATGTCTTAAAAAAATGTTCTATAAAATTTTTTTTTTAATTTCTAAATAAATTGTAAAATAATATATGAAAAAAATAATTATCTTGTATTTATAAATAAAATATTATTTATAATTTATTAATAAGAACAATAATAATAATAATAATAATAATAATTATTATTATTATGTGAAAGAGTAAAAAAATGCATGTATGTATAAAATTTTTTTTCAAACAAAATAATAATAATAACAATATATCCTTGGGAAAAAAAACAAATCTCAGTAATTTCAGTATACTGCTGAGTCTGCAAATGACTTGAGAAGCTGTAGGATATTCATTAGTGCAACCATTTAGTAAGGACTATCTAATTTGCATTGGTGCCTATGCATCCATCTTTGCAATGACGAGTCTCGAAATATATAATATTAACGTCAGTCGATGATTAGTTTCTTCTTGAAATTCATGTCGAAAAAAATATTCTTTATTGAATACAAAAAAAAATAATAAAATTTGATCATTCGTATGCTTATCGTGTAAAATTTTTGCATTTTGCGTGTATATATGTGTGTGTGTGTGTGTTTCCCTTCCGGAATTATTAAAAGTGTGTAGTATATATATATATATATATATATATATACATCAATGTGTGTGTGTGTTATCCTTATCACACCCATTGGCCGCAAATCATTGTTGTAAGGTACATTATAATATATCGAAAGAAATGAAATTTCGACCACGTACGTGTTTACTTCTATTTCGAAAGGTGACCGTGTCTAGAATACGAAACGAGCAAATATCATATATATAATGATTTATATATATATATATATATATTAAGTGTGAACAATAACTTTGAAATTTCGCTTAATTGTTTTATACTTATTTTTATTTTAAGTCCTTTTAATTTTTATAAAATTAACCTTAATTTTTTTTTTTTTTTTTTGAAAATTTTTATTATCAAGAAAATTAATAATTCCTGATGATAATGTATTTTATTGTTTTTATTTTACTTATTTAAGTATTTTATATGTTTTTTCATTTAATTATGATAAATACTTATGATTCTTTATTACTTTTTTTAATTTTTACAATCATTGTAATTTTTGTATTTAAAAATTTTGAAAATTTAATTTTTATTTTTATAAAAAAATGTACTAATTAACATTTGTTATTTTTGTAAAATTTACTAAAACAGTTTTAATATACTTTTTTTGTAAATAAAAACAATAAAAATAAAATAATTTTGTAATTTTTTTTTAAATTGATAAAACTCTATTGAAATTCCACTGTCGTTATTTTAAGACAAAAATGTCAGAAACTTATGCAATAAACATTTTCATTAGGAATTTCTTAATTAAAATTTTCACAATACAAAATAATTATTAAAAAAAAATTTTAACGAAAAAATAAATAAAAAATAATTATTTTAATTCAAAATTTTTTTGAAACTCAATTTTTTATTTAGCGTCAATCGAGACTATTATGATACAAAAATCACAATTTTTTATATATTCAATGTTTAACCAAAATTCTAAACTTTATAGAAATTATTATTATTATGCAAAATGAATTTTTATTTATAAAATACAGTCAAAAAATTTTTTTCGAATTAATCTGGCGGGAAAAAATTAACTGCATATTGTAGTAAAACAATTTTTAAAAAGTTGTTGAAAAATCATCATTATTATAGAAACATTACATAATTACTAAATTTTTTTTAGGTTAGGAATGATAATTTTAAAAAAATTTCATCACATTTTAGAATTAAATAACTTAAGTGCATAATTTCTTTTTGAATTATATTTACTTTAAAGCAAACAGTTTTTGAGGTTATGTTGTACCCCTTGTAAAATTATTTAATTCGCACTTATTTCCAATTATCTGACACAAAAATAAATAAATAAAAATATTTATGTATAAAAACCATGTAAAAATAAAAAAATGTTCTTTTTTGAGGTTATGTTGTACACCTTCTAAAATTATAATTCGCACTTATTTCCAATTTTCTGACACAAAAATAAAAAAAAATATATATTTATATATAAATTCAAAGCACAGGAATTTTTTTCACTTATTAGGAAATTAATTTTCGTACAATAATTATTTTTAAATACCATATAGTTGTAGCATAATAATCCCGATTGACTTTAGAAAAAATGTACAGGTTAAAAAAACAGAAAATTTTTATATCTCTTTTTTCTACAGGCAAAAAATGTTCTTCCATTAAATTTCTCCTTTTGACGTATATATAAATATCTAGATATAAATAAATACTCTGTATTTAGAAAAAAATATTAAAAAAACTTTTTTCTCACAAAAAAAAAACAATGGAATCTTTATCGCCGGGATTAAGAACTCCAAAAAGTATAACACACATGATGAGAGAGGAGCCATTATTTTCATCACTTGAGGAATTACATGAGAAATTAGCTGAACTTTTAGGTAGGCTAATGTGTTTCAAACATATATATGTATAGTAAAATTAACAAACTGTTGATTTCGAAACAAAAGTAAAACTAGCAAATTTTCTATGCAAATTTACACTTAAAATGTAAATTTAACTCTCACCACGGGATTTTATTATTATATAGACCGAGTATAATTACGCTGGGGGCTTTTCAAAAAAAATATGCAACCCGTTATACACACTAGTAGAAATGAAATATTAATGCTTTCCTTTTTTTATAATAATTATGTAAATCCTTTCATAAAATCCGTTCGCTTTTATTTACAATTTATCGGTTTTTGATTTTAGAAAATATTTGTAAAAATATTATTCACTCCATAAAAATAATAATAATAATAATAAAAAATAAAAACGAAATATTAATAAAAAAAATATATATTAATGATAATAATAATAATAAAAATAAAAACGAAATATTAAAAAAAATATATAGTACTATATTGGATTAATAAAGAAAAAAAAATGTTTTTAATTTACAAATAATTTTAGAAAAAATTTATTACTTTTATTTTCTTAATAAATTGTTTAAAACTATATAATTTTATTATTATATTGATGTTTTTATTATTACTTAATAATATTTACTTTAATTATATTATCATTATTGTTGTTATTATTATTATTATTATTATTGTTGTCACCATCATTAACTGTCATTGATTGTTAGTTAAATGAAATTTGAAATTTAGCGCCCAGTTCTTCGTGTCTATTCGTAAACATTCGTCATTATTCGTGAGGTTTCGCGCCTTTTCGTTTTCGCGGACAAAATGGCGTCGTCCATGAAAGTAGCAGTAGAGAACAAGAAGGAAAGAAGAAATTTCAACCTGTACTTGTGACTTGCGTATGACGTCACGCAAATAGCAGTGTGTTGTGCGGTGGTTATGCATTATTCTATTTGAGTTGTTGGGCCGCCATATAAAACGCTAGTAGTGCGTGCAAAAAAAAAAAAAACAAATTTTTTTTAAACAGTGCGTTACAAGTGAATAATGTGACAAAGGAAACTCGCGTATGACTCTCTCCACCTTTACGTCTCTGTTGTCGAGAGAAGCATTCTCATCCTGTGTTAAAACTCCTCGTGCAGCCGGCTGCCTTTCACAGGAACGTAATAATAATAAAAAAAAATAATAAATAAAGACAGCGTGCTCACCCCTATAGGATTATATCAACACTCCGGCGTTGAAAAATATTAAATCCACTTTAGTTGAAAATTCGTAACGCGCCTTTTTTTTTTTTATATTCTTCGCGGCTTCAAATTTATTACACCGAACTTTTTCGCGTTCGAGATGGCCGGTAAGTAGCAGCTACGCAAAAACCGGAGTCTGAATTCACTTTTTTTTCTTTTCCTCCCCGAGAAACGGAAAGTTACGCGTCAGGTGTCAACGTTTTTCTTCTTGATCACCATTATTTTATTTCTATTGCTAAATCTATTTGCTTGTCTGAATTTTTGACTCCCAAACTACTGCGGCATTACGAACCTTGACCTAATTTTATATACGGACCGTCTGTCTTCTATTGGTGTATTTCGCGCTATTACACTTCCGGATACTCTAATTCCGCATCCTCATCAAAAGGCGCTTCGTCTGATTACATACATATATATATATATATTCTTAACGTCGTAACGAGACAGACGAGTGACTACTTTAGTGCTATATTGTAGTGAAAATTTCACAACGCCGGATCCAACAATTTATATTCTACTCCCCCAATTATTCCTCTTTCCAGTTTTTACTTGTTCACCTCCGCAAAACCGGGGGCAGATGTACCCTAAGAACTTGTTGGCGGTCTAAAGACACGATGGATTGCGGCGAAACTTCAAGTAGGCTCCGTTTCATCTTCCACGCAAAATGCATTCTTACACATACACACTTATTCTCTCTTTCTAAAATCCTGCTTGGCGTTCATTCTGTCTCACTCGAAATGTTTTTTTTTTTTTTTTTTTTACTACATCACATTACTAATTATCAGTACTTACGCAACACTGCCTCAAAAGCAAGCATATTCAGGGTTGAATATTCTGTCTTATTAAAAGTTTATCACGTGCTCTCTATGTCGCTCTCTCTCTCTCTTTTTCTATGATTTTTATTTCATGTCACACAAAAATGTCGCAAAAACAAATTTATTAATTCACATACAAATTAAGAAAGTACAATTTTAATAATGTTTACATTTTTTTTGTAGAAAATATTTTATTTCGTTAATTCGATTGTAAATTTTTTTTTTCAAGTTTCGTCTCTGTCATAAAGCTTGCTTTTGAGGTTAGGTTACACAGTAATGAAAACTGTAATTCTAATTTTCTTTATATTCAAATAATGAAAAATCGAATAAAAGAATTTAACCTTAAAATGTATTTTTCAAATTCTTTTTTAATTGGTAAATTTTGTTTATTTTTATTTTTTAGACTAAGTATAAAATTACCTTGTGATAAGAATTGTAAAAATTGTATTTTATAATTTTATAAAGTTCAAAGTGTAATCGGAATTGTTTTTTATTTAATAAAAATGTCGTTTTTCTTTATTTGTAGATAATTGCAATAATAATAATAATAATTCTATATATTTCTCTGTTTTGATTTGATATTACATTGTACAAATGTACGTCACACACACACACATATGTATATAACATAAATTATAACAATTGCAGACAAAATGAATACATATTTGGCACTATGTCAATTTAGAAATTGACGACAAATTCTATTTCTATTTTCTGCTGTTAGTTTATACAAAAGTATCTTTTTGCTTTCTCTTTAAATATTACATAATTATATAATCATTTTTAAAAAGAAAAAAACCTGTTGCTACTGCTTTCTCAAATTTCTAAATTAAATTCTTGGTTTTGAGAAAAAAAATGTTATTTTAATAAATAAAAAATCGATTATTAATTTTTTATCTTAAAAAAAAAGAATAAAAATTGTAACGTCCGTGAAGTTTACAACGATTGAAAATAAAAAAAAAACTTTTTAACTCAGAAAATAATAAAATTTTATGAGCCAAAAGTTCTGAACGTTCAAATGAATGAAATATTTTTTTCAATCTATAAATTATTAAAAATTATGATGACCATGTAAAATTAAAACAATAAATTCAACAATTATTAAATTAATAACTTATTTTTAGATATTTAAAAAAATATTTTGTAATAAAATTCGTACATAAAGAAGTTGCAAAAAAAAATTTCGTTCATTTGAACGTTCAAAACTTTTGGCTGATAAAATTTTTTGCTTACAGATTTTTTTTTTTTTTTTTATCAAGAAACGTGGCAAAAAATTTTGCCATACAAAAAATTGATCGAGAAACGTTGCAAAATTTTGTCAAACAAAAAAATACGAAGCTGAAGTACGCAACGTTTATGATAAACAAATTTTTAAAGAAATAATTTTTTAAAATGAAAAATTCTTTAATTTTTTGCCTAAAAAATATTTCTTGTAGTTTTCATTAATCAACAAATTATAAAAAAATATTTTTTAAAAAAATTATAGAACTTTTTATTTTAAAAAATTATTTCTTTAAAAATCGTTTATCATAAACGTTGCGTACTTCAGCTTCGTCAAAAAAAATTAGAATAATTTTTATAGAGAAATATTTTTTCTTCTAAATCGTTAACGTTGTAAAAACTTCACCGACGTATATTTTAGGGAAATATTATAATTAATTAACTAAATTAAAACAAGCAGAATTGAACGTTTACTTGAGAAAATTTAATTGCGATAAATTTGTAAAAATTAAAAATTTAAGCAAATTAATTTCAATTTTGCATGTTTTATCATTTATTTTTCAAAAAAAAAAAAAATTGTTAATCTCATTTTTTTGTGTTTGATCTTAGGTAATGGTGATATCCAATGGTGTTTCTCTCAAGTAAAGGGAACCTTGGAAGATGATGTCACTGAAGGTAATTATCATCTTCATTTATGTATATATAGAGATTAAACAAACTTGGTGAAAATTTTATCTTATCATTTATTTACACATTAAAATTAGATCTATAACGTTTTTTAGTAGCGTGTGAATTTCAATATTTTTTTTCCCCCAGTAAAAATACAAATTCATATATACACTACTGAATATTTTCTTTCATAAAAGAAAAAATAAATTGACTTTTTGTTTGCAGCTGACATTATTTCGTGTGTTGAATTTAACCACGATGGAGACCTTCTTGCAACGGGAGACAAGGGTGGACGAGTAGTTATTTTTCAGAGGGACCCAATTGTAAGTTTTTTATTATTCTTTTTTTTTTTAATTTAAAAACTTAACAATAATGCAAAAAAATTTCTAATAAAACATTTTTTTATGAGCCAAAAGTTTTGAACGTTCAAATGAACAAAATATATTTTTCAATCTATAAATTATTTAAAATTATGATGTCAATGTAAAATAAAACAGTAAATTAAATAAATTCTTTTTAAATATTTAAAACAATATATTGTAATAAAATTCATACTTAAAGAAGTTGCAAAAAAATTGTCGTTCATTTGAACGTTCAAAACTTTCTATTCCGCTTCCAAAGTAATTATTAAAATTTTTATTAATTAATTTTTTTTTTCAAAAAATGTTGAAAAGTATTCGAAGTAAAGTAGAAAAAAGGGAGAAAAAATGAAAAAAAAATTGATATAAAAAAATAAAATTGTTAAATATTCGCAAGTTTCAATTAAATTTTTACAGCTCGCAAGTTGTATTGGAAATGAAAACAAAAAAATTATAAACTATTATTTATCTACAAATATTGTAAGGTTATCTCTCTTAGGATTTCTCATTTATTTAATCTACTGTTTTACGTTACACTCGAATTCATATTATATAAATTTAAGCTGATCAAACAATTTTTATCATCTACTAACACACTGCACTGATTGATTTCTAATTTAATTATTGTATTTCTATTATATTTTCTTATCAAAATTAGACGCAAATTAATTAATATAATAAACATAAATATTTTCATTAAAAATGGAATTTTTATTATTAATTATAATTTTTTATATATTTAAAAAAAAAAATTGTAAATAATAAAACTTTTCCTTTGAAATTTTTTTGATTTTTTTGCCATTAATGATTTTTTTAATTCTATAAAAAAATTAATTAATTTTACAGAGTAAAAATAGCATCCCTCGAAGAGGTGAATACAATGTGTACAGCACTTTCCAAAGTCACGAGCCTGAATTTGACTATTTAAAATCGTTAGAAATAGAAGAAAAAATTAATAAAATCAGATGGTTAAAGAGAAAAAATCCAGCTCATTTTTTGCTTTCTACAAATGACAAGACCATCAAATTATGGAAAGTTTCTGAACGTGATAAAAAAGTCGAAGGCTACAATACTAAGGAGGAAAATGGCTCTATTCGTGATCCCGCCTGCATTACTGCCTTGAGGGTAAAACAAAATTTCGTTTATTTACTTCTAATTTTTGAGAAATTCAACGACTTTTTTGACTTTTTTAAAAAAAAATTTTAAACAAAATACGTTTTTTTAGTATAAGATGCAGATCTTTATTTCAATTATTTAACAAATTTTTAACTAAAATTCTTCACTAAATTAATTATTATTTTTAATAATTTTAATGAAATTTTTCTCAAACTCAATTATCTTAAACAATTTTTCAATTAAAATTTGTATGAAATTTAATAATTGTTTATAATTTTAAAAAAATTATTAAAAATAAAATTACAAAAAAAAATTTATTTAAAATCACTTGAAATTTAATTATTTGCAAAAATTTCAATTATTTTTAATGATTTTTATAATTTTCTTCGAAAATTCAATTATCTGAAAGCATTTTTGAATTCAATTTTTTTATGTGATTTCAAATAAATTCCTTCATCAACAGAAATCATTAAAAATTTCTCTTATTATAATTATTATTTGAAATTTAACACAATCTTTTGAAATTTAATTATTTTCAAAAATTTCAATTTAAAAGCTTTTAAAATTTAATTATTTCTAAAATTTTCCATCTTAAATTTTTTGAAATATAACAATTTCAATTATAACTCTCTTGAAATTCAATTATTTTTAATGATTTTTATAATATTCTTCGAAAATTCAACTATATGAAACCATTTTTCACTTTTAATGTTTTCAAATTATTGTATTTTTGTCTGCAATTTTTAATACATTTTTTACTAACAGAAATCATCAAAAAATTTTAATTAAAATCACTTGAAGTTCAATTAATTTCAAAAATCGAAATTGTATATCTTTGAAAATTCAATTACTTTTAAAAAATGTTATCTTAAATTATTTGATAAATTATTTTTAGTTTAGTAAAATTTAATTATTCTCTGAGAATTAATAAAATCTTTTGAAATTCAATTATTTTTAAAAATTTCATTTTTAACTCTTCCAAAATTATTGGTATTAGATATTATTTTAAAAAAAAAAAATTTATTTAAAAATCTATAAAATTTAATCAAGGATTGCCTGAAATTTTTATGACCATCAAAACTAAAAACTATGACAAAATTTTAAATTCGAATAAATTGCTTAAATCAGACTTTAAAAAATTATAAAAATGGAATTTTAAGAATTTTTTTTAGAAATTTGTTCTCTTTAAATAAAATTTTTGAAAATTTGTCTTACAATTAATTCGATTCTGAAATATTTGAAATAAATTTTCTTGATAATATTCTTAAAGAATTATTTTCATTATAAAATTAATAAAATCATTCTTATTAATTTGTTGATCTTTTATATGAATATTGTTGCTTTGACCGAACTTACCATTATATTGCCCTTTATGGTCATTTGACTTTGGGCTTGATATTTTGTTACAAATAAAAAAAAAAACAGTAAATATGTAATAAAAGTAATTGAAGATGTAGAAGTAAAGGAATTTAAGTTCAACGTATATAGAATAGAAATCTCACTCGTAGCATAAGGTTAAATATGCGCATCAAATAAGCATAATTTGCTGTCATAAATATCGTTCTGCATTCTTTTTTTTACGGAGATTTTTTGAAAATCTCTTAAAAAAAATTTATAAAGTCTATTTTCTCTACCATTATAAATATTAATAGTACCTACGATGATTTTTCGTTTTATTTTAATAAAAGACGACTTTTACGACTTATTTTACAAAATAAAATTAAAAAATAATTAATTTATTCAATTAAAAGCAAAATAGCTATGACTTTTTTTTTTATTACAAACTTGTAGCTCATTCAAAATTCAATTATTTTAAAAATTTGAATCTAAAAAGTTTTAGCGAAATTAATTATTTTCAATAATTTTAATGAATTATTATTATTATCAATTATTTTTAATAATTTTAACAAATTTCTTCTAAAATACAATTATTTAAAATATTTTTTAATTGTTTATATTTTAAAAATTATTTAATATTTAATTATTGTCTGTAATTTGTAAAAAAAAAATCTCAATCAATTAAATTTTTGAAAATTTTTAATTTTAAATCTCTTGAAATTCAATTATTTCTGAAAATAGTAAATATGTTACTCTTCCAAAACTCAATTATTGTTTAAATGATCTAAAATTCTTCGCCAAGTTAAAAATGTACAATAGATAATATTAATCAATTGTTTCAATTTAAAAATTTTTTATCAACTTCTAAAATTCAATTATTTAAAACCTTTTGAGGTAAAAATTCTTTCATTTTCCAAAAAATTTCCTTTTTTTAAAAAAAAAGTAACTGAAATTTTTTTTAACCATTTGTACTTCAAACTTTAACAAAAATTATTTGAATTTAAATAAAATAAATTATAATTTTATTTAATTTTTTCAAAAAAGTAACTTTTATATTTTTATTTTTCTAAAATTGTTTTTTATTAATTTAATGAATATAAATTAAATTGATTAAATTAATTAATTAAATTAAATTGAATGTTGTTTTGTTGCTAAAATATAAAGTTTTTGTTTAGGTACCTTCGATTAAACCAATGGAATTGATGGTCGAGGCATCTCCAAGGAGAATATTTGCTAATGCGCACACTTACCATATAAACAGTATAAGCGTCAACAGTGACCAAGAAACATACCTCAGTGCCGACGACCTTAGAATTAATCTCTGGCATCTGGAAATTACTGACCAGAGTTTTAGTATCCTTTTTCAATTAATCAAATTGCTTGTAACTTTATTTATTTATTTTTTCCCAAAGATCTAAAGTCATTAAAAAAAAAAGAAAAAGAAATTCTTTTTTTTTAAATAATAACCAACAATTTCAGTAAAATTTTAAAAAGAGCTCTAATAAACTTTTTTTTATTAATAATAATGAATTTGTATTTTATGAAATTTTTCAATTTAGTGAAGTTAATTGAAAAATAATTTTTTTTATATATAAAATTCAATTTATAAAATAGAAATTTCTTAAAAATATATTATTATTCTTTTTGAAATATTATGATAAAAATCTTTTTTTAAAATCTGATTTGTTTTCATTTAAATAAAATGTTACTAAATTATTCGCCAATAGGTTAACCTTCGCTTGACAAGATGCCCACCCAGGGTGGGCCAGACAAATTGAAATTGCCATATCTTCTAAAGTTTTGCCTTAATTGAATCGTGATTTTAAGTCACTGAACAAAATCTTAAGAACTTTCAAAAAATGTAAAAACAAATTTTTAAAAAAAATTTCTTCTTGATTATTTATAACTTTTATCAATGTATGTACGGAGATAACCGGGATGATTCAGATATTTTTTTAATTCTATTTTACAAAAAGACTTGAAATCATGCAGACTTTTTACTGTGAGTGTTTTATGATGTCAAATAATAGATATAAAAAATATTATATTGCATTTTTCATTTGTTTAAACAATTTATTGTTATTATTTATTAACTTTCTTGTAGTGTACCTAGAAAGATGCAGTTTTTTCTAATTTTGCAATTTATCAAGCGGAATATAATGAAAGATAGATTTGATGTAAAATTATTAATTCAACAATTGTTTAAACAATTATTGTTATTATTTACTAACTTTTTTTGTTCTGCACCTAGAAAGATGCAGTTTTTTTCTAATTTTGCAATTTATCAAGCCGAATATAATAAAAGATAGATTTGATGTAAAATTATTAATTCAACAATTGTTTAAACAATTTATTGTTGTTATTTACTAACTTTTTTTGTACGGCACCTGGAAAGTTGCCGTTTTTTTCTAATTTTGCAATTCATCAAGCCGAATATAATGAAAGATAGATTTGATGTAAAATTGTAAATTCAACAATTATTTAAACAATTGTTAATTTAGTAAATTTATGTCAAATCTGTCTGGCTATATTATATTCGGTTTGATAAATTGCAAAATTAGGAAAAAACTGCATCTTTCTAGGTACACTACAAGAAAGTTAATAAATAACAACAATAAATTGTTTAAACAATCGTTTGAATACTAAATTCATATAAAATCTTCATGTTTATTATGTTGAGCTTGTTAAGTTGCAAAATTAGAAAAAAATTGCAACTTTCTTGGAACATTATAAAGAAAGTTAATAAATAGCAACAATTATTTGTTTAAACAATTGGTTAAATAGTAAATTCATATAAAATCTTTGTGTTATTATGTTGTGCTTGTTAAGTTGCAAAATTAGAAAAAAATTGCAATTTTCTAGGAATATTATGAAGAATGTTAATAAATAGCAACAATTATTTGTTTAAACAATTTATAATAATAGTTGTTGCAAATTGAATTATATATTTTATTTATAACCTTTGAATTAATAACTACGAAGAAAAGGTAACAAATTTATAAAATTCTTCTACTGTCGTATGTATATTTGAAAAAGTTATAAATTATTAATAATAAATTGTTTAAACAAATAAAAAATCAACAAAACATTAATAAAATATATTATTTGGTAACATATAACAATTTTGGAAAAAAACTGAATGATTCTAAGTTTTTATTGCAATATACAAAGAAGAAAATATTTGGCCCACCCTGGGTGGGATCTTGTCAACCGTGTATATAAAAAGTATCCAGTCCGGCGAAGGTTAAAAGACGAATTTTAAAACTTAGAATATACAAAATTGAATCTGAAAAAAATACGAAATATAAATTGTAGAAAAATTAATTTTTCTAAATTTTTTTATTTTTTTTTTTATTTGCAAAGAACCATTATTTAAATCATTGCTGTCTTGTTTTGAAAGTAAATAAATTTGAATTTAGTCGTAAATTTTGAGATGAATATTAAAAGCGATATTTTTCCTAACCCCTTGTAATACAGATATCGTAGATATTAAGCCAACGAATATGGAGGAACTTACGGAAGTGATAACAGCTGCTGAATTTCACCCAGTTGAATGCAACCTTCTAGTTTATAGTAGCAGTAAGGGTACAATCCGCTTGTGTGACATGAGATCAGCTGCGCTTTGCGATCGTCACAGTAAGTTATTCGAAGAACCAGAAGATCCGACAAATAGGAGTTTTTTCTCCGAAATAATTTCGAGTATAAGTGACGTTAAACTCAGTAATTCCGGCCGTTATATGATTAGTAGGGATTATCTGAGTGTTAAAGTGTGGGACTTGCATATGGAAACAAGGCCCATTGAATGTTATCCCGTAAGTTTTTTTTAAAAAAATATTTTATATATTTATCCATTTAAAACATAAAATTAATTTATAAATTTTCATATCATATTTAAATTGAATTTTGAAAAATGAAGCCTAATAATTACAAATTTAGTTTTTTTTAAAATTAAATCTCAGACATTTAACTTCAATTTTTTGTAATGTAGAAATAAGGATAATATTTTATGAACTAAATGTTCTGAACGTTCAAATGAACGAAATATTTTTTTCAATCTTTAAATTATTAAAAATTATTATGTCAATGTTGAATAAAACAGTAAATTAAACAATTGTTAAATTAATAATTTCTTTTTAGATATTTAAAACAAAATTTTGTAATAAAATTCGTATTTAAAGAAGTTGTAAAAAAAATTTTTTTCATTTGAACGTTCAAAACTTTTGGCTCATAATATTTTAATAATGAAGTTTTGAGAATTTCAAATTTTAAAACATTTAATAATTCCTCAAAGGAGAAACAGAAAAAAATCCAATTTTTGTTGAAATATTTAAGAAGTTAAATCTTTTATTTTTTATTATATAAATTTTTTTTTTATTTAATTTTGAAAATCTTTTTACAAAGTACGAATTGCAAATTTTTAATTTATATTAAAATAATGCAAGTAATTTTATAAAAACTAAGTTAGATGTCTCATTTATCAATTTTTCAAAATTTCTTTTATAAAATTATTATCGAAAAATTGAAGAAAATTAATTTTTAACCATGGATTTTTTTTTTATTTTCATTTTTCAAAAAGTTTATTTTTAAAACAAAATTAAAATTTTTCAAAATTCATAAAATTTATTATTCGGAATCACAAAAAAAAGCTTTTACAAAAAAAGTTAGAGATGAAAAATAAGAGAATTTTTATTTCTTAAATTTTTAAATATTGTAAAAATTTAATTTTCTCTTTCCTTTAATTCATTTCAATGAAAATTTATTAATGAATTTAAATTATAATTCTTTCAAAATAGGAAAAAAATAATTAAATAATAAAATGTAATTTTCTTTCTTTCTTTCTTTTTTTTTACAGGTTCACGAGTACCTGAGATCGAAGTTGTGCTCATTATATGAAAATGACTGTATTTTTGACAAATTCGAGTGCTGTTGGAGTGGTAATGATTCTGCTATTATGACTGGTTCTTATAATAACTTCTTCCGAGTTTTTGATCGTACAACAAAACGAGATCTTACTTTGGAAGCAGCGCGTGACATCGCAAAGCCAAAAACACTTCTAAAGCCCCGAAAGGTTGGTATTAATTTAAATACATGTATTGTTAACCCTTTAAGAACCAAATTTTTTATTTTTAAATAATTTTTTCTGAGAAACTAATTAGAGTTTTTTTTTGTCTCCAAACCAAAGTTCGAAATTGAAAATTTCTAAAAATTCTTGGATTTTTCTTTCAAATTTTCTCTTCAATATTGTATTTCCATTAATTTTTTTAAAATTCTCTTGTTATTATTTTGTTTTTCAATTTTTCTTAAAATTCTCATTTTCATTGTCTCTTGATTTTTCTTCTTAAACTACAATATATTTAAATATTTTCCCCTCAAATTCTCATTTTCTTTAAAAAATTCTTAAAATTTATTTATTTATCAGTTAATTATTTAATTCTTAAATTTTTTCAAAACTATCTTTCTATTTTATATATAACTACGAGATAATAACATATTTTCTCACGGTTACTTTTTCCTACTTTTTTTTTACCCTAAAAGCTATTTATTATTTACTAACTAATCGAGTGCGAAGCATGCATTAAAATAAATAAAAATTAAAAAAAAATTCTTTTTCAAGGTCTGCACTGGTGGTAAGCGAAAGAAAGACGAGATCAGCGTCGACTGCCTCGATTTTAATAAGAAAATATTGCACACTGCGTGGCATCCTTCCGAAAATGTGGTTGCTGTTGCGGCTACTAATAATCTATTTCTATTCCAAGATAAGCTTTAGCACATCTGTATGCAGGTTGGTTTTATCTTTACTGCTTATATGATATACTCGAAAAAATTTATATTATTATTACTTTTTTTACTGTAAAAAAAAACATGCTTCTTGGAATAAAATTTTTAAAAATACTTTTTATAATAAATTTTCAAAAAAAAATTATCATTTAAATAAATTTTTTATAGTACCTCTGAAATATTAAATAAGTTTACAAAAGGAAAAAAAAAATTCATCTTGAAAATAAATTTCACATTCAAAATATTTTATGTCAGTCACGTATATATGTCAATTTGTGACAAAAAATAGTTAATAATTAAGAAATTATTAATTTAATAATTGTTCAATTTATTGTTTTATTTTACATTGCCATCATAATTTTTAATAATTTATAGATTGAAAAAAATATTTCGTTTATCTAAACGTTCAGAACTTATGGCTCATGTGTACTTCCGGTTTATAAAAAGTTTTAACAATTTTTTAACTTCAAAAAGAAACACAATTTTTAAATTAAAATCCCTACTACTTTCTATAATTTTTTTTTTTAAATGAGCTAATATTTTAGGGATTTGTTACTATTTTGGCTATTTTCTGCCAATTAAAAAAAAAAAGAAAAAAACTAAGAAATTAGAACATTAATTTATTTGTTACAATTTTTTCACCTTTTTTTAATTTTACTATAAAAGTTTGAAAAACATAATTTAGAATTCATAATGTCTTCTGCAATTTAATTATTTTTCTCCAATGAGAAAACATACTGAGAATAATAATTATATTTTTAAATGGATTTAAAGAAAAAAGAGTATTACTTTTACAGATAGTACAACGGTATATATTGACGTAAGCATGGCACCGCAAAGCCACAAGCTTCGGATGGAGCAACGAGTGTTATAGCATGATTGATAATAGGACAAAAGACAACAACAACATCAACAACAACAACAACAACAATAATGTACTCCAAAAAAAAAAAAAAAAATTCAAAAAAAAAAATGCAAAAAAATTAAAAATTCCAAAAAAAATGTTGACGGACTGAAAAGACGTGTATGTAAGAAAAGCGCACTCTGTCTGAGAAACAACATTTCATCTCTCATCAATTATTATTCGCGTCAATTCGAAATACGCGATTCTCATTCATCACAGACAAAACATTACATGCTCGCACAGAAAATAATTTACCGCGTGAATACTTGTACATAAAAAAAAGAAGAAAAAATGCATACGAATCCAAATACATCAATAAAGATTCTATCAAAAAAAAAAAAAATCGTTTGTACAGAGACACTAAAATTACAACAACAACAACAACAACAACAACGGGTGATATTTCCAGAGAAATTAACATATATCTCTGATTAATTGGTCTCATGTTTGCAAACTCAACATCTAATGAATTCAATAATCGCGATTCCATTATCCTAAAATCGCAAATTTTCAAATTTGGAAAATTTGTACTCGAGATTTTTCTAATGCAAACAATTAACGTTTCTCTCGTCGGTGAAACTTTTCATATTCGTAAAATAAAAAATAATTTTCAGTAACGAAACAATAAGGAAATGTAAATTTCAAAAAAAAATAATAATAATGGTGTAATTAATTCGATTGACTGATTGAACGTTTATAAAATTACACATACAGCCGCCTAATTCAAGATAAGAACGAAAATGCTAAAATCAAAATCGCTTAAATTATACTAAAAAAAAAAAAGAAAGGTTATGACAAATTTAAACAAAAAATTGATTTTTCAAATTTGTTTAATAAAATATGAAAAAAAAAGAATATTGTTCTTATGTAACGCAACATTAATGTCCACAAGTCATTATCATTTCATTATTATTGATGAGATTGTAAAATGAATTTTATTTTCTTGTATAGATTAATCTTAAGGCCATGTGGGGGAAAAAAAAATACATTTTTTGACAACTCTCAAATTTTCTCTGAAATGAAAATAAATTTGAAGGTTGACATTTTTTTTTTTTAGGAATTTATAGAGAAGGGTACAAGGAACATCGCTCTTTTATACTCATTTTCTATAACTTTACGCAAAAACTGATTAAAAAAAAAAATAAAGCACTAAATAGTATAAACTTTCTTTCCTAATTCAATATTTCTCAATGAAGCTGCCATTTTCGTTTAAAAATATGACTTTTTAAACTTATTTTTTTTTAACGCAAAATTAATTTTTTTTTTCAGAAGCGATATACCCTTCTCTATAATTCCAAAAAAAAAAATGTTCAACCCCAAATATTTTCTCGTTTTAAAAAAAGTTTTGTTTTTATCAAAACACAATTTTCCCATTCTAAATCATGTGGAAATTTTCCACATGGCCTTAACTTCCTTCTTGCGAGTCTGATTCATGTACAACATGTATTGGGTCAGAATTTTCAGACGTTTTTATATTATGATTTTGAATTTATTACATATACCATTGAATATTATACTTACATATACACACACACATATATATATATATACATATACAAGGCCTACAATTTATTTTTATTTTTATTTTTATAATAAAAAAAAAATTTACCTCTACAAATAATAATGTTAACCGAGCCGTTTGCTAGAAATTTTCGAGAGAAAAAAAAAACAAATGTTCAACGATTAAATCCGTAAAAAAAATTTTTTTCTTTTAAATTTACTTTCGCATGTTATTAAAAAAAAGGCATTTTTAAATAGGTTCGATTTCCTTGCATTTTTATTCCTTTGCAAATAATTCCCCGTATAAATTTATGTCAAATTTTTTTTTTTTTTGACTTAATGCGCTAGGAGTAAAATAAGTAAGCTGGACTTGCGTATAATGTAGAACTGCATTAAAAAAACAAACAAATAAATCATTTTAGGTAATTGAAATATGCAATTTAGAATTTTTTTTTTTAATTGAGTACAACTAATTGAATTGAAAATAATTATAATCAATCATTTTGTAATTTATTTACGATTGTCTAGAACAATATTATTATTATTTCAATTATATTAATGAAAACAAAAAATTAACTGTGATTTTCATTTTCCGCAAAAAAAAAAAAAAAAAATTTTTTTTCATTTATTTTCTTGCAAATAAATTGTAAACTATACTATTATTGTAAAACAAAAGAAAATAGACAAGAGCTCGATTTGCAAAATGAAATTTATAAAAACGAAATGAACAATTTTTATAATAAATCGAAATCAGTAATAATTAATATTATCTTAATTATTTTTTTAAACCTTTTAACTATTTCAGAAAGACAACTCAAATTCATTATGAAAATTTTTTCGAATTTTTTTTTATGATTGTTAATTTACATTTGTTATTGAAATTTATTTATTATTTTACAGGTCTCGGATTATACGACTTTTTTCGACTTATTTTAATAAAATACGACTTTTTCGACTTTTTTTTTTACATTTTTTTTTTACAAAATATGTTTTTTTAGTATTCAATGCAGCTCTTCTTTATTTCAATTATTTAACAAATTTTTAACTAAAATTCTTCACTAAATTAATTATTATTAATAATTATAATGAAATTCTTCACAAATTCAATTGTCTTAAACTATTTTTCAATTAAAAATTTTAGAAAATGTAATAATTGTTTATAATTTTTAAAAAAATTTGCAAATAAAATTATCAAAAAATTTTAATTCAAAATCACTTGAAATTTAATTATTTGCAAAAAGTTTTAATTATTTTTAATGATTTTTATAATATTCTTCGAAAATTCAATTATCTGACAGTATTTTGCAATTAAAAAATTTTTTAAGTTCAACTTTATATTTTCTAATAAATTCTTTAATTATTTTCAAAAAATTTAATAGAAATTCAATTATTTTCCAAAATTACGATTCTGAAATATTCGAAATAAATTTTTGGAATATAAATCGACTAAAACGACTTTTTTTTGTGCCTTAAAGTCGATCCGAGGCCTGTGTTTCCTAATTTTTCAATTTCGATTTCAATTATTTACTAAAGATTAACTTATCAAATAGTGATGGAAAAATTTTTAATAATGAAATTGAGTTAGTCTTCTTTATTTTATGATAAAGATTTTGATTTTTTTTTTTTAGTAATTATTTAAGATAATAATTTCCTTTTCTCCAAATAAAAAAAGTATAATTAAAAAATTAACTATAATCAATATTTCTACATTAAAGTTAGAAATTAAGAAAAAAAAATTATTGTTTTTCACATTTTTTTTCAAAGAATTGAAAACTATAAAATTGTAAAGTGAAAACGACTCTTGTTAGCAAAACATTTGTATTGGTGAAAAATTACTGCTATCCTTGTATAAATAATGTGTAGTCAAATAGTAATTGAATCTAAAAAAGAAAAAAAAACACACACACAAGTGTATTTTATATAATACAAAAGCGTATTTTGTCACAATGAATGAAATAGATGATTTTCATCATGAAAACATGATTTTTTAATATAAAAAAACGAATAAAATGTTCGTATCAGAGAAATATCATTTACAATATTCAATGTATTTGATATTTCAAATTATTTGTCCTATTTTTGCAAATATTATTACCTTTTAAATTCTTTTTGACCAATTATTCAAATATATAATAAGAAAATTTTTAGAGAAAATAGAGAAATAGAAAGAAGAAAGAAAGAAATAGAAATTCTAAATAAAGAAAATTTTAATTAAAAGTTAACAAAAGTAAAGTTAAAAATAATTTCTTTTTTAATCTTCTAAACTAGATATTTAATATTATTTTAATTTGTTAAATATTTAAATGATTAAAAATTAATAAACTTTAATTTATAAATTATATAAAAAAAAAATTAAAAATAATTTATTCAATGAAAATAATAAATGAATACACTGATACGAATAATATGAGTCTGAAAATCTGTCCTATTGTGATAAGAAAAACTTATATTAGACGAAGTTGTATTTTTATTGACTTTATACGACATAGAACGCCTTATAGATAATATTTTTTGGAAAAAAAAAAAAATCTTCCTATACCTGCAATGCACGAAAACTGCTTTTTCAATATTCACAAAATAAACATTACACAAAAAAAAAGGAAATTATTGACGATAACCATTGAAATTTCTATTATTTTGAAGAAAAAAAATACTATAAAGTCTCTGGCGAACGTTAATAATAATAATAATAATAATTGTATAAAAATATTAGTTTCCTGCTTCACAAACAATAATTGTTGACACAATTGAGATTTTATTTCTATTTATTTTTCATTCAATATTATAAAAAATATATCGTAAACGAATTTAATTTATCAATTTTAATTTACATGCATGTCAGAATAGGAATGGAGCAAAAAAAATTATTTTTTTCTAACGAAATTAAAAGAAAAAACTCGTTTTTTCTAAATAGACAATTTTATTATTTTTTTTTTTTAATTTCTTCGAGAATTTTAATTATTTTTTAATAATCTTATTAAGATATTTTTTTCATGTTTTGTACTTTTCAAAATTGACGATTCAATTCTATTCAATGCAAAAGTTTATTTATTTTCATTCATTTAAATTTTAATTTTCAGATTAGAAAAATTTTAAACAAGAAAATTTGAAAAAAAGGTTTTTATAATCATTTACTATAGAGAAATTTAAAAAAAAGTACAATATTTTATTTGATAATTTATTTAAAAAGTGTTAGTAGTGTTGAAATAAATAAATAAAAAGAATGTTATTTTTAAACATAAAAAATTTTCATATTTAATTAAATTATAATTAAGAGATTTTCTTCAATTTTCGCAATTTTTAATCTTCGATGGAAATTATTGTCATACACATCAGGTGCGTAAGAAAATAATTACAAAAATTAATTATTAAATTTTTGTTGCTCCATTTTTATTTTGATAATTTGAATTTTATATTTTTTAATTAAAAATATATCGATAGAAAATATAAAAATCGGACATATGCGCATTCATTTTGCTTAAAAATAAAAATAAATTGAGTATATTATAAGAAGGGGCAAAAAATAAATAATTTGACGTCAGCTCTATATATATATATATATATATATATATAAAGAATAAATGACAAATTCAACTTATTTTTTCTAATTAATTTTTTAAGCAGATTGAGCATTTAGATCATATAGTGTGGCAGTATTAGATTCTATTAAATTATCGGACGTAGAATATTTGAAAAAAAGGAGGTATTTTTGAGAAACTTGTAAAAAAAAATAACAAAAAATATGTCAGAGCCAGAGGCAGATAATTAGGTTTTATATAAGTAGTTAATAAAATAATAGTTTTCTTTAAAATATATTGAAAATAAGTAAATTTTTTTAAAGTAAAATTCAAATTAAGTAGATAATGTATTAATATTATTTTAAAAATTATTTTTAAATACTCTCCGTTATTCATAGCAAAAAAAAATTTATTCACAGCCAAAAATAGATTATAATAATTTTTTCTTGAAAAATAATTTATTAAACTACGACCCCTTTACCCAAGAAAATAGAACAAATTTTCAAAAACTGTATAATAGAATGTCGTATCTTGAATTTTCGGTTCTATATACTATTTTCTTAAAAATAGTTTAGAAAATTAATTTTTTCTTCTTTGCATATTATTTTTGCTTTACAGTTGAATATTTCAAAAATAATTTTAAAGTGTTCTCTGGAGTAATGAAAAAAAATTATCATTTTTTAATAAATAATTTAAAAAACGGACACTAAATTCAAGAATATTACGAAAATGTTTTTTATTTACCTCCTATATTTTTCATTTATGTTTTTATTGAAAAATTTATTTAAACCATAAAAAAGTAATTTTTATTATTTCTTCTATAAAATTTTCAATCTCATGCAAAAAAAAAAAAAAATATATATTAAATTAGATAAATTATTTTTATTTAATTTCTGCTAGTGAACTGCCTTAATTTTAAAAACACGGAGAAAAATAAACATTTGTTAGGTAATAATTTGTATAGGTATATATATTTTGAAAAAAAAAATATATAGGCACTTTTCAAATTCATTTTGATGACATAAGTTTACAAAAAAAAATTCCTTTGTCAATAATAACAATATAATAATAATAATATTAATAATAAGCCAGGAGAAACCTAAATAGACTTTAATTGAAAAATGAAAAAGACAATTATTATGTAATATAAAGGACGAGTTATATCAATTTGGCTTTTTAAGTGTGAAATAATAAAGGGCTAAGATGTGTACGATTGCATGTACAACATAAAGAAAAAAAATGTTCGAGACATCAAAATAAAAAAGTGGCACTTATGTAGCTTTGAAAGAATGAGAATTATTAATAAAAAAATCAGATATACATAAATCGGATATGCTACTTTTTTCAGACCTTTTCTATATTATATTATATTATATAGAAAAGTATAAAATATATTGCAGAGTAAATGAAGAATGAAATTGTAAATAGAATAATTAATTAATAGCTATTGAAAATAATTTTCTTTTTTAATGTATAAATGATTGTGTTTAAAAAAAATACAAAGAGGTAAGATTTAAAAATCTTAATAAAGGGAATGAACGAATGCTTCCAATTGAAATAGTTTTTGTTCGTTGTACACATCGGCCATGTGTGTGAGTGTGAATGATTGAGAGAGAAATAGTTATAAATAATAATAATAACATTAACGATGAAATTATGAATTTGCATAATAAAACATCATACCAAACCAAATATATTTTTATTTAACAAATTTATAAATTTTTTTCCATTAATATTAAAACATATTTTAGGACGAAAAATGTTAACTTAAAATTCTATCCAATTTCTCATCGCTTCTCGGCCATATGGCTAAGAAAGGAATAGTTGAATCATTTTTTTTTATTAAAAAAAATATGGAAAACCTTTTTTAATCTTCTTAATATGGATCTATAATTATTTTTTATAAGATAATAAATTATTAAAGCAGTTAAAAAGTATAAGTGTTAAAAATAAACAAATTTTTGTTGACCCAACTTCTCATTGCTTCTCGGCCATATGGCTAAGAAGAAATAGTCAAAGAATTTTTTTTTTAAATAAATAAACATGGAAAATTTTTTTTAATTATTCTTAATATGGATCTTTAATTATTCCTTATAAGATAATAAGTTATTAAAGCAGTTAAAAAGTCTAAGTGTTTAAAATAAACAAATTTTTTGTTGACCTCATCGCTTCTCGGTCATATGGCTTAGAAAGGAATAATTGAATCATTTTTTTTTTATTAAAAAAAATATGGAAAACCTTTTTTAATCTTCTTAATATGGATCTATAATTATTTTTTATAAGATAATAAATTATTAAAGCAGTTAAAGAGTATAAGTGTTAAAAATAAACAAATTTTTGTTGACCCAACTTCTCATTGCTTCTCGGCCATATGGCTAAGAAGAAATAGTCAAAGAATTTTTTTTTTAAATAAATAAACATGGAAAATTTTTTTTAATTATTCTTAATATGGATCTTTAATTATTCCTTATAAGATAATAAGTTATTAAAGCAGTTAAAAAGTCTAAGTGTTTAAAATAAACAAATTTTTGTTGACCTCATCGCTTCTCGGCCATATGGCTAAGAAGGGATGGTCGAAGAATTTTTTTAGTTGAAGAAAAAATTATCGAAAAATCTTTTAAATTCTTAATATAATATTAATATGCAAATTTTTTTTTTTGAGATTAAAAATGAATAATGTTAATATTGATCTTCAATTATTTTTCTTAAGTTTAAAATAAAAAATAAAAAATTATTAAAGCAGTCAAAAATTTTAATTTTTTTTCTTAAATATTAAGACATTTTACATATTCAGTTTTTGTTGAAAAATTAAAATATAACTGTTCCAAAATAAAATTATTAGAATCAATTTTTATTGAAAAATAAATAAAGTGAAAATATGTGACCTGGACAGTTAAAAGGGACCTTTTGTCCGAAAAAATCGATTTTTTATTGATTGGTGTTTCTGATAAAGAAAACTTTTTTCTATCAGAATCACCAATCAATAAAAAATTAATTTTTTCGGACAAAAGGTTCCTTTTAACTGTCCAGGTCACATATAATTCACGTATAATTTTAGTTTCTTGTAAAAAATAAATAAAGTTTTCCTTAAATTTACTGTCTAAATTTAAATTAGTGAAAATTGAGCTACTAATTCACATTAGTAAGAATTTTTACTAATTTTTGATAAAATATTACTATTTGATTCAATAGTTAAAAATTTTTTTTTTACTAAAGTATTAGTAAAAAGTGACTAAAAATTAGTGAAAATTTTTACTAATTTAAATTAGTAGCTCACTTTTTACTAATTCAGATTTAGAGAGTAAGAATAATTAGTTTTTTAAATGAATAATTAAACAAATTTCTGCTACAATTAGAACAATTTTTCTTTTGTTTATTCCAAAAAAATTATTGCTTACTCTTTGAGTTCTTTTTGTAAAAGTACTTTGAGTAATTTGTGAAAAAGGGATTTTTAATATATTGCAACTAAGTATATTGTGTAAAATGATTTAAATATTTTGTAAACAGTACGTTGAGTACTTTGTGTAAAATAACTTTAAATATTTTACAAAAATGCTTTAGGTACTTGTTGTAAAAGTACATTGATAATATTTTGAAAACTGCGTTACAGACTTGGTGTAAAACTACTTTTTACATAAACTAACAAAAGAATATTTTACATAAAGTACAAAAGTACTATTACATAGAGTACAAAAAGTACTTTCTACATAGAGTACCAAAAGTACTATTTACATAAAGTAGCAAAAGTACTTCCTACATAGAGTACCAAAAGTACTATTTACATAAAGTAGCAAAAGTACTTCCTACATAGAGTACCAAAAGTACTATTTACATAAAGTAGCAAAAGTACTTTTTACATAAAGTACAAAAGTACTTTAATATAAAGTGCAAAATTACTTTAATATAAAGTGCAAAAGTACTTTAATATAAAGTACAAAAGTACTTTAATATAAAGTGTCAAAAGTACTTTAATATAAAGTATCAAAAGTACTTAAATATAAAGTATCAAAAGTACTTTGTACTTAAAGTACTAAACGTACTTTTTTACGTAAAGTACCAAAAGTACTTTTTAACTTAAAGTACCAAAAATACTTTTTTTAACTTAAAGTACCAAAAATACTTTTTTAACTTAAAGTACCAAAAATACCTTTTTAACTTAAAGTACCAAAAATACTTTTTTAACTTAAAGTACCAAAAATACTTTTTTAACTTAAAGTACCAAAAGTTCCTTTTTACTTATCAAAATTACTTTTGTACTTAGAGTCCCAATAGTACTTTCTACATATAGTATCAAAAGCACTTTCTACATAATGTACCAAAAGTACTTTTTACATATAGTGTCAAAAGTACTTTTTACATATGGTACCAAAAGTACTTTCTGCATGAAGTACCAAAAGTACTTTCTGCATGAAGTACCAAAAGTACTTTCTACCTGAAGTACCAAAAGTACTTGTTACATGAAGTACCAAAAGTACTCTTCACATAAAGTACTAAAAGTACTTTATGTGAAAAGTACCAAAAGTACTTTTAGCTTAAAGTACCAAAAGTACTTTATATATAAAATGCAAAAAGTACTTTTTACATAAAGTACCAAAAGTACTTTTTACGTAAATTACCAAAAGTACTTTTTACATAAAGAACCAAAAGTACTTTTATCCTTTTTTTAAAAGGTAAAAATTTTGTTTTAATTCTATTAAGTGGGCCGTTCACTGCGGTACTGCAATGCAGAGACAACCCGTGGCAGAATCGGAGCAAGCCCCAGACATTCCGCCGATTTCCAAAAATCAGTTCGATATTCTGGCTCTTCAATGAAGAGCGTATCAGATATCAAGCTGATAAGAACAGATACTACACTTTGATCTTAGCCATAGGGCCGAGAAGCGATAATTTGCTATGTTTTTCGTCCCCTTATATACCCAAAATGTAGCACAATAACTGCGAGAAAGGTGAAAAAAAGTTTGACATGCGCCCCTAGCGGAAATTTTTCGAAATTTTCAATTTGGCGCGAAAATTCAAATTTCGACCATTGTCCCACCACGTCCGTTTCTTGACGTTTGTTAACGTGCCTTTTTTATAATAATTGTAAATTTCAAAAATGTTATATAATTTATTAACAAAAATTTCAATAATAAATTTAAATACACTTTAATTTGAAAAATTAAAAAACTTTAAATAATAAGTAAAAAAAATGTTCATAATTTCAACTTTAATATAAATTCAAATTAGATATAATTTAATTGTACCTATATATTATTACAAATTAATAAGCGAAAATTTATATTTTTATTAAAATCATTATTTGAATCTTAAAAGTGATAATATTGTAAAAATAAAATTATAAAATATTTATTTTATTTATTATGAAAATTATTCATATATGAAAATTAATTTTTAATTTTAAAATGTGTATTAAATTTTATGCAACCAATTAAAAGATTTGTTGTAAGCGTATGCGCAATTAAGTTTGTTTTTGTTTTGATGATCGTGCATAACCTAAAATTTTGTGACGTGTATATGTAAAAAGTGCGTAAAAAGAATTAACAAAGTGTGAATGAAATGAAACTTTAAAAGTATTATTATTTTTATTTAATCATCAGTTTCTTCAACATTAGAAACTTATTTCCATTTATAGAAATATATTTTTTATTCTAAATATATATTATATTATATATAGGTGCTTTTTTTAAATTGTTTTTTAAAAATAAAAAAAAATGGTTTGGTTTATAAATTACAATAAAAATAACATAAAAGATGTTAATCTACCTTCCAAGGAAATTTCAAGAAAATTTTCTTTACAAAAAGACAGAAAAAAAAGTAAGTTTAATTATATTTTTATAAGGTTATAAACTTAAAAATTTTATAATTTTGCAGCAAGAGTATATTAAAAAAAAAATTATTCATTTATCTTCTTTCAGGTTGGATTGTGTATTCTTTTATTTGTTTCCTTATTATTTTTAACATTATATGTTTATCATCATTGGTATTTAAACAAACGTCAACATGGTTAATTTTTCAATTAAAATCAAGATACACTGACGATATAATATTAGAGCCACGTATATCATTTTTAAATACAACTTCCGATTATTATTTATCATTTACTATCGATGCTTGGCAATTACGAGAAATGAATAATTTACCAATTTCAAATAAAAAATTAATCAATTTAGCTCGACATTTAAGTCCCGCTTATGTTAGATATGGTGGCACTTCAGCGGATTGTCTTTTTTTTAATGAGGTAAAATTTTACAATAATATTAATAATAGGTAGGGTCAGTTGGGATAAATGGGGATAAAATCGCTATTTTTCAAAAATTACGTAAGTTTCTTCCTTTAAAAGGTAATATTTGCGGGTTTATTTTTTTTTTTAAGTTGTTATTTACATTCCCAGGATTAATTTTATGCAACAGAAAAAAATTTAGATAAGCTTTAAACGCATGAAACTGACTGTCCCCATTTACCCCAAAATTTAGAAAATTTCATAAAATTCGGGGTAAATGGGGAACAGCATAGTTTCTAAGAAAGTTTTAAGAAAAAAGTTTCCTTAAGTATATTACTGTATTAAGGGATGAAAAAACTTGAAAAAAAAATGTATAGTAGATATATAATAGTTGAACCAATTCACTTGAATTTTTGTTAATTTTGTTGATAATAACAAGCTGTCCCGATTTACCCCAAAAATTTGAAAACTCAAAGGTTAATGGGGAAATCTTGTCATTATTAACGAAATTGACAAAAATCAAAAATTCAAGTGAATTTATTAGCCAAAAGTTTTGAACGTTCATATGAACGAAATATTTTTTTCAATCTAGGTATAAATTATTAAAAATTATGATGACTATGTTAAATAAAACAGTAAATTAAACAATTATTAAATTAATAACTTCTTTTTAGATATTTTAAACAATATTTTGTAATAAAATTCGTACTTAAAGAAGTTGCTAAAAAAAATTTCGTTCATATGAACATTCAAAACTTTTGGCTCATGAATTTCTGTTATAGGAATCATAAGGAATAAGAAAAAAATTTGGTATGATTTTTAAGTCTGTTTTCTTTGAAATGCTCGATAAAATACTGAAACAGTTTGACTTTGATTTTCAAGTTTTCATGCATTGAACGATAAATTTTTTTATCTTGCTGCCAATTATCAAGATAAAAGCTTGGCAATACTCAAAACCTCTTGCAGGTGATCTGAGGTTAAAATATTGACGTTGAACTTCATTTTAAAACTCTAAATTAAGCTCCAAAACCTCTTGTCCCCATTTACCCCAACTGACCCTATCTGCAATTATTTTAATATAATTATAACAGGGTTGCGACAATTCATTTGTGTTAAAAAACAAAGTGTCTAGCGACTCTCAAAAACATTGAATTCTCTTTGAATTTATATTTTTAAACCAGGAAATATTATTTTTCTAGAAATAATTCAATTTTAGGCGAATTTAAATTGAGATTTTTTTGTAAATTTATACTCATAAATTTTTTTAAACAAATTTCAGACAATAATTAAATTAGAGAAAATTTTTAAAACTAGTGGGAAAGAAAAAATTGTAAAACTTTGTAAAAAGTACACAATGGAGAAATAAAATCTATCTATCTATTAAAAAAAAAAAAAAAAAAAAAAAAAAAAATAGAGAAAATTAGAGAAATTTTTTGATTTACTAGAAACCGAAGTTCTAATTATTTGACAGAATTTCTTTTTACCTAATTTTTTATTGAAAAAATTCAAATCCAAACAAATATTATTTTAGCAGAATTCTCATTCAACATAATTTTTTCGATAATTCTGTCATTTAAAAATTCGAATCACTTAAAATTTTGTTGAATAATAATTCTACTAAATTAATATTTGTTTGAATTCGAATTTAAATATAAAATTAGGTGAGGAGATATTCTTTTATATATAAATTCGGTACTTGAAAAATATGTCGAGTAAAAATTCGTTTAAAAAGAAATTCTGTCAACTGTTAATTTGAAAAACGATAATTTCTCTAAAAAAAAAAAAATTATATCTACTTTAAATTCATTCAAATGAAAATTTCAATTAATTATATTTTTATGGAAAATACATGCGCCCCAAAAATTTTGTTAAATTAAATTTTCCAAGATTAGCAGTTAAATTTTTTGATACTGATTAAATTTTAAATGATTCTCAATTGAAAATTTGGAAATTATTTTTAAAAAATTTATTTAATTACAATATTAATAGGTGCGAATTTTTTGTACCTTATACAAATTTCAGACAATAATTAAATTTTTGAAAAACAATTAAATTGTTAAAAATTATTATTAATTTTGCAAAGAATTTTACATAAAAATGTATAAACACTTAAATTTTCAAAACGTTACGATTAAGATTTTTAAAATTAATTGAATTTCAGAATATTTGAAACTAGAATTTTTTGTAAATTTCAATTGCAGAAATTTTTTTTTATAAATTTTTTAACAAAAGTTGTGTTTTAGAGAATTTTTAATTAAAAAATTTTGCAAATAATTGAAATTTCAAAGAGTTTTTATTAAAATTTCTTTAATTAATTAAATTTTCAAAGTTTAGCAGTTAAATTTTTTGTTAATGATAAAATTTTTAAAAAAAATTTAATTGAAAACTTGGAAAATATTTAAAAGTATGAATATATATTGAATTAAAAGAATTGAAAGTAATTTAAATTTGGTAAAATTTGATTGAAAGCTTTGAAAATAATAAAAAATTTTTTTTTTAAGAATTTGAATTGTTCTATATACAATGTTTGTTTAACATAATTTTTATTTGGTCAAATTTTTATTGATCACAATTTTTTTCAACAGAATTCACATTTTTGATAAAAAAAAAAGAACAAAATTCGAAAATGTCTGAAAGTCAAAAAAATGTCATGGAAAATTATAATTAAATTTTTGTGGCAACCCTTTATAAGTATTTTTAATTTTTATTAATAATTTAAAAAAAAATTCCAAAAATTTACAACAATGCTGAAGTTTTAACATTTACAATCAACGATTATAATAAACATTTTTTTAAATACATAATTTTATAATTTTCCGTTTTTGGAAACTAATTTTTTTTTTCTAATCGTTAATCATAAACGTTATGGACTTTTAGCATCGTAAAATTACACAAAATAAATTCTTTTCAAAAATATTTTTTAATGAAAAAAAAAAATTTGATATTATTTATAGACTTTAAATGAGTCTAAAAAAATGATAAGCCCAGTAAATGGAGAAGATATTAGTAAATTTTCAATCTCAGAGAAAGATTTTCAATCTCTTTATGAATTTTCAAAAAATTCAAATTTAAAAATGATTTTCGACCTAAATGCATTAATTCGTAAGCAAGATGGTAGTTGGGACGATACTAATGCTAAGAAAATTATTCAATTCGCAAGAAAATGGAAAATGAATATTGACTGGCAATTAGGAAATGGTGGAGTATTTAAATATTATATATATATATACCTATATTTATAGTAACATTATTTTAATTTCTCTTTTTATAAAAAAAAAGGAAATTAGAAACTCAAATAAATTAATGATTTAATAATTTAAATGTTTTGCCTTTCAGAACCACCAAATTTTCCACTATTATTTAATGTTACAATTCCAGCTGAGCAATTGGCAAGAGATTATTGTCATTTAAGATCTTTATTGAATTCTTTGGGTTATAAGAAAAATATTTTAGTTGGTCCCGAAGTAAATCAAGTCGGTGGTCCTTCATTTAATGGAGAAAATTATACAAGAATATTTTTAGAAAATTCCAAAGAGAGTACAAATTATGTAACGTGGCATCAATATTATTTAAGAGGCGAGGACGCACATTTTAATGATTTTATAAATGCTTCTACATTTAATTATTTACCATATTTAATTAAATCAATGCAAACCGCTATTGACAAATCAGGAAATAAAATTCCAATGTGGCTGTGTAAGTGAAATTAAATTTTTTTTTAAATTTAATCAATTAATTAAAAAGAAATTAATTTAATTTTATATACAAATATAATTAATTTTTCTTTTTTTCTTTTTAAATTTATTTTACAGCAGAAACAAGTACAGCTTTTGATAGAGGAGCACCGGGAATTTCCGATCGATTTATCGCAGGATTTTTATGGTTAGATAAATTAGGATACAGTGCAAAAGCAGGAATTAAAGTTATTATTAGACAAACACTTATTGGTGGAAATTATGGAATGATCTCATCTGATTTAACACCAAATCCCGATTGGTGGATTAGTGTGATTTATAAAAATTTTGTTTCTAATCAAATTTTACAAATTTCAACAAAAAATAATTTTGGAAATACACGACTCTATTGTCATTGTACGCCAGAAAAAATTTTTCCAAACAGTATTACAATTTTTGGAGTTAATATTAATGAAAAGTCCATAAGGCTTTCGTTGGAAAATATTTCAATATTTTCTAAAAGTAAAATATCTCTATACATTCTGACTGCTGACAATTTATTATCAAGGTATAGTAAAAAAAAAATTTACCTTTTCTTTTTGTATTTAAAGTTTTAAATAAAAAATTCCAAACTAAATTAATTAAATTTTAATGTAATTTATTTATTTTATTTCTATAGATCAATTAAAATGAATGGAAAAGTGTTAAATTTATTAAAGAACGGTGATTTACCATCATTTACACCGATTTCTCACGAAAATGAAAAAATTATTACTCTACCAGCTTATTCAATGATTTTTATTATTATTCAAAATGTAAGTATTCCAATATGTTGATAAATAAATTGTTTTTTGTACAGAATTACGCATTTATTTTTTATTGTGCAAAAAGAAATAATAATGCAAATTTGTTTTTACCCTTTTTTTCTTGAATAATAATTCTTTGTATCTATATAGCTATTGTTATTAGAAATTAAATTAATTTTATTAATTCCTTAATAAGAATAATTCTATAGGAATATTATTGAGAAAATTTATTTCGAATATTTCAGAATTGATCAAAAACAAAATTTCCAAAATTTTAATTCAGTAGGACAGATTTTTAAAAACAATTTTAACTTTCCATTTTAACCAATTTTTAAAATCTATTTTTGAGCAAATTATTCAAATTCAAAATTTTAGCATAGTTTTTAGTTTTAATGGACAAAGAAATTTCGGCCAATAATTAAGTTTTAAAGAATTTTTAAATGAAGTTTTTTTTTAAATAATTGAATTTCAGAAAATTTTAAATTAAAATAAATTTTTGCAAATTTGAACAATTGATGTAGTTTTTTTGTTAAATTGAATTGAAAATTGAATTTAAAAAAACAATAAAAATGTAATTAAAAATAATTGAATTTTTGAAGAGATACAGTTTTAGAAATAATTGAATATCATGTTATTTTGAAATTTTTGATAATTTTATTTGATGAAATTTTTTTTTTTAGAAATTTCAAACAAATTATTAAATTTTTAAAAAATATTTAATTAAAAAATATTTTCAGATAGGAATTGAATTTTTGAAGAATTTTATTGAAATTATTGAAAATAATTCATTTAGCAAAAAATTTTAGTTATGAATTGTTAAGTAATTAAATTTTGGAAGAACTGCATTGTATATTAAAAAAAAGTCATATTTTATTTTAAAATGGTGTTTAAAAAAATCCGAAAAATTTGTAATTAGCATATGTGTGAATTCAATTATAATTTTTAAATTTGCATATAAAATTAACTATATTAAAAAAGAGTTACCGATGTGATGAAATTTCTGCGTAGCGTTAGAGATAAGATGACAGCATATCTTTTTTATAAAAGGACAAATCTTTCTTTTTTTGGACCAATTACCTGAAAAAAATATAATAATTCATTATTTTCATATGTGTAAAATAAAATATATTAAAAATTATTTTTAAATATATATAAATATTAACATTTGATATTCTATCATTAGTTATAAATATTAGAATAAATTTTTAACTATTTTTTCTTTATTCTATTTATTGATATTTCTGAAAAATAATGCAAAAAAACTCACCTATATAAAGGGAAATTTTGCGTTGTGTAAAAAATACGATGACAATATATTCCTTTTTTAAGTGGGTCAATCTTTCCTCAACTGGACCAATTGACTGAGAAAATATATATAATTATTCATTATCAGGGTTTCCCATAAAATTTTCATTATAATTTTCCCCGACTTCCAGACAATATATTCGAAAATTCAGTTATTTTCAAAAATATAATTTCATTATATTTAATCTTCAGCAATTGAAATTTACAAAAAATACCAGTTTCAAATTTTCTGAAATTCGATTAATTCTAAAACTCTTAATAGGAATTATTCGAAAATTTAAGTATTTATAAATTTGTATTTAAAATTTTTTACCAAATCAATAATTTTTAATAGTTTTAATAGTTTTTCAAAAATTTAATTATTTAAAAAATGTTCTAAAAATTTAATATAACGTATTATCACTTTTAAATATATTAATATTTTATTTATAAATGTGAATATTTGATATTGTATCATCAATTATAAATATTATCAAGAATTACTTTTTTAAAATTGATATTTCTAAAATATATTGGCAATTATTTTTTTAATAGTACTGAAACTTGTTTATCATTTTCAAATTTTTTTTTAACAGTAGCTATTATTATTTTTAAATATTTAATCAAATTAAATTTTTAATAACATCCATTAATATATTGAAATTAAAAAACTAAGAAAAAAAAATTTATGATCAACATATACATTGAACTGCGACTCAGCTATATGCAAGATCTCCTCCAGGAGCAGCTCCGCAACAAACACCCATCTTTCACGAATTGGACACCTACAAATTAAGAAAAAGGAAAATAATTATGGGTAAGTCCACGTCAGAAATATCAGAATCTGCAAGTGGTTCTTCGATTTTAATGATACTTGGTAAAATTATAGCTTTATATAAGAGCAATGTGTAAGTAAAGGAATTTTTAAAATATCTAAAATTGTAGGAGTTATATCACTTTTAATTTTAATACTGCATTTTTTCTTTCCTTTATATCTCGGACAATTTTCAACCGATTTTGATGAATCAAAAACGATTTTTTTCAGAAAATTACGTATTTTCAGAAAATTTTAAAATAAAAATAAAATTTTGTTATTTAAATAGAAAAAAGTAAAAAACAAAATTTCTTTTAGATTTTTTTTCAGTTTCGACCTCTTTTTTTTAATTTTTAATTTTTTTAATAATATTCCTTTTTATTTTATCTTTAATTTAAAAAAAAATCCATCCTGGAGACTTTTTTAGATCTCGTGATATCGTTCTTTAAATATCCCAAGAGTCTTCTTGAAATATCCACATCTCAAGAAAACTAGGATCCAGATTTGTGTTTCTACTTTCATTTGTTTTATAATATTATTGTTACAAACTAGGAACTTTCGCGTAATAATGTTTTTATTTTTAAATTACTTGACTAAAACAAGTGAAAATTCAAGCAAATCAATATTTTATTAATAGATTTGAAGCAAAGTTTTTATTTTTTGTAATATTTATAATTTAAAAAAAATTGTAATGAAACCTTAACAATGCAACCTGAAATTGTAGCTGACGTTTTTAGCGCTTTTTTTTTAGAGGATTCTAAAACAAATAGTTATTCATAACCATAAAAAATTTCAACAAACAAATGAAAGTAATGATAGAAGCAAGTCCTGCGGTTTTCAAATTGATGAAGACTTATAATACTTAAAGGACGATATCACGAGATCTAAAAAAGTCTCCAGGATGAATTTTTTTTTAAATTCAAGATAAAATAAAAAGGAATATTATTAAAAAATTAAAAAAAAGAGGTCGAAATTGAAAAAAAATCTAAAATAAATTTTGTTTTTTACTTTTTTCTATTTAAATAACAAAATTTTATTTTTATTTTAAAATTTTCTGAAAATACGTAATTTTCTGAAAAAAATCGTTTTTGATTCATCAAAATCGATTGAAAATTGACCGAGATATAAAGGAAAGAAAAAAATGCAGTATCAAAATTAAAAGTGATATAACTCCTACAATTTTAGATATTTTAAAAATTCCTTTTACTTACACATTGCTCTTATATAAAGCTATTATTTTACCAAGTATCATTAAAATCGAAGAACCACTTGCAGATTCTAATATTTCTGACGTGGACTTACCCTTATTTAAAATAATATTTTCAATATAAAATTATATTTAATTATTTCTTAAGTTGATGTTATAAAAATTAAATCTTTTCTTAATGTCAGTTTTTTTGTAAATTTTAATTAACACTATTTGTGTTATTAATTGAGAATAACTTTAATGTAATTTTCATCGAAAATTGTTTAAATTGTAAACTTTGTAAATGATTAATAATTACCGTAAAATGAGGTAAAGTCGGCCGGCGCTTTAAACACTTAAATATTGTATTTCATTTATTAATTTACATTAATTCTAACTACATTTTTAATAAAACTCGGATTTCTTCTGGAAAAAAGTAATAGTTAAACTTTAAAATGATTTAAAGCGCCGGCCGACTTTACCCCATTTTACGGTAATAAGTAAAATAATAATTTTCTTTATCAAAAGTAGAAAAAATTTATGCCAATAAATATTTACACAAAAAAAAAAGACAAGAGAAACTCACTTATTCGAAGATTTAGTAAAATTTTTCATCATTTGTCATCTCATGGATACGAATTTTATCCAACATATCTTGATGATAAATGAATAAACAAAAAATATCTAAATAAAAATTCAGAAAACTTTATTTTCAAAAGAAGATGATATTAAATGATTTCATCAAATTTAAGTAGTTTCAGTTATTATATATGGTGTATAAATTGAAAATTAAAACAATAAAATAATTTATTATTATACTTATAAATATAAAATTAATAAAAATGTTAAAAAGTTTTGTATTGCATAAAATTGCTGTTAAAATGCAAGATATAATTTTTAGAGAAAAAAAAATGTTCGATATTTAAAAATTCTGTAAAATCTTACTTTTTATAAACAAATATTCACCTTTGTTAAGAAGAATTAAATATTCCTTTTTTTCTGAGATGACTTCATTCTATATTTTGACTCTGTAAATAATTTTTTAAAAAAAGTTAAATAGATATATAATACGAATTTTAATAATAAAATTTTTCTTTTAAATTTTGTCTCTAAAATACGGTGGACAAATATTCGAACAGATGTAAAATTGAAACGTGAAATTGTTTGTGCAGTAATGTTTTAGGTTAAATTCTAAAGCGTCATCACATTTGATAAAATATTAAAAATTCTTAAATTTACCAACAAAAATTAGTTCAAGTCTTGAATATTTATATCACACTGAACTCAATTATTGAAATATATTTTTAATTTACATTAAAATTAGAAGATATTTTTTGTTATTTACGAAAAATTCTGTTACTTTCAACCGCGCTTTCAACAATGTCCACTATAGTGAGCAGTGACACCAACATGAACGAAAAAAAATTATGAACCAATTACACTATTACCAACTTAATTAGAAATATTTTTTTAACTGATTTTTTTTAATTGTCGTAACCTTTTTTATTATTTGCAATTTTATTAATATTACTATTTATTTTTTAAAGTTTTAATTATGTATTTATATAGTATATATATTTATATAATAATATTTAATGTTTTAAAAAATTCAATTTAAAAAATCCAGTATTTTGGTCAAGCAATCGGCTGGATTGGATTTTCACGGTTGTATCACTGAATTTGGTTGGCTCTAAAAATATTCAATTTTCACGGTGGAAATGGAATATTAGTCAGAGCCAATCAAATTCAGTTATTATAAATTATTTAAAATAAATTATTATTTAAAATTAAATTCTTTTACATACATACGTAATTGAGATTTTTTTTTTGAAAACTGAATTTCAAACAATCGCGCGCTTATATGGGCGACGCTTGCGCAATATTATAATCAATCATAACCTATAAATAAATTTTTTTTTTTAATTTTTTAAATAAATATAAAAAACTATAAATAATATTAAAAAATTTATGCATTTTACAAAATTTCAGTAGATTTTTTATATAGTTAAATTGATAAAATAGAAATTTTTGTAGCACCAAGAATTAAGACTCAGTGTGTTGGTGAATGAAGACCAATCCAAAGCAATTGTTAAAATATGTAATGAGATTCAATTGACCAATTGAAGGAAGGCTTTAGATGTATATAATTTAAATGAAAAATAACTATACACACATACAATACGATACCTTGACGATACTATACAAAAATTAATATTTCGAAAGCCATAAAAACGGGAAGTGTTTAATGGAAATGGTGTTGAGCTCATCGTGATGATAAAATAATATTCGTGCAATGCTTCTAGTCGCACGTATTTTTGTTTTCACTGGGTTAATTGTTACCCTGGCGAAAACTGAAACCAGTAAACCATGGTATGAATCTTTGCCGGCTGTGGCCATGGATTATAAGGTCCATATTGACCCTGGAAAGGAGGATTGTTATTTTCAATATGTGAATCCTGGAGCCACTTTTTACGTCAGCTTTCAGGTAATAATGACAATATTCTACTTTCTTTTTTTTTTTCTTTGCCTTCAGTGATGATTAAAATATATTTATCAAAATAAAAATGAGGATAAAAAATAATAATATTTTGAATTATGCAGTTAATTTACTCCAAAAATTTACCATCTTGTTAGTTGTGATAGTTCCATATGGATAGGAAAATTAATGAAAATTTATAAATAAAAAATAAGTGTTAATTTTATTTTCACCTGCAAGTTAATAGTATAACATTAATTTTACTGTAAAGTTAGTTTTACTTTTTGTTTTGTCTATTTAAACTATTATTTAAAAATTACTTTCTAGAAAATAAAATTTTTTTTTAGTTTCGAAAAGGAATATTATAAAATAATGCGATCTATTTAAAACCAAATTGTCTAATAATGAAATAAATAATTCGATATTTGTGAATAAATCAATTATTTTTTTCTATTTCTCAATATTTTTGTTATAAAACGCGATGCTGAAGTACGAAACGTTTATATTAGAAAATAATATCTTTTAAAGCACGGAAAATTAAAAAATTGTTTACATTTAAAATATTTTTTATTATTTATTGATTAATAAACATTGCAAGAAATATTTTTTAGTCAAACATTTTTTTTAGATATTTTCATTACAAAAAATGTTTTTCAACTTTGTAAAACACGATTTTATATAATATTGTTGAAACAAATTTTGCAATCTTAAAAAAGGTTCTTCGAGGAGGTGATGGAAAAGCCGGTTTCGCTGTTAGAAATCCAGCAGGTGAAATAGTTCATCCTTATCAATGGAAAGCAAATGCAGATTATCAGGATCAATCGACAAATGGTGGTTATTACAGTGTTTGTATTGACAATCAATTTTCAAGATTTGCTGGGAAATTAGTTAATCTATACATCACTGTCATTAGGTAACTGAAAATTATTTTTTATTTCCTCTTTATTTATTTCTACGGCAATTTTACTTGATTATTATCCAATTATTTTAATTACAGATACGATCAATGGGAAAAATTCACAAAAGAATTGGAAGAAATGAATCTATCAGTGGAAAATTTCACGGTAAATTTATTATATATATATATATATTTTTTTTAAATATTTACAATGAAAAACGTAAGAAAAACAATAAGAATTATAAACAGGAAAAAAATTTAAATAATAAACAATATAAAATTTTTAATATATAAAATAAGATTTTAAATAATTTCGAAAATTTATGAAATAAAAATAAGTCAAAATTTTTAAAATGAAATTTTGCATACACTCTGATGCAATTATAGTTAAATATCAAAAATATTTGTTCAATTTGGTATTATAAAATATTTAAAATAATATTTCAAAGTATAAAATTAAAAATTTTTAAATCAATTAAGATTTAAATGCACAGGTCTCGGATCGACTTTAAGGCACACAAAAAAGTCGTTTTAGTCGATTTATATTTCAGAGAAAGTCGATTTTTTTTTATTTTAACAAAATTTAGTTGGTTAATAAATATTTTATTTTAAATAACTAATGTTATTAGATATTTTTTTTTATATTATATTTTATTTATATTTTTATATTTTTAATTCATTTGATTAATTCTGTAATAAGAATAATTCTATAAAAATATTATCAAGAAAATTCATTTCGAATATTTCAGAATCGAACTAATTGTAAAATAAATTTTTAATTAAGTAGGACAAATTTCTAAAAAAAATTCTGAATGTTCTATTTTTATAATGTGTTGAAGTCTGATTTAAGCAATTTATTCGAACTTAAAATTTTTCATAGTTTTTAGTTTTTATGGTCAAAAAAATTTCAGTCAATACTTAATCAAGTTTTACTGATTTTTAAATAAAAATTGCTTTTAAATAATAATTTTGGAAGAGTTAAAATTGAAATTTTTAAAAGTAATTGAATTTCAAAAGATTTTGTTAATTTTCAGACAATAATTAAGTTTTACAGAAGTAAAAATAATTTACCAAATAATTTTAGATAACATTTTTTAAAAGAAATTGAATTTTCAAAGATTTACAATATAGATTTTTGAAATTAATTGAACTTCAAGTGATTTTTAATTTTAAATTTTTTATGATTTCACTAAAAAATTTATTAGAAATTGCAAACAAAAATACAATAATTTGAAAACTTTTTAACAGAAAAATGGTTTCAGATAGTTGAATTTTTGAAAAATATTATAAAAATCATTAAAAAATAATTTAATTTCATGAGAGTTATAATTGAAATTATTAAAATTTTAAAAAATTTTAGATGAGAAATTTTAGAAGCTTTTAAATTGAAATTTTTGACAATAATTATAATAAAGAGAAATTTTTAGTGATTTCTATCCATGAAGAATTTATTAGAAATCACATAAAAAAATTGAATTCCAAATGTAAAAAAAAGTCGTAATAATTTAAAATACTTTTATACTAATTGCAAATGATAAAAATTATTCTAAATTATTGAATAAAATTGAATATATGATTTATTTTACAGGCGGCAATTACTCACGTGGAAAAGAATATCAATGAAATGTTACAAATTCAATACCAGAGTCGAGGGCGTGAAGCACGTGATTTAAATTTATTGTTAGACAATAATTCATATGTTCAAAATTGGTCAATTGCACAATTAATTGTAATAATTGCAACAACAGTTTTGCAAGTTTATTTCGTAAGAAAACTCTTCGAAGTAAAACCATCTGGTTATTCGAAAGTGAGAATTTAATTATTACAATATATATAAAATTGGTTTTTAACTTAAAAATTTTTCTTTAAAATACTTTTTTCTACAATCTTTATATCTAAACATGTGATAAGTTTTTTTTTATATTATTATTTGAAGAAAGAGTAAAAAAAAAAAAAGAAGAAAGTATTTAATTTCTCATTTATAATTGTCAATAATGTGCATTTTAAAACTTTTTTTTTTTTTTAAAAAAGTTAATTTCGTACTTAAAAAATATTGAAAAAAAAAATTATAAAATTAATTTTTGAACAAAAGATGAATTTTTTCTATACTTGGACTTATTAAGAAATTATTTGTCTCTTATATGATATTAGAATTTTTTTTTATTTCATTCCATTTTTTTAAAGGCTGATTATCATATACACATCATTATTATTATTATTTTTTTTTAATCAATTGTTTCTTTTGTGTGAATGGAAGTATGAAATCTCTCTTCATACATTGAGTATATTTATATATATATATATATATATATTATATTAAAAAAAAGAGACGTTTATATAATGTATAAATATTTGTGAAACAACTTAAATATATTTATAAATACAATGTATTTATATAAAGGAAATAAAAAAATGACATTTACTTTTGTTACAAAAAAAATTTGTCTTTTTACACTTCTCATTTTATTCGTTATATGGGTAAATCTAAAAAACAGATCATTTTTTTTTATATCTTAATATTTATTTTCCATTTAATTTTTAAAGCATTTAATAAAAATAAAGTGAACTCTTTTTTTTGTTGAATATGTTTTTTAAATTTTGCCCATATACTTTTGCTTTTTTTACAATTATAAAATTTTTTTTATAGAATTTTCAATTCTATCTAATTACAATTATTATTATTATTTTCGTAATTACACGACACCGAGTGTCAATTATTTGATAATTATTGTAAAAAGAAAAACTGTACATATATAATAATTTACAGGAATTATTAATTACCTATAACAAATTTTTGAATTAAACGCAGTACCCTGTTTGAATTAATGTATGGCCATGGATTGTTTTGCTCGTCGCTGCAAAACACTTCCATTCAATGCCAAAAGTCGATGCCGTTGCTTTAGATTTCGAGCACGCACATGTTCACTGGCGACTTCTTTCGTATAATTTCCAGGAAACCAGCCTTGCTCGCCATCTAATAATTTTTCACCATGATACCAGCCATCTGCCATTTTCCTCGAGACGTTAATTACATCACCTGGAATTTTTTTATTTTTTATTTATTTATTTATTTATGTAAATTAGTAAATTTTCATTTAAAATATTAACATTGTAATTTAAATCGTAAACACACAAAGAATTACATTTAAGAAATAGTCCTTTTTCAAAAATATAAAATATAACGGAAAGTTAAAACAATTTTTAAGAATATTCTTTTTGTTAAAATTACATATTATTAAAATTTTTTAACTATTTTTTTTTTTAATTTTTAAATTAAATCTGCATTCGGGGTTTTTACAAGTCGAGTAATAAAACATGTTAAATTTGGGACTTTTCGGGTAAATTGAGGGTCCCTATCAAAGAAGCGGTTATAAATTTTTTAAAAACTAAAAATCACGGGCCCGTAAATTCAAAATAATAAAGATTTGAATCTTATTTTTTTGTCCCAGATATTTTCACATAATAAAAATAAATACAGAAAGAAAACTAAAAATAAAACCTTTTTTTTTTTGATTCGGACAACGATTTGGAGTTTTAAAAAGTTAGAACCGGTTTTTTATCAGGACCCTAAAATAGTAAATAAAATGAAAAAGAAAATAATTAAATAAATAAATTATTGAAAAAAAATTTAAAAAAAAAAAAAAAAAAAGGAAGCCAACGCTACGCGGTATTCCCAAGCGGTCACCCATCCAAGTACTAACCGCGCTCAATTGTGCTTAACTTTGGTGATCAGACGAGAACCAGTGCATTCACAGTGAAATGAGTGTTGGCTGAAATAACTGTTTTCACTAGTTGGGAAAATGGTTTCGGGATTTCTCATGGGGGCGTGGTTAAAACGCATTATTATCATCGCTTTTCTTCTTCTTATTTTTTCCGGTTTATTTTTTTAAAAATTTAAATTTATTTTAAGTACCTAACTGAAAAATTTTTTTTTCTTAAATTTCTCAATAAGAATGTTTTAAGAAATTTTATATTTAGAATTCATAATTGAACTGCAACAAATTTTCAACATTTTAACACAGTAAAACTAATTAAACAAAAATAATTCAAAGTTACTTAAAAAAATTCAAAGTATGATTCATAAAAATTATTCAAATTGAGAACTTTGACAAATATTTCAAATTGATTAAAATATTATTACAAAAAAAAAAAAAAAAAAAAAAAAAAAATAATTTTACCAAGAGTTTCAAATAGAAATTTTAGAAATGATTGAATTTTTTGAAATTTTACAGTTAGATTTTTAGAAATAATTTCATTTTTTCAAAATTTTCAATTTGAAATTATTGCAAATTTATTGATTATCATTTTTAATTACTCCAATTTATTTTGTTCAAAACTTTAATACGCTTCAAATAAATTATATACCATATTACATTTAGGCTTCAAAAAATTTGGTTTTAATTACAATTTGTATTATTCAAAATTAGGGCACAATTAGGTTAAATAAAAAATGTGAGAAATAAATTTTAGATTATATACAAAATATATAATTAAAGTTTTGAAAAAAAAATTGCAATGTTTAAAAATGATAATCAATAAAAATTATATATATATATATATGAAAGAAGTATTTGCTGAAAATATTTTTATGTAATAAAAATTATAGTAAATTCATATTCTAGTAAACGAATTTTCATGTCGTTCGCCATTTGAAATTTGTAAATTTTATCAAATGACTTTTAGATCGAATTGCGAGGCTATGATAATCATGCATCTCTGAAAACAAAAATTACAGTTATTTAAACATTATTACGGAATTATTGACTTTTTAAAAATCAACAATTTTAGAAAACATGAATATTGTTGAACAATTTTGAATTTAGAAAATGTTAATTTCTTAAATAAAAAAATTTCCCGCTTGTATTATTAAATTTAAATTAATGAAATTATTTATTAAATTTATTTAATTTAATTTTTATTTATTTAATTTTTTCTTTCTATTTTATTTATTATTAAATTTATTATTTATTTAATTTAATTATTTTAAATTTATTTAATTTATTTAATTTATTTTATTTTTATTTAAATTATTTTTTAAATAATGATTTTTTTCACCTTATTTCCTAGAAATACAGTTAATTATTTTTGAAATTATTAATTTTTTAAAAATTAGATCGCAACATTGTTTCGAAATATATAATATAATTTGACTGCGAATTTAAATTTCATTTTATTTTTGGAATAAAATATTAATGAATAAATAATATATAATAATTTTTCACATTACCAGGTTGCATTGCAAGTTCGTCCGGTTGTCCCGGAGAATAAGAATAAAGCGCCATAACTTGAGGACAATCCCATGATTCGTATAAAGTTTCACCAACTAAATTTGATTTTGGAGGTGATACAGCGTCTAACCATCTTTCTTTTTCGGTATCACTTTCACAAGTGATAACATATTCCATTTGTCGTTCTAAATGATTCTCAAGAAGTGTTAAAACCATTGCGTGTCGTCCCGAAAATGGTGAATTCTCCGGTACTGATTCCAAAGCAACGAGATTTCGTTTACACAAATCTATCACTGTGTATGTATCTTCATGATTACTGAAATTTCACATTAAATCAATATTATCATTAATCAATTAATATTTAATTCATTCATTTAATTAATTATTCTATTATTTTAAATTAATTTAAGTATTCTAAATTAATTTTTAAAAAATCGATTTTTTTAATATAGAATAATTAAAAGCAATATCAATAGAAAAGAAATTTAAATAAAAATAATTTTATACCTGGCTTTGAGTTTTGTGACTAGAAGATAATCTGTGAGCAAAAGAAGAAATAGAGGAGTTTTTTGGAATTTTTTTCCAAAAGTTAATTTGTATTCGGTGTCAGATTTCATTGACAGTTGTGTTACTGTACCGCTGCGAATAAGTTTTCTTTCCCTTAAATCGATGGACGGCACTTTTGGGGAGTATTCTAATTTTCTAAAAACATAAGAAAATATTAAAATCACAATGATTAGTTGTAATTTAATCTTTTTAATTACAATTTATAAAATACAAATTTTAATACATGCAAATAGATACATAAGTTGATACAAATTTTTCTTATTTAATTAAAATATAATATTAAATAAAATGGAATTTTCATATTTATTGAAATAAAATAAAAATTAAATATTAAATAAGAAATTTAATAAATTTTTTTAAACGGAAATATGAAAAATAATTAATTTTTTTTTTATTTACTTTGCTAAAGTTTCCATTTCAATTAGTTGACTCGCGGCTCTCGCTCCTTCATTACATTCGGCCACAACGAAACTTAAATGTGATAAAACTCTTTCCCAAGAAGCTCTTTCTTGATGATTCATTGGTATTTTCGATAAAACAGCATCAGCCAATAAAGGTAATCTAAAATACAATATTTCTTTACAATATAATTATATAATTAATAGATTTCTTTTAAATATATATTTGTAATATTTGAAAGTTTTTATAATATATTTCATCATTTTTTTTTTTTTTTTAAGAAAATTAAAATTACCTTGTTACTCGTTGCATTGGAAGCATCAAAAACGAGTGCAACGAAAGACTTTGACATGATGGTCGCATTTCTATTCGGGAAACAACTTCTAAAAATTTTAAACCTTTTCTAGCTCTGAAATGTGTATTAAATTTAATTAATTATACATTTCAATTTATAAGTTACTAGTAAGATAATTCTTTTCAGGGGTTGACACAAAATTTTCATTATAATTTTTCCTAATATTTTCCTGACTTCCAGACAATATTTTGTCATTTTCGAATTTTGTTCTTTTTTATCAAATGTAAATTCTATTTTTAAAAAAATGTGATAAATGAAAATTATGTTAAACAAACATTGTATAAAGAACAAATCAAATTCTTAGAAAAATTCAATTACATATTTTCAAGTTTTAATTAAATTCATTTTAAAAATTTTATTATTTTTAAAGCTCTCAATCAAATTTTACGAAATTTCAATTACTTACAATTCTTTTAATTCAATATATTTGAAAATTCAACTATTTTCAAAAATATAATTTAAATTATTATTATTGTTTAAAAAAAACTTAATTATTTCCTAATTTTGAATGAATTCTCCGATAATTAAATTATTTTTGAAATTTTTAGTTTAAAATCTTTTAAAAGTAGAAAAAGTCAAAACTTTTAATTGCTACTCCTTCAATATTGATTTAACTTTATTTAACTTTGTCAGAATTTCCAGTTTTTTTTAATAATAATAATAATTTTAAAATAAAAATAATAATAATAATAATTTTTAATGAGCGTTTTATTTATTTACCTGAGTTCCTTTAATGTACTGTCTATGCTAACTTGACTTGAACAATAAGTGACATAAATGGCAAGACTTCTTTCTGCATGTTTAAGTAAAACATCTGGCAAGCCAAGAAGCATTGGATCTTCTTTCCATACATTTTCCATTTCAGCAAGAAATCTCTCCGATAACATTAGTACACATGAAACTCCACCAAAGAGTTTATCACGTTCCATTTGTGTTAGAGTTTCATTAACTAATTCATTATTAGAAACAAATTCATTATTTAAAACTCTTAATGAATTCAAATACGATGCTTCGGATGTTACTATTTCAAATTTTGCTTCCTGCATTTTTTTCTCCTCCACTGCTAAGGTCTCTACAATAAATTTATTAATTTCATTTTTTCTTTTTTAATTTTAAATAAAAATATATTTTTCATTCATTTTTGGTCATTATTTTCTTTTTCTTTTATTTATTCCATTTAGAACTGAAAAAAAAGAAATCAACTTACGCAAAAGGCCACTGTGAATAACTTGAGGAGTTTGACACCATAAAGTACGATGTCCAGGTTTAGCAAGTTCCATTGCAGCCGAAGAAGGCGTGATGTCTTCAACTTCTTCATATCCATCGGAATCGGATTCAAAAGCAACTCTCGCGGCAGCCGCAGCGTAGAATTGATATAAAGGTTCTTCCGTCAAAACACTGTAGTGATCTGAAAAGTTAAAAAAAATATTTTTAATTGTGAAATAATTTTAATTAAAAATTAAAAAAAAAAAAGTAACAAGTAAAAGTTGTCATATGACAATTAAAATAAATTATTATTATAACTACTGAATGAATAAAGAAAACTATAGTTTTATACATTAATGAGGTCAAAAAAATGTGAGCTAAAAATTACTCGCAATTTATGAATTAAAACCTAGATATGGAAGCGAACAATAAACCTTGGTTCACACCGAAAGTCAGAAAACAATAATCGTCAGATCTTCTGCACTGATTGACAGACAGAAGGAAGCCTAATTAACAATGTGAAAGCACTGACAAGTAAACTTTCTACTTGACAACAATTTAATTCTAAACTAGCTGAGAATTTATTACCCCACGCCTCATTTGTCAATAATTTAATGAACTTCACTGTTTATTTCAATTACTTATTTACATTTTTAATCTCGAATTCAAACATAGTTAAATATAAGAAAAATTCTATTATATAAAATTAAAAACAAAATAAATAAAAAAAAACAAAAAGAAATATTCAAAATTATTAGAAAAAAAAAATCATTCGGGATTACAATTTCTTTCGAAATTTAACAAATTTAAACAAAAATAAAATTAAAAATTAATTTACACAATTAATACACAGGGAAGTTGTTATTTTTAATAAAATTTGTTTTAAATTTCCAATATTTTTTTTAAATTAAAAAAAAAAATTATTAATCGTCATTGTTTTTAATTAATCATTTTATCATTTTTTTAATTTCAGTTATTTTTATATTTTTAACTATTAAAATATAAATTGTTTTGAAAAAAAATTCCATTTATTAAAAATACAATTATTTTGTAATGTACTTGTTTTTTTAATCATTTTTAGAAAAACTTGTTAATTTTAAAATTTAATTACTTATTTTGTAAAATCCATTCTTTTTATTTGCTATTTATCGAATTTTAACTAATTTTAGTTAGAAAAATTAGATAAATTCCCAACAAAAATTAAATACAACAAATAGAATTTAAAAATTTTCAAATTATAAGGTAAATAGTTAAATTTTACTGCGATTAAATTTTGAAAAAATTTTATTTTTTATACTAATTTAATTTTATTATTATTTGAATTAATAGTGTGAATTAAATAATTTTTTTTTAAATTTGTTGAATTTATAAAAAAAAGAAAGATAAACTTTTTAAAAAAGTGTTTTCAGGCCTCGGATCAAGTTTAAGGCACAAAAAAAGTCGTTTTAGTCGATTTATATTCAAAAAAAAGTCGAAAAATTCGATTTTTTTTATTTTAACAAAATTTAATTGGTTAATAAATATTTTATTTTAAATAACTAATGTTATTAGATATTAAATTCATTTGATTAATTCTGTAATAAGAATAATTCTATAAAAATATTATCAAGAAAATTTATTTCGAATATTTCAAAATCGAACTAATTGTAAAATAAATTTTCAAAATTTTATTTAAGTAGGACAAATTTCTAAAAAAAATTCTCAAAGTTCTATTTTTATAATTTTTTGAAGTCTGATTAAAGCAATTTATTCGAACTTAAAATTTTTCATAGTTTTTAGTTTTGATGGTCAAAAAAATTTCAGTCAATACTTAATCAAGTTTTACTGATTTTTAAATAAAAATTGCTTTTAAATAATAATTTTGGAAGAGTTAAAATTGAAATTTTTAAGAGTAATTGAATTTCAAAAGGTTTTGTTAATTTTCAGACAATAATTAAATTTTACAGAACTAAAAATAATTTATCAAATAATTTTAGATAAAATTGTAAAAGTAATTGAATTTTCAAAGATTTACAATTTAAATTTTTTAAATTTAATTAAACTTCAAGTGATTTTAATTTAAAATTTTTGATTTATTTTTGTTTTAAAAAAATTTATTAGAAATTTCAGACAAAAATACAATAATTTTAAAACTTTTTAAGAGAAAAATGGTTTCAGATAGTTGAATTTTTCGAAGAATATATTATAAAAATCATTAAAAATAATTGAATTTCAGGAGAGTTATAATTGAAATTATTAAATTTCAAACAAATTTTAGAAGCTTTTAAATTGAAATTTTTTAAAATAATTGAATTTCAAAAGATTGTGTTAAGGTATTAGTATAGTGTGAAGTTATTTTCGTCAGATTTTTTTAAAACTTTGCATGAGTATTCCTGAAGTGTTTATCTAAAAAATGAGACCAATTCCATCAAATTTTACAATTTCTAAGCTTCAAAATATTGAAGTTTTAGTTTAAAAATCTTTCTGTCGATTATTTGTTCGGACATTTGCAATTTCGAACCAATAAAAATTCGTTTCAAAAATAATTATGACAAATAATAAAAAAAAAATAAAATAATTACCAGCACTATTAACTTCAGATTGCAAAGAACTGCTATCATCTCTCCAAAGATCTGTGTCCGTGTACCAATTACTGTTACTATAAATCCCTTCCTTAATATTACTGTTACTCTGATTGTTGTCCTTCATATTATTTCCATTTTCCTGATTATTCTCAAGATAAAATGTCGAGAGGCCAGTGATACTTTTTCTTAAATGTTTTTTAAAATTGAAATATTTACTATTATCATTATTCGTTATTGTATGATCATTATTGACACTTTTATAAGTTGATGAATCATCGCCAGACGTTCGTCGACGCATTCGTCCTAAACTACCCTTGGTGATGGTCCACGTTCGTCGGAGAATTTTCATTCTCCTTCCCAATGATTGTGTGAGACTCGCTTCTCTTGGAGGCGGTGGCGTTGGCCTCGTTGGTGGTTCTAAATTTTCATTAAACATCGTTCTTGTAATTTGTGAATTATCACAATTATTTTCCCGCTCCTCATCCTCTTCCTCCTCCTCAATTTCCGAATCTGTACTAAAGTCATCGATTTGATATGCGTAAAGCGTCTCATAATTGCTGTCATCTGACGTTGTTTCTGTATATAGGAGAAAAAATAAGAAAATATTTATGAAATATTTGCACATAAGAAATAAAGAAAAAAAAAATTGTCAAATGTGCCTCAAGTACTGAACATTCAAATGAATGAAATCATTTTTTTTTATCTATAAATTTTTGAATATTGCGAAAAAATAAAAAAAGGACATTAATATTTAGGACATATATTAGAATTTAATTTTTGATTCAGAAAGCAATTAATTTTGTAATAAAATTTGAAATGAAAAAAATACATTTGAACGTTCAGAATTTTAGGCATATATTTGTCGAAAATTTATCACAAAAATTAAAAAGAAAAAAAAACAACTATTTAAAAATATTAAAATTGTAGCTAATTTATTTTTTTGTCATTGTTTCATTTTTTTAGAGTTTAATTATCAATAAATTTTATTTACAAATAGTTTCTTTGACATTTTTGACGGGTTTTTTTTCAATTTCCCATTTTTCCAATTTCAGCTCTCGGATTATAAGACTTTCCGACTTTTTCGTCTTTTTTTTTATATTTTTTACAACATTTTTTTTTTACTAAAAAAATTTCAATTCAAAATCACTTAAAATTCAATTATTTTCAAAAATTTCAATTTAGAACCTTCTGAAATTTAATTTTATTTCTAAAATTTTTCATCTACAATTTTCTAAAATGTAATAATTTCAAATTTTCTTCCAAAATTCAACTATTTTTAATCGTTTTAAAGTTTTAAAAAAAAAAAAAAAAACTACAATAGTTTAAATTTGCAGAAGAAATCTATAAAAATTATAATTATTATTGTCCCAAAATTTTTTTTACCACAGTAAAAAAAAAATTTATTTGATTTAAATACTCGATTACTTGACTATTATCAAATAAATTTTTATTTAAGTATAAAATAATTATTATAAATTAATAATTAATAATTAATTATTATAAATAAATAAATAAATAAATTATCTGAGATGGTATTTTTTTCAAATACAGAAATTTTATTGCTCCAAATAAAATTTATTTAATTTAAAAAAAAATTATTTGGTTCAAGTAAATATTTATTTAATAATACTCAAATAATCGAGTATTTGAATCAAATAAATTTTTTTTCAAGTGCATATTAAACCAAAAACTATACAACTTTCTTTTGCCTTAATTCCTTACATGGAATTTTAATCAAATTTTTATTTAAAAAAAAAAAAAAAAATTCACTGCAATTTTTTAAGAATTTTAATTTCTATATTTGTTATATTTAAAACTTTGTGAACAAACATTTTCGAAATTTGTAACAAATTATATATTAATTTATTAATAATAAAATTTAATTATAGTAAAATTCAATAATTTTCAATTTTATAGAAATAATTGATTAATAAAATTTGAATTTAAAAAAATTATATTTTAAAAAGAAGATGAAATTTTAATTATATAATTAATTTTTTTCAATAATTAAAAATAAAAGTTCGTAATTTAATAAAATTAATTTAATAAAATTAATTTAATAAAATTATTTAATTAAATAATTTAATAAAAATAAATTTTAAAAAATATTTTTAATTGAAATATTTGTAAAAAAAAAAATAATTGAAAGTTATAGAAAAGAATTATTTTAATAAAAACACACATGAACCAGTTATTCACGTTTCTTTGAAAAATGAAAATAAAAAGTATTAATTTTCTAGGATTTTGCACTTTTTGTGATTGCACGTTTCATTGCCGCACATGACATACGTGCTTGAGAGAAAATTCATGATGACAGACACATAGTCATCAAGATCAGGGTTGATAAATCTAGAACAAGGATTAATATAATACGAAATAGGCGCGTTGATGTCTGTAATAATTAATTATATCTCTCTTATACGCCTTTTCTTCAAGTTTGACAATTTCAGATGTGCTTAAAACTTAGACAAAAGTATATGAGATAAATACTAACTACATGCAACATGCGCAATATTATGCCGGATGTCAAGAGTCAAAGAAACTTAAATGTAAGTAGTATTCATTGTTGTTGAGGGAAAAATATTTGTTGTTATAATACACTGTTTTCAAGTACCAAGTGCCTCTGTACTATGACTTCCTTTTCTGGATATAAAGAATAACTGTTTTCTTTTTTTTTTTTTCTTTTTTTTTTAAATGTAGGACTTTTAAACATTTTTCTCCTTGCTTTCATTTCTTCTCACATTTTCATCTTTAATTTTTAATCACTTTCTGAATTCAACTGAACAAATATTTTGCCTAAATTAAAATTAATTAATAACAGGTATTAGACTTTAATTAATTAATTAATTAATAATTAAACTTAAACCAAAATTATGAATTAAAATTTTGATTTAAGTTTAAATTAAAACAATTAATTCAAATTACAATTAAAAAATAATGGAAAAATTAAAAAAAAAAAAATAAAAATTTATTGAAATGAAACTGTTTTTTCAGTTTTTCAGGGTGTCTAACAACAGCTATTAGGAAAAAAATTCCCTGACTTTTCCCTGACATACACTAAAAATTTTTTATTTTGATCAAATAAAATTTATTTTCATACAATTAAATCATTTACCTGTCTATTATCCACTAATTTAATATGTTTTTTTAACCAAATAAATATAATTTTTCGTAAAAAAGAAAATATTTAAGTGAAATAAATAAACTAATTGGGGACATTCTCAACATTTAATTTAAAAGAATTTTTACGGCGTCAAATTTTAAATTATCAAATTTTTATTTATTAAAATTTTTTTTGAATTTTGACTTAACAAAATATTTACCTAACAGAATTGTCATTGAATATAAATCCACAATTAACAGAATTTCTATTTAACAAAATTCTTAATTAACATAGTTTTTATTAAAGAAAATTTTAATTCCAACTTAATTCTTATTTAACAGAATTCTCATTTAAGAAAAATTCTACTTAATTCTTTTTTTTTGTCAATTTTTATAAAAATAAATTTCGTTAAATTGAAAATATTAAAATTTAAAAAAATATAGTATTAGAAAAAATGCTTTATAAGAGTTTTGCTAAATAGAAATTCTTTTAAATCGAATTTTAGTTAAATGTAAATTGAAAATTTTGCCTAATATAAAATCCACATTATACAATTTTGCTAAATAGAAATTCGATAATTTAATATTTGACGGCGTAAAAATTTTTAAAAGTTAAATGTGGGTATTAGCATTAAATAATAATAAATAATAATAATAATAAATAATAATAACTTTTTAATTTGCATTTGCTTTGGGAAAAAAGTAAAAAAAAAATTTTTTGAAACTAATAGTTACTTTAATTTGTTCATAAAGAATTCCAAAAAAATTAAAGAAATTCCCTCACTTCCCTGACCGTTAGACACTCTGGTTTTTTAAAAATATTTTTTCTCAACTCTTTTTTTTTAGTAACAAAAAAATTTCTTGTTAAAATTAGATTCTAATTTTTACTCTAAAATCTGTCTCTCGTTGAACCTTCTGAAACAAAACAGGACGTCTCCTGAGTGTCGGTGTTTTCGTCCAAATCGACCAATCGCAGCTGAACGAGTCCAAGGGCCTGAAGTGGTGAAACATGTGTAACTTGATGACATGTTGAAAATGAAGTTTCCTCTGTGGGTCCAACTAAAAGGATTGTGCCTCCTCCAAGGCTGACGGATACTTGAAATCATTCACAAGGTCAACCACAATGATCTCAACAAAAACGTTTCCATTCTCAATATATATTTAAGCCATAAGACCAAAAAAAAAAAAACTCAAAATATCTTGTCGAATCGAATATTATAAAAATGTTTTCGCAACAATTCACTCTATTTCATTATCTCACAAATTCTATATTTATACTCTTTCTATTTTTTTTTTTTTTTTTTTTTTTACATATTTTTCGAAACATTTTTATATATGATTATTATTTCGTATATTTTTAAATTTTATTTTTTCAAATTAATAAACGCCAACATTTATGAATTAATTTAAGATAATTTTTTTTCTTCATATTTGAAATTATTTCGACACAAATTTTTAAAAATTATTTTTTACCAATTATTTATTATTATACTTATTTTTTAATTTTTTAATATTTATTTATTTATTTGAAAATCAATGGGTTTCAAATAAATAATATAAATTATAATAGAAAACAAATATAAGAAAAATAGAAAACAAATTTTCTTTAAGGGGGGAAAATTATAAAAAAATTTTATCAAAAAAAAAAAATGTATTTTATAATTTGTTGATAAGCAAACATTTGCAAAAAATATTTTTGAGACGAAAATTCATAGAATTTTTTATTCCAAAAAAATATTATTGTATTTCAAAAATCGTTGATAATAAACGTTGTGAACTTCAGCGTTATAAATTAAATATTATATTTTTTGAAATTATTAAAATAATTAAATTTTCAACGAAATTATCTAAATTTATTTAATTATTTATTCTTCTAAAAAAATGCAAGTCACTTTAATCAAAGTGGTAGAGTTTTGAAAAGAAATTATAAAAAAATAAAATTCTCCTATAACCTTATATATTATTATCGAAAAATTACTAGTATTATTGTCTATGAGTAAAATTAGAATTATTATAATATATATATTTATGTATCGAATGAAAATAATTAAATCGTAAATTATACTTAATTAAAATTAAATTTCATTTATATATTTTAAACGAATCACTTTCGGATAAGAATTAGAAAGTATATATACATATTTTATTGTTGACTGATCAGACGTATTTATAAGAATTTCAAATTAATTTATTATAATTTATATTATTTTACTATCAAAAAAAAATTTTTTTTTTGTTTTAAAAACAACGAAGCTGAAGTACGCAACGTTTATGATAAACGATTTTTAAAGAAATAATTTTTTAAAATAAAAAATTCTATAATTTTTTGCCTAAAAAATATTATTTTATAATTTGTTGATTACTGAAAACTACAAGTTACCTAAATTTTTTAAGCAAAAAATTATAGAATTTTTCATTTTAAAAAATTATTTCTTTAAAAATTGTTTATCATAAACGTTGCGTACTTCAGCTTCGTTAAAAAGACGATTTTAACATTTAAAATTAAAAATAAATGTTACATATTATAATTAGAAATTTTCTCGTTAAAAATAATAAAAGAAAAAAAAATGTAAAATACTTTTTAACCGAATCCCTATACTTATTATATAACTCGTGAGATTTATGATACTTCTAATTAGCTTAGTATAAATTGTTGAGATATTTGAACCGTGTCTTAAGGAAACGACTTTAAACACTATCTTTTCACTTTTTTTAATTATTTAAAACTTGGATACAAAAATAATTTTTAATTATTAAAAAAAAAATTGTATACAAAATAATTTTTTAACTATTCAAAAATTGGATATAAAATAATTTTTCAATATTACACAAAAATTGGATACAAAATAATGTTTTAATTACTCAAAAAATAGGATATAAAATAATATTTCTTTAATAATTCAAAAATTAGATATAAAATAATTTTTGTAATAATTCAAAAATTGAATATAAAATAATTATTATAAAAATTTGTAAAAAATAATTTTTTAATTATTCAAAAATTGTTTTTGATTAAAAATTTGTATATAGAAATAAAATTTTCATATAAATAATTAAATAAAAATAAGTAAATAAATTGAATATTTAATTTCCAAATTCCGCTAATCAACTATTTTCAATAAATTAATTTAATTCACTTTCATTCAGTTTTTATTTTACTAATTTTCTCAATACTTTTTTCGTATTTAAAACTTTAAGTCACTTTTAGAAATAAAAAATACTGAAAAAAATTTCTAAATCATTTTTAATTTTATTTTAAATAATTCGATTCAACGAGATATTAAGAAATTTAACTATTTTGGAAACGGCCTCGGATTGGAATCAATTTCTTTTACGAACCTTGGGTGTTGGGTCGACGCGAAAGTGTCTTTGGACCCTGTTTCATTTCTTCGTCATGGTTTCTCGTCTAATATACTGTATATATATGTATATAATCCTGGAATATGCACCCAGGACAATGTCCTTGTTTACAAGTTACCAATATATATGTAATGAAATTATCAAGTTTAAATGTCGCGTCTCTAAAACATCTCTTGAATAACAAATTTTCTTCACTTTTTCTTTCTTTATTTCTTTTCTTTTTTTTTTAAATGTATAAAAGAAGCGAAAAACAAGCTGTGAACACCGTCGCGGCTCGGCCGTGACTGAAAACTCGTAATATGTATGCGCTTTCACCTTGCGCGAACTAACGCGAAGGCACCCAATGTGATATTCTGTGTATATATATATATATATATATATATATATGTATATACAATTTTATTCCGATATAATATAATTCCTAACCGGTATTTTCGATCGATGCATGATCGACTCAATTTAATATGTGCAAATCTATGTGACAAACCAAATTTCATTTACAAATTATTATTTATCACAAGATATACAGTTTCAACCGGTTTTTCATGCATTTTAAATGGAATGCAATTTACACGTGCACTTTTCTTGCGGGACACGCACATTTCATTTAAAAGAGAGAGAGAGAGAGAGAGAAAGAGTTTTTTCATTTCATTTAAATTCCGAGAATTAATTGAAAAAAAGAATTAAAATTATTTTTAAAGCGATTCAATTCATTCAGGATGGGACGCATGATTATATTATGTTCTCAAAATCATTAGTTATAAAATTTTCATTTTATGAAATTTCATTTGTCATAATTATTTTTTGAGTCGAATTTTTATTTGTTCGAATTTGTATTTTGCAGAAATTTTCATCAAAACGATTTTTTATAATACAGAATTTTTATTTTATCGAATTTTCATTTAATATAATAGGCATTTTTAAGAATTTTTATTAGGTAAAATTTCATTGCATAGAATTTTCATTTTATTCTTTCAGATGAATTTTCATTTGTTTGAATTATTATTTCATATAAAATTTCCATATAACTGATTTTTTATATTCCAGAATTTTTACTTAACCGAAAAATCATTTAACAGAATTTCTAATTGATAGAATTGAAAGATTTCGACGCGATTTTTAAAAGTAACCAATCAAAAAATAAAAAAAAAAATTGTGATTTTAAAAATCGCTCCGAAATTTTTCTGTCGATTACTTTTTTCGGTCATTTGCAATTTCGAACAAATGAAAATTCTATCAATTAAAAATTCTATTAAATGATTTTTCGGTTAAGGTATTACTCACGTAGATTTTTTTTCGACAGATTTTTTTAAAAGTGTGCCTGGTTATTCCTTAGGTATTTATCTACAAAGTAATACAAAAAAAAATAAAATTGACCGTTTCTAAGTCCCAAAAAATGAAATCAAAGTTTCAATCTTTTACATGTACGGGATACGAAAACCATGTATTCATTACAGATTTCAATTTTTTGCATCATTACTACTCGACAGATTTAGAAAAAAAACTAACACAATATTTATGGTGGAAAAATGAACTTATATAAAAAAAATGAAAATTTTTTACCGTTTTGTTCAAAAAATATTTAATTTCAAAGATAAAAAATTAATAAAATATTTGCTGTCTTTGAAGGATGAATGAGTATATGTGGCAACAGCGCTTGTTGAACGATACATGTGATCTGCTGATTTAGGCGCGAAATTTGAATTAAATCCTGGTTCTTTGTCTTACTTTTCAATAGTCACAACTTCTTATTAAATATATAATAATATAAAATATCATAAACAAAAGTTATTATAAAAATTTTTGTTGTTTAAGCCATATATTCTAATGTTTAAAAAAAACAAAATCAATTTTCTATTTTTTATCTCAACATCTCGATGGTATTTTCATGTTTATATATTTTGTTATTAATATTATACATTCGCACGTTTATGTATAATTTTTCAATACAATTGGAAGTTGCTTTTTTTTACAAAATGTAATAAAATGGTTTATAGATTTTTTAATCTCTTGAAAATGATGATGAAAATTAAAATAGAAAAGTTTTTAAAAAAATGTTTTTCCTATCTTTGATTAAATGGCCTAAACTTTGAATTATTTTTTATATAAAAATTTCATAAACTTATTATTTAACAAATAAAATTGGTTTTTAAGATTTAACTTATAAATTATCTAAAAAAAAAGATTTAAAAATAAATAAAACTATGAGGATAATTATAAATGATAAAAATTACAAATATTTTAAAATATAATTCATTTTTATTTATTCTTAAATTAATAATTTTACACTTTACATATTAAATTGTTTATAAACACTTTCAACGGAAACAATAATATATTATATATATTATTCTTACACATTTGCACATCTTTAATTTGGTTATAATATATAAAAATACTGTTTTGTTCATAGAATTTGAACATTTTCAACAAAAATAAATTATATAATTTTGTATTCAAGTTTTATTGAATGTTTTTCATTTTTGCAAACAACTTACATAATAAAATTAACATTGGCTTTCATTTGCAATGATTTTTGAAAAAATCTGTAATTTTTTCAAGAATATTTTTGTGTTTAGTGACCAATGCCTTCTTTTGGTCATTCAATGCAGTCAACAATTGTACCAAACCTACACTTCCTGCATTTTTATATGTTGTTTCAAGTTTTTCAAAATCTAGACCTGCATTAGCTATTTTTTGAATAATTGTTCTAGAAACAATTCCTGTTAAACTCTTTAAAGACTGTAGAATAGCTTTTTTGTCAGCAACCGCTGGAATGTCAAAGCCACAATTCGATTTATATTTGATTCCTTCGTTTCTTTCTTTTTGTTGTCGTTGATTTTCTTTTTCTTTGATTAATAAATTTCTTTTTGCTTTTGTTTCTGGTAATTTTTGTCTGATCCTCCTTGCCAATCGAATTCTATCTTTTTTTTCTGCAAACGCTTTCGTATGCTTACCAGGAGAAAGATTTAATGTTTCTTGCACATTCAACAAATGTGTTTCTCCAATATTTTTGGAGCATACAGTACTCGCAAAACGATAATCCGCAGATTCACTTAGACTATGACATTGATTTTTCGCAGCTTTATGGGCCATAATATTATTAACACTTTCATTTGCTTGACTTGAAGCAGCAATGGAAAATTTTTCTGCACTATCCGCATATTTTTTGAAAAGTTGTTTCAATTCTTTCTTGAGAGTTTTATCAGTCAATAAAACTGTCTGTGATTTTGTAGCATTATTTAATTTTCTGCTACACCAATTTCCACAGTTTCCGTGATTTCCAAACAAATGCTCTGGTATTCCGAGTAACGCTGCTGACACTCCATCAGGATCTCCTTCGTTTTGTGCAACTGCGTAACAAAAGCACTTTTTAATGTGTTGGATAACACCTTTTTTTCTCAACTCCTTAAAATCGGTTTGTAATGCGTATAACTCTTTACCAACATTTTTGCGTAAATGATTTTGATCAGCGAGTTTGTAAATCGTTTCCTCATTCCCTTTACGAATGTTCGCAATTGTTGAGCTGTCCTCGTCACCAATCACAACTCTGACTTTAACACCAGTTTCTTTTAAAATTGAACTATTGTTTACTAACTCAGCTCCCAAATCAGATTCCATCGCCTTGGCACTCCCGTCGAAATTTTGACGGCAATCGTGATCCTCTTTCTGTCGTCCTATTGCGCAAAGCTTACATTTGCGATTTCTCGTCCCGAAATCTAGTATTTTCCCGCTTAAAAATCCTATTATACAACCGTATCCATTTAAACTATTATAACTTCTTCCGTTTCCGCGTTTACTCCATCCCATATCATATGATATTATGATATTGACAATATTTCCCAAAGCCGAGTCAAATTCTTCTGGTGTGTTTTTCAAAATCTCTTTGAACGGATAAATATCTTTCGCAATATCAAGTGGACTGAAAAAAAATTCAAATATAAATTTTATATATTAAGAAAGAAAATGAAAAGATTTAAAAATTTAATTCAAATTGTTTATTGTTTGTTACATTTTATCTTAAATGTAAATGCCTTAAAATATGGACATCAACATTTAAATAATGTTACATTATTTAATTTTATAAGATTACGGAATTTTATAAACGTGTTACACATTTCAAGCTAAAATTTCTTAAATTTTATACAATTAAATTTAGTATAAATCAATACTTAAATCAATTTATGGTATATGAATATGCAGTCAGATCATTAGCCGAAAGTTTTGAACGTTCATATGAACAAATATTTTTTTCAAACTATAAATTATTAAAAATTATGATGACCATGTAAAATAAAACAGTAAATTAAATAATTATTAAATTAATAACTTCTTTTTAGATATTTTGAACAATATTTTGTATTAAAATTCGTACTTGAAGAAGTTGCAAAAAAAATTTCGTTCATAGGAACGTTCAAAACTTTTGGCTTATGTCAGATCTTATAAAATATTCTGAAAACATTTAATATCATTTGGACACTTAGAAATATGCGTATATTATATGTATAAATATGTGTATACTTAAAAAATTTTGATTTTATACAATTCAATATTGTAGAAATGATAACATAAATTAATTCGTAATATATAAATATACATATTGTAGATCAAATGAAGAATTATAAAAGCATTCAATTCTATTTAATATTTTATAAGTGTATTATATGTTTATAATATACTAGTAAATTATATTTTGTTTTAAATTAAATAATAAACTTAAGAACTAAAAAAAACCTTACAGATCCTCACACAGCTGGTCGACATTGTTTATTACCAATTGGCGTTCTTCCGTAGCGGCTTGTTTACAACTGTCTTTTGCAATTTTTTCCAGTGCAGGCCCAACTTCCCTTTCATATCTTTTATACAAGTTTGTTGATATTGAAGGAATATTTAAACACGCTAGCACCTTATTTAGCGCCGTGTTTCCGATTCCTGAATGTACAGCTCCTGCATATTTAAAAAGTGAGGTTAGGTTAAGATTAAGATGATAAAGTAATTCACAAACCAGCAAATCTTACCTAAAACTGCTTTTGTATTCACGTCAGAGTGAGAGTGTGATTCCAGGGTTTTGTGGAATTTTCCAGTTGGAACTGATGTTTCTGTCAAACATTTTTGACAGCGGATGGTTAGAACTGAGTTTAGTCCAAAACACTTTTCACTTTGAATATCATTCAGGAAAATTGCTTCCTTGCACTTTATACACTTTAAATTTTTTGCTATGACGTCCAATTCAACAATTCGTCGACCAGGACAAATTTCTGTCACTTTATTTACGTCTACGTCTTTGACATTATTTAATTCATCGCAAAGTTGTTTTCCCCGAGTCATTTGGGCAAGAAAACTCGTCTTCTTGGTAAGAACGCTTTGTTTAATAAATTTGCCTTTGTGTCTCAATTGTTTTTCCATCTTTTAAATTTTAATATTACATCTACACGCACTTTAAAACAAAAACTTTTATCTTTCACTGCGAAAGAATCTTTTAACAGAAGACGCCATTTGCAATCAAAAACTTGCGACGTTGCCATGATCGCTTTTCTAGACCGTGATATGTGTGTGTCTGTGTATATGAACTGAGATGCCTAATGTGTGAAACTGTACCTGCGCAAAAGTTTTATTTGAAACTCGCATGTTTTACTGTTTCATAAGTACAGTGACTAGAAAAAACTTTTGAATGTTACCAGTCGTGTGAGTAATACCTTAAGTAAAAATTCTGTAGTATACATGAAAAATCGGTTATATGGAAATTATATCAAATAATAATTCGAACAAATGAAAATTCATTTAAAAGAAAATTCTTTTAAATTCCTATTATGTTAAATGAAAATTCAAGTAAATAAAAATTCTGACAAATAAAAATTTTTGGTTATATAAAAATTCAGTAATATAGAAAATCGGTTTAATGAAAATTCTGCAAAATACAAATTAGAACAAATAAAACTTCGACTCAAAAATAATTATGACAAATGAAATTCCATAAAATGAAAATTCTAACTAATCGATTTTAAAGAGCGAAAAAAATTGTTTTATTTAAACAGCTGTTGACTTTTTTTTTCAACCTCCAACAACAATTGAATTTCAGAATTTTTATTTGACACTTTTTTTAATAATTGAATTTTTAAAAGAAATATTAAAATTATTAAAAATAATTGAATTTTGGAAGAGTTACAGTTGAAAATTTTATAAATAATTGAATTTCAAAAGATTGTGTTTAATTTCAGACAATAATTAAATTTTAACGCAGAATTGAAAATAATTTATCAATTATTATAAATTAATAAAACCTTTTTTTTTTAAATAATAGAATTTTCGAATATTTACAATATATAAATTTTTAAAAATTATTTAAATTCAAGTGATTTCTATCAATTTCTATCAATGAAGAATTTTTTTAGAAAAATCAGACAAAAATTGAATTTCCAAAAATTTATATAAATGAAAAATGCTTTTAGATAATTAAATTTTTGAAGAATATTATAAAAATCATTAAAAATAATTGAATTTTTGGAAAAAGTCTTAATTGTAATTTTTAAAAATTAATTGAATTTTTGAAGAATATTATAACAATTATTAAAAATAATTGAATTTCGGAAGAGTTCAAATTATTAAATTTCTGAAAGTTTAAGATAGAAAATTTTAGAAATAATTAAATTTTTGAAGGTTTTAAATTAAAAATTTTTTTCAAATAATTGAATTTCAAGTGATTTTGAATGAAAATTGTCGGTAATAATATTATTTGTTGATTTTTTTTTAATTTTAAACAATTATTGAATTTCATAAAATTTTTAGTTGAAAAATATTTACAGATAATTGAATTTGTGAAGAATTTCATTAAAATTATTGAAAATAATTAATTTTCCAGAAGAATTTTAATTAAAATTTTTTTAAATAATTTAAATAAAGAAGATCTGTATTGCCTACTAAAAAAGACGTATATTGTTTTAAAAATTTTGTAAAAAATGTAAAAAAAAATCCATTAAAATAACCTAAAAATAAAAATTGTTTTTATCACTGCCAAATGAAATTAAAATTAAAATTAAAATTAATTTTACTATGTAATAGATCCAGTTGTATAATTTTCAGAATTTTTTTTTTTTGTGAAACAATAATTATTTAACTTTTTTTTTTGTTTAAAGTCATTATGTAATAAGTTTAATAACTCGTTGAACAAAATATTGTTAATAAAATTCAACAAATCAGGATTGTACGAAAATGAAAATAAACTATTGTTTTTAAAAATTAGACAAAGATTTATAATTGTTTACTAAAATTTAAACAAAAAATACAAAAAATAAAATAATTATATGAATCAACAAAAAAATTTTAGTTGAAAAAAATTTTTTTTTTTTGAAAATTATACAACTGAATCTTATATTTGATGAAATCAAAATTATAGTTTTATTTTATGTTAAAAACAACTTTTTAGTTTGAGACTATATCAATGGGTTGAACGTTTTTTAAAAAAAAAACTTTTAGAGGAAATGGGATGGAAAATCGAAAATAATATAAATTTTATGTAAATTTTGGAGTTATTTATACATTTCTGTAAAAAATTTACTAATTGAAAAAGATAATTTGAATTTTTTTTTAGAAAATTTAAAACTTCAATGGAAAATACCGGAAAATACATTGAAATTTCATTTTAAAGAATAATAAAAAACATTATAAATTGTTTTATTTACAAAACTGAAAAAAAAATATTAAATATAGTTATTCAAGATAAGGAAATTGAGAGAATTTTTTTGATATCGATTTTGTAGTATTAAATATTATATTAATTGGAAAGTTATCCATGAAACTGTTAATTTTAATATTTGAAAAAAAATTTCTAAATAAAAAGTATATTGAATTTTAATTAATCAACAAACGCAGTAATAGTATTTCAGAAATTTAATTATATATCTATATAGAATTTGAAAGATCATGAAGTGAAATAGCTCATAACGTGACTAATGAAGACTTCCTACATTAATTATTTCCTTTTGAAAGGTGTTATTTTCCATTTGGTTATATATAATAAATAATAATTTGCTAGAAAAGCGTGCGAGCATCTGATTAAAAACATACCATCAGAGAAAATGACCTAAGACAACTTAACGCAACACGAATTTTTTCAATTATTGCTGTAACTGTATACAACAAAAAGTACTCTATTGTTTCCTCAAAGTAAACTACTCGAAATTATTGTATTTTATTTGGAAAAAAAAATTTTACATAACCGACATTTGTTAAGAAACATTTCAGTTCAAATTTTTTTTTTTTTTTTTTATTTACCTAGGAACCAAATTCAATTTAAATAAAAAAAAATTCAAAAATAAATAAAATATATCAAAAAAAGTTTGTAAAATAAAATTTTATTATAAATAAATAATAAATGAATTAATTTATTTTTTGGAAAAAAAATAATTTTATAAAATTTAATGTCCTCAATCGATCAGAAAATAAAAAAAAAAATTTTTTGTAAATTTAAAAACTCTTGACTTAATTTTTCTAAATAAATAATTATTAAATTTATTTTCTAACAAAAACTTTATTTTTATTTAATAAAGTTTAATCGTCTCAAAGATATATTTCTTGTTATTTATCAAAAAATAAAAAATTTATTTTTGAATGAAAAATTCGATGAAAATTTTCGTCTCAAAAATATTATTTCTTACAATGAGATCAAAAAATTATAAAAAATAAATATTCTTTTAGATAAAAAAAATTTACAATTTTTCGTCTCAAAAAATAATTTATTTTCTAATTGTTGATCATAAATATTTGTAAACTTCAGGATCATTTTCTCACAATAATCCAAGGAGAAAAATATTTTTGAAAACTGTACATATTATGTAAGCAAGAAAAATACAGTTTTTAAAAGAAAAAAAATATATGATTCGTAAATATTTCAAAAATATAAGAAGTCAATAATAGAAGGCAGATATTATATGCATCGAAAGAGACAAATATATACCGTTATTTAAGGACAAGTATAATTATTATTATAAAAAGACAAATTGCAATATAAGGAAATATCGAGAGGTAATATTTGCCAATAATAGATCATTTCATCGCATAATAAAAGATCTCAAAAAAAAAGAAATTTAAATAAAAATTACTCTATTATTAACTATTATTATATGCAATAATAGTAATTATTATTAAAATAACGAATAATTAAAAAAAATTAAATAATTATATTATTAATGAATCTTTTATAACATATTCAATGATTACCAAATATATTTCTTGCGATTTATTAGCTCATGCTAAAAATCTATAGATATTTCAGAACAGAAATAAAAAGACGAAACGCTAATTTAATTTCTAGCACACGATAATTTCCATGCTTCATTAATTTTATAATTCTGATATTTTTCTCCATGGACGGAAAGACGATTTCATTTTTTTTTTTATGAGAAACAATCGAATTTATTTTCTTACTAATGCAAAAATTGTATTAATCCAAAAATAATGATAAGTATATAAAGTCAAGAGTATTTTAAGATTTTAAGATTTTAAGATTGACAAAAAAGTGAAAAAAACTGATAGTGAAAAGCAATTAAAGTGCAAAATAACTAATTTGTATCTATTCAAATTTTGAAATTTTTAATCAATTATTGAATGCATTAATGGTTTAAAATTTAGGTAAATTTAATTTGGATAAATTCAGGCTTCGCATCGACAAATTATCAAAATTTTAATTCAAATTTCTAAAAAACATTCTTAATTTTTAATTTTTTTAAATTTTTTCAAATCGAATTTAAACAATTTATTCGAATTAAAAAATTTCAAAATACTATTTACTTTTTAATGGTCAAAAAAAAATTTCGAACAATAATTAAGTTTTACAGATTTTTATATTACATTTTTTTAAAAAATAATTGCATTGCAAAAGATTTTAAATTTGAACTTTGTTTTAAATAATTAAATATTTAAAGAAAATTTAATTTAATTAAAATTTTTACTGATTTTTGTTGGTGAATAATTTATCAGAAATTACAGAAAAAATTGAAAGAATAAGAAATTGAACTTTAAAAGTTTTTAATTGAAAAATGTTTTTAGATAATTGAATTTTCAAAGAATATTATAAAAATCACTAAAAATAATTGAATTTTAGAAGAGTTACAGTTGAAATTTTTAGAAATAATTGAATTTCAAAAGATTTTATTAAATTTCAGACAATAATTAAATTTTAGAAGGTTTTAATTTGAAATTGTTGAAAATAAATGAATTTCATAAAATTTTGAATTGAAAAATAAATAGATTGGAATTTCATTAATTTTAAGTTTCGATCGATTAAATTTACATTTGATTGAAATTTCTAATTAATAAATTTGTTTTAACCAATAAAAATTAAAATTTATTGAAAGTTGAAGTAATTGAAATTGAAATTAAAATTTGAATCGAATAAAATGTAATAAAATTGAAATTCGAATGAACTAAAATTTGAAAATATTTAAATTTGAATAATTTGAATTTTTTGATCGTTTGAATTGATGGTTGATTAAAATTTGAAGCAATTTAAATTTATATCGATTACAAAAAACAATAGTTTAAATTTAGATTTATTGAAATTTTTCCTAAATAATTTTTAAATCAATGAAATTTTTTTTTTATACATTTTTCTCTGACATTTTCCTAACTTTCCTGACAAAAAAAATAATTTTTCCTTGACTTTTTCCCGACTTGTTGATATTCTGTATTTTAAAATTTGTGGTTTTTAATAAAATTTAAATAATTTGCCTTATTTTCATATAAAACGTTTTGCGAGGCGTTAAGGAACTTGATATTTCTAGACGCTATTAATAAAATGACTTTATGTATAGAATATATACAATAAATATAGAAATTATCATAAATCCAACTTGGCAGACAACTTCCTACACACGCATCTTTTAATCGTTCAAATCATCGCGCGAAGAAATGATGTTTAGCGACAACATTAAATATTTGAAAATGCGATTATAATCGAAAGTCAAGGACTATTTCTCCTGTGTTTGTCTTTCTTTCACTCGCTCATTAATAATGAAAGAAGTGAAACCATTGTAGAACGTGAACGTTTTATCGATCAATGTAAAATGATTTACAATTAAAAATTTGTAAACTTTTTCTATATAAAGAAAGATCAAAAAACGAAAGACGCAAAATAATTGAATTATTCATTTTGAATTGTCAGGAGAAATTTTTTGTTTCAACTAAACTTTGGCGAGAAAAAGAAGAAAAAAAAAATAAAATTTTCACTATTTTTTCCATATTTAGAATATAAATAAAATTGACTTTTAAAAATAGAAAAGAAGTTCTTTTCAAATTCAGAAAGTGATTTCAAAGACGTCAATGGCTTTCCCATAGTGTGTATTATGTAAGTCACTTGAATTATTGTATGTATATAGTAATAAAATGTTGTTGCAAACTTTCTCATTATAGTTTTACTTACCAAAGAGGACAACACGATCGCATATTGTTTGACTTGAAGACCTTCCGGAACTTTTCCGTGTTACTTTTGTTCGTTGTCCTCTCATTTTTCGCAAATATTTTTGTCCCAATTTTTTTTTACTTGGAGTCCCATGAGTATCTCCACCTCGTGCGCTAAAAAATTATAAATAAAATAAATTATTATAAATGAAATTTTTAGAAACAATAAAATATAATCCACTTTCAATATTTAGATCAAAAAAACAAGAATAAATTCCTTTTCTAATTTTCCCTTTTTTTTTAATATTCTAAATTTAAATTTTGAATATTGTAAACAATTTTAATTTTCTAATTGAAAGAAAATCGACATTTTTCAAGATATGAGCCAAAATTTCTGAAAGTTCAAATGAAAACGAAATATTTTTTTTAATCTATAAATTATTAAAAATTATAATGGCCATGTAAAATAAAACAGTAAATTAAATAATTATTAAATTAATAACTTCTTTTTAGATATTTAAAACAATATTTTGTAATAAAATTCGTACTTAAAGATGCAAAAAAAAAAAAATTTCGTTCATTTGAACTTTCAAAATTTTTGGCTCATTTTCAAGATAATAATTAGAATTATTTTTTATTATTTTTAATAATAATTAAAAAAGAAAAATTTAACATTATTAGAAAATGGAAATTAGGAGGAAAAAAAAGAAATTAAAAAATATTTGATATAAAGTGTGTAGTTCCATTGGAAGATAAAAATTTTTTGCAATTATGATATATTAAATTTTTTTTTGTTAAATGTATCTCATCTCGAACATAGAAGAAAAAGCTATTAATTTCAAATGTTTGCGAAGTACTATTGTTTTCGTTGAAACAATAAAGATGGACCGTCACGCCATTAAGTCTCCGGTTGGATAATGAAGTAACTCTGATATTATCATTGCCTTCATATTAAAATGAAATCACAGCTTTCTAAACAATTTCTAAAACGAATAATTTTACCTAGAACATGAAATCTCAAATTTTTCCATTTTTTAAAAATCAATAATAATTAATTAATTTCAAATACCATTTTAATTAAATTTTCTTTGAATTTTAAAATTAAATTTTAAATTGACTTTATTTTGAAATTGCAATTTTTCAAATTTAATTCTTATTGTTTATTTTTCACCTCATTGCTACTGTTTTAAAAATTTTTTTTGTTATTTTTATTGAAATTCTGAAATTTTTTTTCCAACAAACTATATGTAAATACATAAAAATGGCACTGAGAAAAAAAGAATTTAAAATTAACTTTTTAAAACGTCAATTTCTACCGTGTTAAAAAAGCAATAGGCAATAATTGTTTTTGTAAAAAAAAGACAAAATTTACCTGGTTACTAAGGTAACAAATAAATTTAATTAAAATAATAATATGCATTTTTAACGTAAACAATAAAGCAAAAATTGCCTTTTTAAAATAAATAATTGTTAAATAATTTCTATTTATAAATTAAAATCCATAAAGTTTTGTCATAGTTAAAGAAATTTTAAAGTAACAATATTTCTTTAAATGGAAAAATTTTAAACCCTATTACTTTCTATAACTTTTTTTTTAAATGTGCTAATATTTTAGAGATTTTTTACTTTCGTATAGAACAAAAATTTACCAAAGTATTTAAACCAATACAATAATTAAAAATTTTAAATGGCTTTTTTCTCATTGAATACACTTCATATTAGAAATGTATTATTATTGCATAAAAGTATAGAATGTGAACTACTGAGACTTTATTGAGTGGATAATATTACTGTGAAAAGAATTTGAAATGCCACTCACCACGTGACGTTTCTCTTTGGCGCAAGTAAAGAGGGTTTCGTGTCTTCAAGATCCTCCCACTCAGATTCCTTGCCATTCAACGATGACCCCGGTTGAGATCCTGTACTAGAGCCTGCGTACAGGCTATTGACACGTTCCTGACTTGGTAGATCGACGTCATCATACACTCCTTGTTCATTCTCGTCATTTATCTCTTCATCCTCGTCGACACTCGAGTAATCATTGTTCACAATTTCATTTTCATAATTTGAATTTGTTTCAGAATTCTCCTTTTTTTCAAATTCAATTTTTCCATCTTCTCCTTGCTTTTTCATAATCAAATAGTCATTTATCTCCAATGTACTTGTTGATGAGAAATTCTGTTCAATTTGACATGACGATGGCATAACGTCGTCATAAACTTCTTCAAATTCTTCATTATTTGGAAAACCCACATCATCGTAATCGTCTTCCTGTGAACGAAAAAAAAAATTCAAATTTTTTGATAAAATGCAAAAAAAATAGTTAAATAATTCTAAAAAATAATTATAAATTATTTTGAAAAATATTTTCCAAAATAATTTAAAAAACAAAAAATTGTAAATAATTTTTTTTCTCAATTTTATCAAATTATTGAATTATAAAATTAATCGATTTTACAAAACATTAATTAAATTTTAATAATGTTTTTACATTCAAGCACGTAGTGAGTATTAAAAAATTATAAGTAAACTTGTTACATTGTTTAATGAAATTTTATCTGATATGTAATTACAATGATGAAATTGTGAATATTTTGCTGATTGTCATATTTTTATTTTTTTGTAATAATATACGAATATTGCACGCAAAATTGAAATTTATTATTTAACATCTATAAATAATACGTGAATTAATGTGAAAATTCCGAAATTAATTTTTTTTTTTTTTTCATCAGAACTGTAAAATATGAGATGTTTATAATATTAAAATTAACAATAATCAACAAAAGATGTAATCTTGAAAATTCTCTTATACTTAAACAAAAGTTACGAAAAAGATGAATAAATAAAAAATATATATTCTTTTTATTTCATAATTTTAAGATTGTTTCGCAAAATTTGAATGTAAATTACATTTTTCTTTAATTACTTTAATATTTGGCAATTTTTTTTCTTTTTTTTTGTTATTTAAATTAATTTTGAATAAATTACAATTTAAAAGAGAATGAAAAATTTTCTTCTTTAAAATATATTTAAAATTTATTTAATTAAATATTCACCTCAAATGATATTCCAATATCGTCAAATTCTTCGTACGTATTTTCATCTTTATTGTAATTGCTGGTCGATGAATTTTCATGATTTTCCGAATTTCTCCTTCGATTGCTCCAAAGAAAACTTGAATTTGCTTTTAAACCTTTATAAAATGAAAATTCAGATACTGGTTCGTAAATTTTTTCATCGACCTCATTCTCATCATTGTTCTTCAATTGGCTATTTTCCAAATTTTCAACTTTCACCGATTGATTTTCATTCACTGAATCATAAGATGGATCGCTGTCGGTTGTTAATGGTAATTTTTTAATTTCCACATAACCCCTTCCGTCAGTTTCACTTAGCAAGAAGCTAGGACGACCTGAAGCAAAAAAAAAAAAAAAAATAATCAAATAATATCTAAATTTTTTAATTTATTTCTAAAATATTTATTAATATATTGTCCCTTTATTTTTGAAATAAATCTCTGACTTTGCGGCTACCTACTCTTTTTTTAAAACAAAAATATAAATTATGAAAAATTGAATTTTATTTACAACAATAAAATGCAGTAAATAAAATATTTTGTCGAATTTATTTTATTTATTAAAAATTGTTCTCAAATTGAAAAAATTAGACCGTTTGAAAATTTGCAAATGAATTTTTTTTCATGAATTTTATAAATGATTAAAAATTCCAATTTTAATTATTAATATAGTAATAAATTAAAATTTAAAAAATTATTAAAAATTTGTTTAAAGAATTTACAAATGTAGAATTTAACAAGGATGTGAAACCTTTTAGAATACTAATTTCAACCAAGATGTATATATATATATATATATATATATACATTCTGATGAAACAATTGACTCGTAAAATTGCTACATGATCCTGGTAGAGTTTGCGGTTTACTTTATAACCATAATAATTATTATTATCATCATTGGCTTAGGCTATAAACAGTTTTTCTTTTTTTATGAAGTGGCAAGTCCGGGAACCATTGTAGCGTATAATATATTTTACCAGAAATTACAAAGAGTTTTAAATGTGTTAATTAACAATTAAGATTCCTAAGATATCAAAAAAAAAAAAAAAAAAAACGATTCTAATTATCAAAAAAATTTTCTTTTAATGCAAAAAAAAAATTTCTAATTTTTATCTTTTAATTTTATAACATTAATGAGAAAATAATTATTATTTTCTAATTTATAAAATTTTAATTATTAACATTTTTAATGATAATAATAATAATAATAATAATAATTATTATTATTATTATTATTATTAATAACTAATAATGAAAAAATAACTAAATATGCACTTTGAACAATTATTCTTTAATTAAAATTAAATTAAAAATTACTCACCGTTAAGTTTCTCCATATTTTTGGAATTATGTAATTGATCCATTTTGAAAATTCTCAAATCAACGAATTTTTGTTCATGTGTAATAATATTTTGTTTTGAACGTGAAGATGGATTGTCAGAATTGATCAATAATTTTGGATTTGTTGCAGAAGCAACATGAACAAAATTTGTTGGTGATGATATTGTCACATATTTTAATTCACTTCTTGAGAGACTTTTACATTTTGCAGAATCATTTAAATCAAATTTTTCATTATTCTTCAATGAGCCCAGCGATAAACTCAATCGATTTTTTCTCAATTTTTTGTAACGTTTCACATGATTTGATATTGGTACATAGTGAAGAACATTTTTTGTAAAATATTTATATTTTCTTTTACTCTTATCATCGGTTATAAATTGATTTTCAATAATAATATTATTATTATTTATATTAGACGTTTCATTGTCATTAAATTGAATACTGCTCGAGTTATTTGTATTATTATTATTATTATTACTACCGTAACCACTATCTGATTGATTGCTGAGATTATAACTATTAATACTAAGAGATGAAATATCCAGATCTAAAGTTTGTTCGACTTCCGGTTTTTTAACATTTAAATTATTGCCAATTGTAATAACATCATCGTATAATTCACTATCTAAAATGAGTGATGAATTAAAATTATCATCATCATCATCATTATTGAGTTTTTTGTTTTTTTCACTTGTTCTTGTCACTTTTTTTTGAGATTCAAATAATTTCACGTCCCTTGGCAATGTGTGGCTCTTCATTTGACAAGAATCGTGTTTAATAATAATTGGTAATTTTGAGTCTTTTAATAATTTTTTACTGCTACTTCTTCGATTAAGGGAAACGGATTTTTTCAAAATTTCCTTTTGATTGTCATTTTTTGTATTTTGATTTAATCGCGAACGAATTTTCCATTGAATATTTGAAGCTGTTCGAACCTGTAATTTAAACAATATAATATTATTAGCATTTTTAACAAATAAATAATTAAATAATTAAATATGAAATATGAATATTGATATAATTGATCATTATTTAATGTAAATAAATATTAAAGTAAAGTTTAATAATTAAATTTAATTTAACTTTAAATTGGAATTATTAAAATATTTTTAAACTTCGAAAATATAAAATTTTTTATACAAAAGTCAATGAACAGAGAAAAAATTGAAAGGTTTGTTTATTAAAAAAAAAAAAACAAACAAACAAACAAACGTGATATTACTTTTTCTTCTTCTTCTTTGTGTGAAGAAATAAACAATTTTTTTTTTTTATAAAGGAAATAAAACATCATTTTGCTTCAAAAGTATCTTTTTACAATTCAAAAATTCGCAATGTTTATAATCAACGATTTTTTGGAGAAATATTTTTTCAAAACAAAAATTCTATGAATTTTTGCCTCAAAGATATTTGCAATTTTTTTTAGCAAACAAATTATAAAAAAAAACATTTTTTTTTAGAATTTTATAATATTTTTAAAATAATTTGTTTTCTCATTATTGATCATAAACTTTAACGGATCGTTTTTTCCCTCCTAAAATTTTAGTGGAATTTATTTTTCCGATTTCTAAATCGTTGAACGCACTGACAGAAAAAAAAGGAGAAGGTGAAACTTGATTTGCAAATTGGTTAAAAATGCAAACTCTAATCAATTTACATAAAATTATTAAATCCAATAATGAGGCCTTCGGCTAAAAATAGTAACAAATGTGAATAAATTCATCTTTTACAGGATAAAAACAATAATAAATTCTTACAAATTCGAAAAAAAAATTTCTTTTCAAAACAATAGCCATTGTTTTTTTTTTTTTTTTTCATTAAAATTTCGAAAAAATCTATTTCAATGCGTGAATTTTTTTTGCAATAAAATAATTTTTTTCCAACTAAAAAAAGACGTTTTTGTTAAAATTATTTTTTTAATAAAATAGAAAAATAATTCTCAAAATTTTTTCGAAATTTTCAAAGTAAAATAGAATTTTTTTTTTTTTTATAATTAAATACCTTGTTATAATGGAGTAAAAATTAATTCTTGAGAAAAGTTTGTACAAGGAAAGAAATTTTTGCAGTTATTATTGAAACTCGACAGAAAAGAATATGGACCATGCGGTACAATGAACTTTATACTTCAACAGTATGTATGTGCGAATTCAAATGAGAATTGTGGTCGAGCATTTTTGTTGAATATCATTATTTCCCTATTGTTTAAAATAAAGACTGAGAAAAAGGGGGAAATTTTTTTTTTTTTTTTCATTTTAATTTGATAAAAGCATTGCGATCAAGATCGCGAGGTAATAATACCGTTAAAACTTAGAGAAGTCATACTTATTGTTAGAAACGCGGCGAATGGTGAATGTTTACTCTTGTAACGGGTCTCTTCTCGATATATATCTACAACGCAGATGTTGCGTTGAAGGTTGACACAATCGCGAACATGTTTAAAGTAAATAGAAAAAAAAAAAATAGAAAAATATTTGAAAAAAAAAATGTTCTATCAAAAGAAGTGAAAAAAATCGAAAGTTATCATAAAATTATTATTAATAGGATAATTTCAATTTTATCCGCAGATTAAAAAAATTTGTCAATTGAAAAAATGATAAAAATATAAATTTTTTACATTTTTACTTCTTTTTTTTTCACAAAAAAAATATAGGAATTAAAAAAAATATAATTTTTAAATTTAATTTTTCATAATTAAACTTGTAAAAAAATCAGATGTTAAAAATTAAAAATAAAAAGGTGACTTTTATGATTAAATAAATAGAAATTAAAATTATTGAAAAAAAGGGGAAAAATACTTTGGAATTAAAAAAATTAAATTAAAATTACTGTTTGGAATAAATTCGAGAATAAATTAATATTTTGAATAAAATTATTTTACTGAACCAAAATAATATTTTTTTAAATTTTCTCTCTCTCTCTCTCTCTTCAAACTAGTAATTGTTTAAACGTCCATTTAATTAAATTTATACGGTAAAAAAATTATAGAAAAATTTTTCTTTTGACGTAATGAATCTCGATGTGAAAATTACATCATTATCAGAAATTGTATTCTTGTCTTGAGATTAAAAGCCTATAATTCAATTGTTCTTTGGCGTAGCAAAACAGGTATCTTAAGTAGCCTTTCAACAGTTATTATCACTAAACCTTTTTGCTAGATTTGTAATAACGATGAAAAAAAAAGAAAAGAAAAACAAAATCGTATCGTCAATAATTTTCCGATAAATGTTTAAAATAAAAAAAAATAAATAAAAATTCAACAATCTTATAAAAAGATTCATTTTATCTTAAAACTGATAAAGAGAAGCTCATAATTTTTATTTTATTTCAAATATTAATAAAAATATATATAATAATAATATAAATATACAATACAAAAAATTTTTTTCGAATTTTTTTAATTCCAATTTCATCATCGAATCTTTTATGTCAATATTTATTAATAATTTATCAAAACATTATATTTTTTTATAAAAGATTATAAAATTTATAAAGTAATAAAATATAAAGTATAAAGTATTCTCACAAGAATTGCGAAAAAACCTCGTTAAATTTGGAACCTTGAATAAATAAAAAGTTCGAAATTATAATTAGATGAAGAAAACTTAAACCGATTTTAATCTGTAATAAAAATGTTATCATTACTTTTTCCGAATAAAAACTATATTTACGATTGAAATAAATATTTGTTAACGATTATTATTAAGTATTAATTACAAATTTCGATTACTATAATATTGAAATAAACATTTTTAGAAATATTATAAAAATATTGTAAATATTGTAGAATGAGCTCTCAATCTCAAATTTCTCAATGGAAAAACATTTTGTTCTTCAAAAGTTATTAATTATTTGCAAATAAAAATTATTATTAACATAATAAAAAAAAAATTAAACAGATAGCTAAAAACAGATGAAAAGAACAGCTTGATGTGGTTATAATCTTTAAAAAATTATATAATTTAATCAAGAATTTCAATATGATTTTTTTGGTTTCAGTCAAATTTATTTTTACTTGGATAACATTTTTCAAACGTTGATTTTTAAGTAATTTGTTTTTTTGATGTAATGATAAATTTAATAATAGAAAAATCAAGAAATAGAATTATTTTTTTTTATCAAAGAAACTGAAATTATTTAAGGGCATATCTCTAGAACCTTTAACTTTAATGTCCCTCGCATATATTTTGGTAATTTTAATAAATTTTTCGTTGGTTTTTGTTGGAAATATTAATGCTTGATACAATCAATCATTTCCAAAAGATTCCACTTTAATTTATTAAATACATAAATAATTATTTCAATTTTAATACGCGATTTTTAACAATGTCTACTTGTCCTTAACCATACTTTCTGATGCTTTAAACGATATAGTTTTAGATTTAATAAAAATTACTAATTCTGAAATATGGTTTTTCAATGTTAATTAATCGGTGAACACATTTTCGCAGGGAAATTAATATTTTATTAATTGTGAAAAAATTTATAAGCTTTTAAAAGTTGTCCCTCACTTTTAACCTTTTCTACCGTAAGCATCGTATTTATGATTTTTCTTTTATAAGACAAGCGGCACGTTAAAATAACTTATGGGAAATCAAAGATCAAGCTACTATAATTATTTTGAGACATAATAAATTGATGTGCTTCATGTTTTCAAAAAATTATTATAAGTTATATAAACGAAAACACGCGTGGACAAAATTTGAAAACAACCGTAATACGAGTGATACTTCATGAAAATCATATAAAAGTATTCGAAAAGTACTTGTATATATTTTCACATGTGCCATTTAACATCCCGTGAATGTGCTTCGAGAAAAAATACTTTATTGCAAAGATAATGTAAAAATATTCATCAATTACGGTCGACCGTAATCGACCGAAATTTTTTAGAAGGAAATTGTTATGTACGAAGTTGCCGATTATAATTTTTTTTATAGAAACTGTCATTAATTATTAAAACCTGAAGGTTAAGTTTTAATGTTTATTTCGAGACACAAAAATGGATCCAAAAAAATTCATTCTGAAAAAAGATAAGATGCGAGAGAAAAGAAAAATAGAAAAGGAAAAAAGAGAAAAGAAATTGGAAAGTTTACGAATATTAAATTTAAGTAGAAAATAGTCTATGAAAATCGTATGGTAAATTTTAAAAATTACAATTTTACATTTTTAAAACAATTCACTATAATAAAAATCTATTTTAAAATGTAATGTAAATATTCAAATAAAAAATTTATATATCTAGTTAATTTTTGACACATGCTTTTATACCAAGTGCATTATTTCAGTATTTTATTATTCATATAAATATTGAAAATATTAAACGAATTTTATTGCTTTTTAAAATTATAACCCCTTAGAAAATTCCCTTCAACTGTTTTTTATCCTAAAAAGCAAACACCTGTTGAATATTTTTTTGTTACAGGTTAAAAATAATTCTCAATTTTAAATATTTATAACTTTTTGAAGACAACTTGTTTTATCTGTCCACTTGTATAATTGGAAAGCTTAGTTCTTAAAGTTTATGTAGACAAAGTTTCAATACTGTGCTCAAAAAAAAAAAAAAAAAATTTTTCTTATTGAAAAGTTAAAGGTTTCAAAGATATGCCCTTAAAATAAAAAATTAAAATTGTCTAACAATGTTTTTTTAGAAGAAAAAATATTATTCTATGCAAATTATTATTATAATTTTTATTTAAAACATATTTGCAACGTCTCTTGATCAACAATTTTTTTTTGAAGATTATTTGTAGGCTAAAAAATATTACGTACAAGAAATTAGCATCGTCAGTTTGTTTTTTTTCAAAAATAATATTTTTGTGCCAATTTGTGCTGTAAACAGTTTTTTTGAAAAAATAATAATTAGAACACAAAATTATTCACAAAAAATTAAAAATTATTTAAAATAATTAAATTTTAAAATCCAAAAAACAAAACAGTTTTACCTAAAAAAAAATTCAAAACTTATTATTTTTCAAAAATAAATTTTCTGCTGAAAAAAAAAACTAAAAAAAAAAATTCAAAACTTATTATTTATCAAAAATAAATTTTCTGCTGAAAAAAAACCAAAAAAAAAATTCAAAACTTATTATTTTTCAAAAACAAATTTTCTGCTGAATTGTTTTCGTTCAGTTAAAAACGAGTTAAAAATTATTATTTTTCAAAAAAAAATTGTTCTGAATGATAACTGGATTTGAAGAATTTAGCACAAAATTTTCTTTAAAAAATAATAATTTTTGAATATTTCTGAAAAAAATCTATTTTTGATTATTAAAATTGAATCCTAGGTAATTTTGAAAATTTTTTAATTGTTTCTGTTTGTTCTCGACGAGCCTAATTCAGTACAAAATTTGATTTTGAAAAATAATCATTTTTAAATATTTATAAATAAAAAAACGTGTTTTAAATTTTAAAGTTGAATTTACAAAACAATTTTTTTTATTTGTTAATTTTTTTTTTCTTTATATGAATCAATTTTTTTTTTAATAAAATTTTTTGAATAATTCAGAGAAAAAAAATGATTTTTTGAAATTAAAATTGAATTATTTTCAAAAAATTTTAATTTATCGTGAATGGTTCAAAAATCGGTTTTTGAATTCAAATTTTAATTACTTTTCAATTTTTACAATTAATTCTGAGTAAAAAATTCTTCGAACATTAAAAAATACTAAAATAGTTCTAAAAGTACAGCATTATATAAATAAAAAAAATAGAAATTTTTCTTTTCGCAATAAAAAAATATATATACGCGCAAGATGAAAGTGTAAATCGTTAATATATAGATTGCGCTCACCTTGAAGCTGGGCTTTCTAGAAGACGTTTTTCTTGGAATAATCTTTTCTTTATTATTATCAATTTTCCCAGAATTATCCACAATATGATTATTATCAATTGGCAATAATTTGAGTGGTAGAGTTGCTCTTTTCAATGCCAAACTGTCTAGAGTGGCATAAATAATTTTATCGGAATTCAAACACGGTGGTGATCGTTCACCACCGTGCAGGAAACTCCGATTCGCCGTTGGCGATGGAGTCATCCCGATTTCTTCCGGTTTAACGTGCATTCGTCAGGGGAATCCTTAGTTTTTTTTCTTTCATCCTCTCTCCATCTCCTGCAACATTTTTTTTTTAATTTTTTTTTTTTTTTTATCAATTCATAGAACCGGTTAGAGACTGTGCGTGTGATTCATCAGAGAACTTTGTGAAAATTTTATCTCAAAGTGAGTGTGAGGCTGCGAAGAAGGGTTTTTTTTTTATTGATTGGTTAAAAAGTAGAGTAAAATCATTTCATTGATTTTTATTCATCATTCATAATAATATACTTGGAAATATACTGTAAATTTTAATTACTTAGAACTTTAAACATTTTATTTATTTTTATTAATTACATTTATTATTTAATAATTTAATTCATGTTTTTCAGATTATTTATTATTTATTTTTTTTTTTTTTTTGACAGTCTCACAAAATTAAAATATTAAAAAAATTAAATAATAAAACTAAAATTAAAAATATGTTTGAATTAAATCAATTAAAGTTGATTTTCAAGATATAATATAGAAAACTAGAAATTAATTTAAAAAATATTTCAGTTTTAGAGAATATATAAAAAAATCGAATTAATAATTGTTAAAAAAAATTTTTGATAATAAGAATAATAAATGCTTCAATAAAAAATGTTTTAATTGCATAAATTATATTTCTAATTATAACTATAATAATTGAATATTTGCAATTTTTCTTCATAAAAAATTTACGACTATTTTTTAGTTATTTATACGTGTACAATTAGAACAACTAGAATCTAATTAAAGAAAGAGAAGTGAATTCTCACAAGGGAATAACTATATATAAATACGAATAAAAAAAAAAATTCTTATAAATCTTCCGTGAGACACAAAACAACTTCTTTATTAGTGTAAAATCTCATAAAACCAACTATTCTCTTTATTGTATTTTCTCTTTCTAAATTATTATCATTTGAAATTATTTTACGTAAGATTTAAATTCTCGTATATGATTGACTTTTTTTTCTATATTTATTTTGTTATTCGCAGTAAAAAATATATTTCATCCTAAATAATCCTTAATAAAAAAAAAATTTTTTTCTTTAAAATTTTATTTATTAATAAGAAATTAATGTAAATTTCATTGTTTGTTACTTTTACACAACATAAAAATCGAATATCATAAAGATTAAAATCTATAAATATATACAAAGAAGTCAAAGACATTGTTAAAATCTATATATATATATATTATATGAATAGAAATGAGTCGATTTTTTAGATTAGATAAAAAAAGACAAAATTATTGCAAAGTTGTCAATTTATTTTTTTTTTCAAAATTATAATTTCAAGCAAAATAAAAAAATTTCCTTTTAAATTAATTAAAAGTTGAACTTTAATTTTTTTTTTGTTATAGAAAAAGGTTTCTAAAATTTTGAAACGTTCAAATGCGAAAAAAAAATCACGTCTGTAATGTTTATAATATTTATAATCAACGATTATAAAAATAAATATTTTTCACACGAAAAATAATAAAAATTTTTCCTTATACAAATATTTCTTTTATAAATTTATGTTGATCGAAAAATCCTTGCCTAAATTTTTTCAAACAAAAAATTATAATTTGCATAGAAAAAAAATATTTTTTCTTCAAAAAAAAAAAAAAAGTTAAAATTGAAACATTTGCTTCTTCAAATAAATTAATTTACTATAAAATTTGTGAATACAAAAATTAATTTAATTATTTATTATTATTTAATTAATTAATTTAATTATTTAATTTTTTCGAAAATCGTGTCAAAATATTATATATATTTAAAAATAATAGTAAAACAAAAAAATTGAATAAATAAAAATAATAATTAATAAATAATAAAATAATAAATAATAATTAATAAATAAAAAATAAATAATGTAAAAAATAAAATATTTTGAAAAAAAAATCTATAACTTGAAAGTACGAAGCTGAAGTACGCAACGTTTATATAAACGATTTTTAAAGAAATAATTTTTTAAAATGAAAAATTCTATAATTTTTTGTCTAAAAAATATTTCTTGTATTTTTTATTAATCAACAAATTATAAAAAAATAATTTTTAGGTAAAAAATTATAGAATTTTTTATTTTAAAAAATTATTTCTTTAAAAATCGTTTATATAAACGTTGCGTACTTCAGCTTCGTTTGAAAGTTTAAAATTTCAGGGACACATAATACGGGAATAATTACGAAATCCATTAGAATGAAAAATTTTCTTTATTTCGGAAACCGGATATAAAATTGATATTAAAGAAATTCTTGGAGAGATAAAAAGAAGAGTGTATACCATTACCGTTATCACATTTAACAATAAAAATCGCGTTTATATTTACTGTACAAACTCATCAACCGTATGTTCCGTACTTGCATATTATATACATTACAGCTGTTTTGTTATATAGAATCCTTCTAACTGGATCTTTAATTTACTGACGATTTACATCTCAACAATTCACTATATTATATAATCTAATAAAATCAAAAAAAAAAAATTATTAATTAATTATTGTAATTAATAATTAGAATTAATAATTAATTTAAATTATTTTAATTAATAATGAATTATTAGAATTATTAATTAATTATTAAAAATGTTAATTAATTAATTATGTAATTATCAATTTTTTTAAAATTCAAAACAAACAATAAATAATTAATATTATTGTTTAAATCGCCATAATTAGAAACACAGTTAAAGATCGATGATATGTATCGAAAGATATATAGAAAATATTATGTAATAAATACTGATCAGATAAATATAAAATTTTCTCGATAGAAAAAAAACATATATATGGAATGTAATGCAAATGTTTTTAATATACGTACACTATACTGGTCGCTAAAATGATTACAAAACGTTTGACTTTTGTGAGGTAATATCGTTAATATACATATATAGCTAATAATTAATTCATCGGGTGAGAATAAAATGGAAATACGTATATATATATAAGAAATTCCAGAAATATCTTATCTCAAGAACTATAGACGCAAACGTTATTATTAATTTCAGAGTCATGTGTAAAATTTTCTATATTTTTTGATAATATAAATTATTAATAAAAATAATTATATAAACAATAATGCATTATAATTTCATTGAATATAAAAAAATTCGAAATTATTTAAAATAAAAAACAAAATCGTGATCTTTTTTATATATTAAAATGATGAATCGCGAAAGTTGTCATCCGCGCATTTTTCCATGGGAATTATTGCATAATATATTAATATAATTTAGTAATTAAAACATAGCACCTACTATTATGGATTGTAATAGAATAAATTGAATTATCTTATAAAGGTGCGTCTACGAGAATGAAAAATAAGATTGTAAAATGCAAGGAAAGAAATCTCACGCTCTCCTTTTATTCCAGTATAACGTTATATATATATATATAAAACACTTGTAAAGTATGTATTTACTGGTGTACTTTCTTTTTGCAATATAAGGAGAAAAATTACTTTTACAACCTTATAAACATATGCAGGAACTTTGTTTTTAGTAGAATAGTATAAAAAAATTGGACATTGATATTGACGCAAATCTAACCTAACAATTCTTGTTTATAATTTCACGCAGTTTCTCAAGAAAAATAGATCGAAAAAAAAATTAATTAAATTAGATAACAAAAAAAAATATCTATCATTTTTTTGTGATTATTTTTACGAAAATGGAAAAAATCGACCTGTCAGTATATTATTTTTAATTACTAAAATAAAGAATCAATTTCTTTTTAAATAATTTAATTCCAACGAAAAAAAATATACATTTTTAATGATTAAATTAAAGAATGAATTACGCTAATTTAAAAATTCTCTGTTTTGGAGGAAATAAGATTATTTACAATCAAAATATTAAAAAACAAAACTTACGAGTCAATTGTCCCGCATAGCTTTTTTTTTCCTCCAAACGTCAACAATCTCTCTCTCTCTTTGTTTTTGATTTACAAAATCGTCCAAGTGAAAAAATTTGTAAATTTCAAATTTCTCCAAATCAGTCAATTTGTACGTGACACTTCAATTCTTTTTAGGTACATAAAAAAAATTTTCTTGTTACATATTTCACAATAACTGACAGTCCGTTAGAAAAACCGAAACTTTGCACTATTTTCCAAAATGTCAAATTTTCATTATTATAAATAATATAGAAATTGTAAATCGATGAATTTTAAATGCACATTTTTAAGTTATTTGAACTGTCAAAAGAAATTTTTAATCAGACATTGATTTCTTTAAAATGTTATCGAACATTGACTGGAATAGAATAGATATTGAATGACCGCGGATTTATCAGATGACTTTATATAGTTAACCTCTTATTTTTCTTTTACACCACATGCTGGGAAAACAGTGTTCGTATTGAAAAAAAAAAATGTTCAAACAATAAACAAATGTTTCTTATTGTTTTGTGTCACACGTACGCAGTGACAAACACGCGAGACACAACTGTGATGATTCGCGAATTCCCCCCTGATATGTATACAGTAAAGGCAAACGGTATAACCAATGGAGCGAATAACATATAGCAACGAAATGAACCGAAACCGTACGAATTTACCCGCTTATTCGTTTCGTATCGCTTCGGGTGTCCGCGTGGACAAATCGGTTATTTCCGATGTGAATCGTTTCAGGAGCGTAACTATTGCGGGAAATTCAAAAAGAAAAGGGTGTTTTAGAAAAGGAGATAGGTTTTTTTTTTTATTAGTTCTGTATTCAATTAATCGACTTTAATTTTTCTCGAGTGTCTACATTTTTTAACGTCCCTGGGAAAATTAACTAAATAGCATTAAATTCGAAAGAAGGTTGCGTAAAAAAAATTATAAATTTATAGTTTTGAAATTGAAATTTCATGTAAATTAATTTATACACCTTTACATTTATTTTAAATCAGTTTTTTTATTATTTATTTATTATTATAATTTTTAATTTTAATTAATAATTATATTTATTATAATTATTTATTTATATATTATTATTTATTACAATTATATTAGGATATTTAAAAAAAAATTACGCAATTATTTTAATCAATTTGCATAATTTTTTAAAAAAAGGTAAACATAATTAAAATTGCAAATTTTATGAAATAAAAAAAAAATATTGAAAAATTGTCAAAAAAAAATTTTTTCAGATGTGAAAATATTAATTTTGACAGATTTTTTTTTCAATAAAAATAATCTTTAACTTGAGCTGTGAAAAAAGTGGAAAACGGTGATTTTATATATATATATATATCGAAAGAAAGGTAGAAACTTGAAACTATATACGTAAAGGAATTCCCGCATTCCTGGTCAGGTTTGAGTCGTGAGTCAAATGATGTGGCACGATGGCCTCAATTTATTTTCACCCTGGACCGGATAAACTACTGTAAATTAAGGGAACTTTCGCGATGAAACCTCACGTTTCGAGATAATTAATATTAAAAATCTTTCTCAGAAAACAATAAATTACTTTGCAAAACAGTTTATAATGATCCAATATCTTTCTCCTCTGTTTAAATATAAATAAAAAAAAAAATAATAGAGAAAGTTTATCATTTCTATACATATATTTATATATTATATAAATAAATAAATAACGATAATGCAATCATATAATAAATAAATATTATATAATTTAAAAAAATGATTATTATTATTATAAATAATAATAAAAAATTGATAATTTAAAAAAAATATATTTTAACAATTTTTTGTTTTTTAATTTTAATATTATTTTAAATTATTATTATTTATAATACTCTCTCATTACCATATGTAAAAATATAAAAAATTCTAATATAATTTATTTATCTTATTTATTTATAATATATTAGGGGGGCTATGCCCCTTACCAATCCCTATTATTTTTCACTTTAATGATTAATTTTTTAAAGGTTTACAAGTATTAAAATTATATTAAAAAATTATATGTAAATTTTGAGGTTATGTTCGTTTCTTTGTTAGGGGAATTTGAAATTATGTATGTTTGTCGGACATAGCCTCAAACCCAACGGTATCTTGACCTGTCCTTGAATTTTGAGGTTATGTTTGAACTAAGACCTTGAATCCTGGAAACTTATGCTCTAAAATTTTGAGGTTATGTTTGATCTCTGACCTTGAATCCTGGAACCCTATGCCTTTGAATTTTAAGGTTATGTTTGGTCTATGACCTTGAATTCTGGAGACCTAAGACCTTGAATTTTGAGGTTATGTTTAATCTTGAATCCTGGAACCCTATGCCCTTGAATTTTAAGGTTATGTTTGATCTATGACCTTGAATTCTGGAGACTTAGGACCTTGAATTTTGAGGTTATGTTCATTTTAATACTAATATAGGTCGTTCCATGTTAATTCGCATGTGGATTTGAGGTTAAAATCAGAACTAAAATACTAATATATGTACCCAGTGGGCAAAAAATCATGTTCGTTCTAAAATCGTTTTAAGGACGTTTTTAGAACGTTTCATGTCCGCCAAATAATGTTCTGTAACATTTTAAGAACATGGATGTTTAGAACAAACATGGTTTTTTGCCCACTGGGTAAATATATATATATATGGGTCATTCCATGTCAAGATAAATAAAACCTAACCTAACCTAATCTAACCTAACTTAAGGGGTCTACCCACTTTAGACGCGCTAAAATGAAGGCTGTTTTTAAGAATTTTTCTAATTGGTTTATATTATAAATATTGACATATAAGTTGTTAGACTAAAGAAATACACTTCCGAAATACATGAAAAAATTTTTGTTATTTGTTTTTTTTAAATTTTATATGCATGCAAATGGTAGTTGAAAAAAAATCCCCCAAAAACGATGGGTCCACGCTGTTGATGAAATCTCTGACATGGATTGTCCGAAACCAAAAAATCAAAAAGTTTTGGATTCAGTGTGGTAATAGCTATAGCGCATATCAAGGGATTTTTTATTTTTGCAAAATTGACAAAATGGCGGACATTTTTCGAAAAATTAAAGAAAACCGTGTGTTAGTTTTTTCGAAAAATGTCCGCCATTTTGTCAATTTTGCAAAAATAAAAAATCCCTTGATATGCGCTATAGCTATTACCACACTGAATCCAAAACTTTTTGATTTTTTGGTTTCGGACAATCCATGTCAGAGATTTCATCAACAGCGTGGACCCATCGTTTTTGGGGGATTTTTTTTCAACTACCATTTACATGCATATAAAATTAAAAAAAAACAAATAACAAACATTTTTTCATGTATTTCGGAAGTGTATTTCTTTAGTCTAACAACTTATATGTCAATATTTATAATATAAACCAATTAGAAAAATTCTTGAAAACAGCCTTCATTTTAGCGCGTCTAAAGTGGGTAGACCCCTTAACCTAAACAAACATAAGCTAACCTAACTTTGTCAAAAACATGGGTTGAGTTCACCCATACTGGAGACAGCGGCGAAATCTTTTTATAATATTGAGAGAAATATAAAACACTATATATTATAATATAAATAATTATTTTGTTTGTTTTTTATTTTATTATTTATTTATAATTTATAATAACTTAATTTAATAATTTTTTTTTATATATATATAAATATAAAATTTTATAATACATGAAAAAATTATTAATTAATTATTAATTAATTTATAAAAGTGTAAAAAATGAAAAACTATTTGTTATAATAAAAACACGTTTTTGAAGATTATAATTTGGGTAAACAATGATATTTTGCAATAATATGATTCTTTTCTCGTGCTCAATCGGAAATGCGAAAATAAAGCATAACAAAAAGTAATAAAGATTATCTTTTTCTTTGTTGAAATCATGTAGATTGCACTTTATATACAAAAGATTTAAAATTTTAATAAAAAATTATATATTTTATCATTATATTTTTAATAAATAACATGTCAAAAAAAAATTATTATGTATAAATGTATGAAAATATATACATTACCAAAATTCTTTTAAATAAGTTATTAACATGCGTATGTATTATTGTTTAGAAATGGAAAATTTTCTTTTTCTTCTCATTGTTATTTAATTCATTCATTATTATTTTATTTTTTTTTTTATAATGTTCAATGTCAGCGAGATTTTAATTTTAACATATAATGGTATTATCACAATTTAAAGAATGTAAATGACAAAAGAAATTTTTATTATTGTCAAAGAGAAATGAACGTGATTAAAATTTTTGCAATATTTTCCTCCTTTAATGGAATAGAGCCTTCAGTATAGAAATAAAGAAATAAGTCATTTTTTTTAATGAAGAAAATTATTTATCTTGAATACAAATAAGGTTTGCAAAACTAATTGCTTATCATTCTTTAAATTCTGGAAGAATAGATATTTTTATTTTAATCTTTTAATTAAAATAGTGAATTTATATTTGTATAAATAATCGATTTTTATAAAGTTTATATTTTTTTTTAATATCTAAATAACATAAAATATAAAAAAAAATAATAATAAAATGAGAAAATGTTAATAAACGTTATTAGAATTTTAAAAAATGTACTCATTTATGTTTTTGTCAATATTTTAAAAACTTGGTAATGAAAAATGCTTTTTAAATTAACTGGTTTTACAAGTTATTCTTTTTGTCAGTTTCTATTCATTAGATGATTTCCATATTCCTTATATGACTTTAAATCCCCCACTGTTATTTGGAGTCTTCTCATTAAAATTTATCTATACAAAAAGAGAGGGACATAAAATACACGCAGAGTGAATTTTTCGTTATCATCGAACGAACGAGCTTCTCAACAATGTCACTTGATCAGGTAATTTTCAATTTAAAAATTTTCTAATCATTTTTATTGAAAACTAATAAAGAAATTAATTTCAATATTTCTATAAGAGAAAAAAAAATCATTAATTTATATTTTCTAAAATTAGAATTTTTTAAAATTTTAGGTATAATAACATGGTTTTTTATTTACCAATTTTTCTTTTTTATTTTCATTATTTCATTATTTATAATTTCAATAATTCTACAATGTAATGTAATAATAATTATTATTTTTAATTTATAATTAAGACAATTAAATTATCTAGCACTTTAGAAATTTTTTATTAAAATATAATAGTATAACTTATTTTAAAAAAAAAAAATTGATTTTTATGTATGAAATTATATTTTTCTTTTATTTATACTTTTTTTCTTATAATTTTGTAATAATTGGAATACTTAAATTATTTAGTTAAATAAACCATATTTAAAAAAAAGGTGATAATATTGGTATATAAGGGTCATAAGATCACAAGTTTTGCAAATTCATGTTTGAATTATGCAAAACATTGTTGCAAATAGCATTTTGTAAATGCGAAAGGAAGTTACGTAAAGATACGAATTTTTCACTAATCTGCGAGAATTTAAAAATATTAAATTTTCTTTAAAGTTAAAACAATCGGACAATAATACATTAAAATTCTATATATTTATATATTAATTGTGAAATCAATGTTTTTATATTGTAGATTTAATATTATTTTTTTTCAGGATTTTGAAGCCGCAGCTGAGGCTATAAAACACATTTCTCAAAGACCAAGTGATGAAGAACTTTTGGAACTTTATGCTCTTTTTAAACAAGCAACAGTTGGTGATGTTAATACACGTAAGTTCAATTGAAATTCAATTATTTTTATTATATTTCTTTTTTGAACATCAAAAAAAAAAAAAAATTATTAAAAAAAGCTATTATAAAAATAAAAATAAAATAAAAATGAAAAAACTATTTAAAATATTAGAAATAAAAAATATTTATATTTTATTGTTGAATTGAATGTTAAGAATATAAGGCTTCGGATCGACTTTAACAAACAAAAAAAGTCGATTTATATTCCAAAAAAGTCGAAAAAGTCGATTTTTTTATTGTAACAAAATTTAATTGGTTAATAAATATTTTACTTTAAATAACTAATATTATTAGATATTAAATTCATTTTATTAATTCTGTAATGAGAATAATTCTATAATGAATATTATCAAGAAAATTTATTTCGAATATTTTAGAATCGAACTAATTGTAAGAAAAATTTTCAAAATTTTATTTAAGTAGAACAAATTTCTAAAATAAATTCTTAAAGTTCCAATTTTATAATTTTTTCAAGTCTGATTTAAGCAATTTATTTGAATTAAAAATTTTGTCATAGTTTTTAGTGTTGATGGTCAAAAAAATTTCTTCCAGTACTTAATCAAGTTTTACAGATTTTTAAATAAAAATTGTTTTTAAATAATAATTTTGGAAGAGTTAAAATTGAAATTTTTTTAGAAATAATTGAATTCCATAAGATTTTGTTAATTTTCAGACAATAATTAAATTTTACAGAACTAAAAATAATTTATCAAATAATTTTAGATAACATTTTTTAAAAGAAATCAAATTTTCAAAGACAATTTAGATTTTTGAAATTAATTAAACTTCAAGTGATTTTTAATTTAAAATTATTGATGATTTCTGTTACTAAAAAATGTATTAGAAATTGCAGAAAAAAATACAACAATAATATTTTAGATGGAAAATTTGAGAAATAATTAAATTTTAAAAGCTTTTAAATTGAAATATTTGAAAATTTTATAAAAAACATTAAAAATAATTGATTTTCAGGAGAGTTATAATTGAAATTATTAAATTTTAAAAAATTTTTTAGAAATAATTAAATTTTAGAAGCTTGAATTAAGCATTAAAATTTTTGAAAATAATTGAATTTCAATTGATATTGAATTGATGGAAAATAATTTAATTTTTGTTGATTTTAAATTGAAATTTTGGAAAATAATTGAATTTCAATTGATTTTGAATTGTAATTTTAGAAAATAATTGAATTTCTATTGAATTTTTTGAAAATAATATTGAAGAATTTATTAGAAATCACGAACAAAAATTGAATTCCAAAACTTTTTATTTTGTAAATGCTTTCAGATAATTGCATTTTTGAAGAAGATTATATAAATCATTAAAAATAATAGAAATTTTTGCAAATAATTCAATTTCAAGTGATTTTGAATTAAAAATTTTTGGAAATTTTATTTGTTAATTTTTATTAAATTATTAACAATTATTAAATTTCATATAAAATTTTAATTGAAAAATAGTTTAAGATAATTGAATTTCTGAAGAATTTCATTAAAATTATTAAAAATAATTAATTTAATGAAAAATTTTAGTTAAAAATTTGTTAAATAATTGAAATAAAGAAGATTTGAACAATATCTGCATTGTATACCTACTAAAAAGACGTATTTTGTTTAAAAATTTTGTAAAAAAAAAATGTAAAAAAAAGTCGAAAAATTCCGCATTTTATTAAAATAAGTCGAAAAAAGTCGTATAATCCGAGGCCTGGAATATTTTATACAAAAAAGTTTGTTTTTTTTTAAATAAATTAAATTTCTTTAAAATGAATTTCAAAAAAAAGAAAAATATTTAAAGAAGAATTAAATAGTTAAATTAAATGGTAATTTAATGAAACTTTATTTATTTTATATAAAAATCGTTTTTAAATCGTTCAACATTTATTGTTAATTATTATTATAGTTATTGTTTATTAAATATTAACTCGAATTTTGTTTTTTCTTTTACACAGCACGACCTGGAATGATGGACTTGAAAGGCAAAGCAAAATGGGATTTTTGGAATAAAAAAAAGGGTATGTCTAAAGATACAGCAAAACAACAATATATTGCCTTTGTCGACAAACTTATTGAAAAATATAAGTAAATATGTAATTAAGAAAAAATATCTAATAAAATTAATTATAGAAATTATTAAAATATCGTTAAAAAAGTTTTAAATTATTATTTATTTTTTAAATCAGTTTTTATTTGTTATATAAAAGCAATTATTATGAATTATATGTTGTTCTTTAGGTATTATAATATTTCATTAACTTATTTCTTGAGAAATTTATTCTGTATACTATTTATTTAAAATTTATTAATATTTGTAATTAATAATATTATTTTTTATATTAACTGCGAATGCCACCAATTTTTAATGTGTTATAATAACTATAATGAAAACCTTGTTCAATTTAGTTATTTTTTATTATTATTTGTATATCTGAAAATAAAATAATCTATCGTATTATTTAGTTATTTCATTAATTATCAATAAAAAATAGTTATTTATTATAGATATAAATTTAATAATTTTATTCTTATATTTAATGGCAATTAAAATTATATGTTACGAATGAACAAAAAAGTATTTTATTTTTATTTTATGAATTTTATATTTCTAAGTTGCAATATTTTCTTGATATCATGAATACGAATATCAAAGCATCGTAAAAAAAATGAATACTCTGTGTTGAGGAGAATATAAAAAAAATCAAGGTTTAAAATTCTAAAACTAATCTAAAAAAACTAATTATAATTACATATATTATAAATATTATAAACCTATAATTTATACGTCCCTGGAATACACACTGCCGACATCGATATCGTTTGTTGTCGTCCATTTTCGTCAGTTTTCGTTTATCATTATCACGATAACGAACACACCGCTGTAATTATTCTCCAATTAACATCACCACCTCTGTCAAAAAATCAAAGGTAATCATAATTATTAGATAATTTTTATATCAACTTCAATCTCATCTACATTGATAATCAAAGTAACGGATTTTTTGATATTATAATTTATATTTAAGTCTTTTTCCTTTTTCCACAGTGAGAGCAATCTTTATAAATATACCTATATATAGCAAAACAAGGCGAGAGTGTACAAAGATCATTTTACTAATTCACTTGAATAATTAACACAAGAAGAAAATAAAAAAATGTCTCTTGACGAGGTAAGTGACAGTTTGGAAAATTTCTTTTCTATTGTTCGGCCATTTTCTTTTGTAATTATAACAAGTTGTTGCGAGCATTATTGGCTCCTTCCTGTTCCGGTAATAATAACCAATGAAAAACAATTACTTCCGATTAATTTGGGAGGGGGGAATATTTAAAATTTTTATATTGATACTTCAATTGATAAAAATATGTGATTATTAAGGCAAAGTTCATTTATAAATAAATTGATAAGAAGATATTAAAAATTAGAACCTAACCTATAAATTCTTTGAAACTAGAATAATATTAATTGATAATATTACTATTACGAAAAGGGGAAATAATAAAGGGAAATTTTGTAATAATATACTATAATAAAAATTATGTTAATAATAATAATAATAATAATAACAGGCCTCGTATTTTAAGACTTTTTTCGAAAATACAAACTTTTTTTTACATTTTTTTTATAAAATTCGTCTTTTTTGGTATACAATGCAAATATCTTCCAGATATTTATTTCAATTATTTAACAAATTTTTAACTACAATTCTTCTCTAAATTAATTATTTTCAATAATTTTAATGAAATTTTTCACACATTCAATTTTTAATTAAAAATTTAATAAAATTCTTTTTATTATTGTTATTATTACTATTATTATTATAAAAAAACAATTATTATTAAAATATTATTTTTTGTATAAAAACAAACAAAAAAAAAGTTAAAATTTTTTATAAAATTCAATAATTGTTTAAAATTGAAAAAAAATCAGTAAATGAAATTACCAAAATTTTTTAATTCAAAATCACTTGAAATTTAATTATTTGCAAAAATTTCAATTATTTTAAATGATTTTTATAATATAATTCAATAATTCAATTATCTGAAAACATTTTTCGAATTAGAAACTTTTGTAATTTAATTTTTGTCTGTTATTTCTAATAAATTCTTTAGCAACAAAAATCACTTCCAAGTTTATTTATTTTAAAATTCTGAATTGTAAACTTAGAAAATTTAATTACTTTTAAAACAATATTTACTAAAGTTATTTAATAAATTATTTTCAATTCTTTAAAATTTAATTATTTTCTGAAATTTAGTAAAATCTTTTGAAATTCACGTCGGTGAAGTTTATAACGTTTATGATCAACCATTAAAAAAAAAAAATTTTCCACTCAAAAAATAATAACTACTTTTTTGCCTACAAATTTTTTTTCAAATAATTATTAATCAAGAAACGTTGAAAAAAAATTTGTAGATCAAAAATAATAATAATTTGCATAGGAAAATATTTTTTCTTCTCAATCGTTGATAATATAAACGTTGTGAACTTCACCGACGTTGAAATTCAATTATGTTTAAAAATGTAACTCTTTAAAAATTTGCAACTCCGAATTAAAATATTTAATTGTTTGAATTTTTTTTTTTGAAATGATTTTCTTTTATTTCTCAGCAATTTAACAAAGCCGCAGAGGATGTGAAAGACTTGGCTTCTACACCATCAGACGCTGATCTTTTGGAAATTTATGCCCTATTTAAACAAGCAACTGTCGGTGATTGCAATACAGGTAATAATTAATAATAAAAAAAAATTTTTTTAAGAATTAATTTTTTTACAGATATTAATTTTTACAAATTTTTCTATTTTTGTATTTATTTTACATGTTAATCTTTATTTTTATTTTTTATTTTTTAGCAAGACCAGGTATGCTTGATTTCAAAGGAAAAGCAAAATGGGACGCATGGAATGGAAAAAAGGGTTTAAGTCAAGAAGACGCTAAGAAGCAATATATAGAAAAAGTTGAATCACTAATTCAATCAATTGGCAAAAAATAAAAAATACATAAAAATGAAATATGCACTAAGTGTTTTGAAAATTTTGTGCAATATTTTATCAAACTTAGGAACTTATTTACAAATTTTGCACAATTGTTTATTACTTTTTTTACAAAAAATTTTTTTATGACATTTATGTATATATAAAGAGAGAGAGAAAGAGAGGAAATTAAATTTATACATTTTAAATAAATTTTAAAATGACACTGTAATGAAATAAATGAGTGTTTTAATGATAAATCCAAATCAAAGGTCTATTTTTAATGATAATATTTATAATAATAAGAACAATTTTAATTATTGATATTCTCATTATCATATAATTATCAATAGTTGCAAAATAATTTAAATATTTTTTTATTCACTCTACATATTATGTGGAAATAATAAATTGAGTGGAAAAATATATATATTTCTATGATATTATGTTAGAAAAAATTTAAAATGATTATTATTTAACAAATAGAAATGATTTTCATTTTTAAAATTATTTATGAAAAAGTAATTTACTATTTTTATGAATTAAAAAAATTGAATCGGACCATTGAATTATTTTTAAATAAATATTTTTTTCTGCCTCTCGCCTTCACCCAAAAAAAAAATTGAACTTTAATCAAATACAATTTATTTTTAAATTTACATTTTAAAAATAAATTTTTTTATTCGATTAAAAGTAAACAATTTTTTTTACATTAATGAATATTTATTTGATGATAATCAATGAATTCAGAATTAATTTTTATTCAGTTTTTTTTTTCATATTACTTTTGTATTTCTTGAAAGTTGTTTATCGCTTTAAAACTTCAAAAAAAAAAAAAATTTACTTTAATATTACGATTTAATTTTTAAATTAAATTGAAGTTATATACTTTAATTGTGGAATATTAAAGGTTTCGTAAAAATATATTATAGTATTATTTATTCTTTATTTTTAAATTTAATTTAAAAAATTAAGATTAGATAATAAAATAATTAAAGCAAATATCTAATCGAATAAGAAGAAATTGATTTTCTATGAGAAAAGTTATAAATAAATATTAGTTTTAATTTGAAAAGTTGAAAATTTCGCGCTTCTTGACAATTGGATGAAAAGTTTTTAATTTTCAAGTATACAGCTTATATTATGTATATAAAAAACAGCTATCTAATATATTACCGTAAGTTATTTATCATCATGAAATTATATATTTTTTAATATTTTATTCTTAATTTTTTTCATAATGTGAATCATAAATTTTGTATTTCGCGCTGCAAAAGTGGCGCCTTCATATAGGCAACTTCCATATCAACCGGAGAGGACGCCATATTGATGTGGCTTCTCATCGGTTACTTAGCTTTCGTTGGAAAAAAGTGTGAGTTTTTCTCTCAATTGTTTCCAAAAATTTTGTCAATCTGTGTTCGTATTATTTTCAACACCTTTCTTTTATATAAATTCTTTTTATTTTATATATAATATACGCAAATAAGTTGTAATATTATATAAAGTAATTTTTCGAGTGTTTCGGCAGCATGGTATGTCGTGTGTCGGTAAAAAATCCTGGAGAGGACGTTATATTTGTTTGTCCTCTTTCACAATGTATTAGTTTTTGGCGGTTAAATTATCAGTTTGTTTTTAATGCACGATATTATTTTTCCAATATTTGTCTGTTTTCAACTTGCCGGTTTATTTTTCGTCGTGATTATAAGTAAAAGTAATTTTCAACGAGTGTTTTAACGTGTCGTAAGTCATAATTTTTGGTGTTTTAAAAAATAATTATACAGATACGCGAGAATTAATAAATAAAATTGCCTAGTTAAGTTGTAATGTTTATAACAAATATGAAGAACGTCGAGGTTATGTTCATCACTCGCCATCATCTTCATCATTATGGTAAGTTTTTTTGGCGTAATTTTTTATTTTATGATTATTCAAACATTTTATTTTGTTACTAATTCTTACTAAAATTAAGTGAAATTTAATAGTTTATTAAAAAAAAAAAATTGATTGTGTTTTGTTCTAAATAAAAATTATTAAAATTATTTAGAAAAAAAAATATTTTTCCATACAAATTGTAATATTTTTTGGTCTGAAAATTTTTTATGAAAAATATTTTTTATTTTGTAATCGTTGCGATCATAAATATTGTAAAACTTCACCGACGTGAATAAATAAAATTTTCAGTGTTTCCTGTGTTAGGGATTACTGTTTTTATGACATTTCCATGTGGAATAATATAAAGAAAAAAAAATTGACAATAAAATCATTTTTTTTTTAAATTTTAAAAAAGTTATAAATTTTTGGCTAACAAACATATTTTCTATTTAACCGGCAAAATATTTAGAAATTAAGTCGATAAAATCATTTTTGTCCATCTGTATGATTGTGCCATCTGGTGACAATCTCTTATATTATACGCGCTATTCACAAACGTGAAATCCCCTCTCTTTAACCTTCGTTAGTCTGCAAAGCGCGGGCTTACTGTTCAAGTTGCATTTTGGATGCGAACCAATGCACATCGTTTTCGGTTTTCGGGTTTTATAAACAACGATTTGTGAATTTAATTGTTCTTGCAATAATAATTAAAAATATTATATATATATAATTTAATTTTTCAAGTTTCTTACAAGTGTTTGTGATTCGTGTTTATATCAATCGGTAAGGTCTACATTTCTCGTTGGAAAAAAAAAATAACATTTTACTCGAAGATCACACGTGCGTTTCTAAAAAGCCGGTGAGTGTTAAAATCGTTATTGTTAATGTTATGTGAAGTTTTTATTTATTTATTGCATCAGTTTGTGAGTTTTTTTTTTTTTAAAGGATACACTATTCTACGAATAATTGAACATTTTTTTTTTTTGAAAAAAAAATTAAGAAGCCCAGGAATTACCGGTATTTGAGTATTTTTCATCATAAAGAAATTTATTTAAAAAAAGTTTTAATTTAGTATTTATTAGATTATCTTTCATTTCTTAATAATTTTGATTTGCAATTTTTAATTTTTTTTGTAAAGAAATTAATTTTGATATACGTGGAATAATTAAAAAATTAGTTAATTTTTTTTTAACTTTTTTTTTAAATTATCTAAATTTTATTATTATAATTTGTAATTAATTTTTAATTCTTTTCGTAGGGAAAATTAAATTTTATATATATGTGGAAAAATTAGTTAATATTTTTTTTTTATTTCATTTAAATTTCTTAATATATGCATTAATATTATTTTATTTTCTCTTTGGAATAATTTATTTATTCATTTTATTATGAATATTTTTTTAGAATTATTATTATTATAGTAAATATTACGTTTTTAATATTGCAATTTACAATATTATATCGATTTATTAAAATTATAATATAAATGAAAATTTATTAATTTTTGTTTAATTAAATTTAATTGATTTTTAATAAATTACATCAAAATTGCAATGTTTAATTATAAAAGAAATTGAGAAAATTAATTCTATATAATAATAACATTAATTATTTTTCGCAATAAATATGTGTGTGTATAAAAAAATAGATTAAAATTTTGAAATCCTGTTTCGCTGCGAAAAAAAAACTGTTCGTGGAATGTTGACCTTGCCGACATAAAAGTTAGTCTTATAATATACACACAAAGTCTCTTGTGTTGCATAGAACTTGAAGATTCAAAATTTCTATACCTATACCTGTCTCAGAATGAAATTCCTCCAAAGGTCGACTTCATACAAATTCGCGTAATCTCAACAACAACAAACCCATAGCAGAGGAGAAAAAAAAAGAACTTAAAAAAATTTTCTATATAATTCTCCGAACATTTTTTCAAATTATTTTTGAAGAAAACATTGAATATTCCAATATAAGATGTTTATATTTAAAATTTTTTTAATATTACAATGAATTTATTTATTCTTTTTTTTTAATTGTATTTTTTTTTTTATTAAGACATCATTTAATCAAAGCTTTCTATAATTTTTATGAAAAATAATTATACAATCCTTTTTTTTTTTTTATTTCTTATGAAAATACAGTTGTATAAAATTGCAATTTAGGAACATCTGTTTTTCTATTCGTTATATCAGAAAGAAAAGTTTGCTTTTAGAATAATTAATAATAACAATACTAATATTAAAAATTATAATAATAAAAATATTAATAATTTTAATAAAATAGTAATTTCTTATAATGTATATTATGTTGAAATAATTTGTTATGCAAATTATTGCATACAGACATTATTTCAGACGTGTGTCTATAAGATATATATTAATATTTCAAATCAATTTTTATTTGTATCATTAAAAATTAAATATTTATGTTGAGAAAAAGAGATGTTTATATAGTTTTAAATGCAATCAATAATAATTAGTTGGATTGATGCATGATATAGAAGGTCATTGACCCAGTATGGTTTTACATTTGTTTACATTTTGAAGTAAAATTATGTATCATAATTGTTATTGTTAGAAAATACTTTACATAATTTTTTTTTTTAAATTGATAAATAAATTTTAAAATTACAAATTAATTTTTTTCATTTTTTTTTTATTTTTTAAAAATTAAAAAAAAAATACATAAAGTATCCGACCGTTGTCAATTCAATATCGAATACTTATATGATAGCTCAATAAAGCGATATTTAACCGTATAAGAATTTGTAAAATTTATTAATCATTTAATTATTATTATTAAAATTATCATTATTAATATTATTTTTATTATTTAACAATAATAATTATCTTTTCTACATTATTTCTGGTACAAACTTTCTTATTGCGAAAGATTTTGAAATATTTAAATTCGGAAAATATGATGTTGTATATTAGAAAATTATATTACATTATATTAACAATATTTATTTATTTAAGAATAAATAAATTAAAAAAATTTTTTTTTTATAATAATTTTCACTAAAAATGTGAAATTATTTTTTCTTAAGTTTTTCGGTTCAAAGAATGCCTAGAGAAATATTTTTCATGGTATTATGTGGATCCAAGACCTTTTTTAAAATTATTTTATATTTTCGGTCCCGTGAAAAACAATTTTCGACGCTTAGCGTCGAAGCTAACTTCATGGAGGTTTTTATTTAAATTATTTTGCGGTCCTGATTTTATTATTATTATTATTATTATTTTACAACTACCTAGATAATTATTTTTTATTATTCAATAATCACTGTTTTCTATTTTATTTTATTATCGTTTCTAAGTGAAATTAATTTGATTAATAATAATAATAATAATAAATAATTAATTTATTACTTAGTTAATTATTTAAAAAA